AGAAGAGGGCCAAAAAGATCGAAGAGAATAAAAAATAGATAAATAAATCCAAGAACCCGTGACGGATTGTCAGGACTCGATCCGGCCCGGAGAGTGGTTCTACATGCTCGGATCTCGATCACGAAGCGCACGATAGCGTTCCGCCTAAACAGCAGGTGTCCGGATGCAGAAATCGATTGTAAGTTGAAACAATCGCCTCCTTTCGTTTCTTTTTGGTCCGGTTGGTCCTGGACTTCAAGTTTCAACAAACCCTTGTTGTCGATCCCCCTTCAGTTCAGTCACTGCAGGCCACACGCACTAACTAACTAAGTTACTGGCTAGTATTCAACAGCCTTCAACAGCCATTTCGAGTAATTCCTCCGTGCCCTCCGTCATCCGGTCTGTGTCGTCTGTGCTCTGTCCTCTATAGAAAGTCTTCCAACTACACACCGATCAAGAACTCTATCTACATGCTACATCCCAGACGAAACCAAGCCTCCCTGTCTGCATGCGACCGAGTGAACCCAGGAAACGATCATGACCAGTGGATCATGCACATCCGTAGTTCTAGAACCCGGAATTGGTGAGCCCTCGATGGAGTCCTCGATAAAGAAGACAAGGGTAACCTGGCCTTGAGGCTGGAGTAGCAACTAGAAAGAAGTACACAATACGGAGACACTGGGTCCTCGTCTCCATATCTCAACCCAGACCATTTTAGCGAGTCGTTGACCTGTCAATGATGGACCGGTACGGCTTAATCGACACTAACTACTGTACACCGTAGGTGAGGTGGCAGTTGGAGAGACCGGTAGGAAGGATTTAGAGCCGGCCTTTTCTGCGTTCTTTGTCTACTTGATGAAGGGCACAGAAAAAGAAAGCAGAAAACGGTCGAGTCGAGTCTAGGGCCATCCCTGATCATGGACGTGCATCACGTAGTACAGGGTCCGGTCTTGGTTCCTTCGCCGAACCAGACCATTTAACTATATACGGAGTACTGTGTACGTAGGAATCGTTTCTAGGAACGACCCTATAGCCAAGTCATTCGGACAGTGCGTAGATCCCTCGAAGCGAGATCTCGTGAAGAAGTGCGACACGCATTGAGAAACCCGGGCATTTCAGTGGTTTGATCGACGACGATCACCAACTCCGTTTGAGGGCCTTCCAATTGAGGAGGCAGAACAGAATGTGTAGAAATGTGGAGAATGACATTCGGACGAGAAAATGACGGACAACCAAAGTCAGCCAGCCAAACGCCCACCGAGACCGAGAATAGAAAGGGACTGATATCATCGCCGTGCAGCACCCACGATATTTGCATCCGACAACATGGATCATCCCTGCTCTGCTTCCCGGCCTGGGACCAATAAACCCGACAGTGGTGGAGGCAGCACGCCGCGGGCATTTTACGGACCAATAGCCCCCCTCCCCCTGTTCCATCCGGATTTCTTGAATCATGACCGATTGAACTGCCTGCATCTGGGATCCACTCCGCGCGGGTCCCAACCATGGTCAGATTTCGCGCGATCCGATTTATTGAGTGATTTATTTTATTTTATTTTATTCCTGTCTCTTAGGCGCGGGCGGAAGTCGGATACTTGATCCTGAGTCTCCAGTTTCTCCAGTTTCTCCAGTTTTCCTGCGTGTTATCCTGTACGGAGTATGGAGACTGGAGTCCTGCCCACTCGTTGGGTTTCTTTTTCTTCTTCTTCGGCAGGCCCTCTTTTTCATGTCCCGCTTTCCCTCTCCCCTCCCATTACGGAGAAAGAGTATATCAGATCCTCATCATCTATCATATTCCCACCACCCAACCCACCCAAAAAGAGAGCGAAAAGAGTGAAATCAGACATCGCCATCCCATCTGTCACGAGAAGCACTCGGACACGGCCATGCACCTTGCCGTCTCTCCCCGTTGCGCGTTCCCCCCGGCGCATGAGATCAGCTGTAACACAAATATTGACTTGCAGCAAATGGGGGGCACGGAAATTCAAATTCAAATATATCGATCGCAGCAGAGTCCTCCGTGGAAGGTTTATTGGGCTTCGTATCCGTTTGGTTCCTGTTTTCCTTGTTTTCTACTAACCAGGAGGAGGAAATGGCTCTTGATTGATATGAGCTGTTCCAGAAGGTAATTGACGAGTCCAGATTGATTATTCTGTACGGATACTCAGTACGGATCCTCCGTCGCTAATTAGGGTAGGGAACGGGAAGGCTGGTCTTCCCCGCCCGGCTCAGACCTTGAAGTGAGGAAGTAACGTAACTCTAGGCCGAATTGCAACTATGTGGGCGAGTTCCATGGTTCGGAGGGCAACGCTTTGACTTTCCCGGCATTACCCGCAACCTTGAGGTGGATGGCACAAAACTCTACTTTTTTAGTGATAGGGTGCTGGGTGAGGGTTATTGCATGTGGGCGTTTGAACCATACGCCTAAGGTGAGGGTACGGAGCATCCGTAGGCGGTTTCATTATGCTTAACGATTCTGCACCATGCAATCTGCTGGACTGAAACCGTCGCTTTGAGGATACCTAGTACCTAGTACCTACCTTCCTCTGACGGGTGTTAGTCTGTATACCTAGACTAGGTGCGGAGTAGTTACCTACTGTGTTGCGTATAATCCAATCATCATGGCAAAGTCCAGCCGGATACTATCGCCGATACATGCTATCTGCCCCGGTCCCCCACAAACCATGTTGCTTTTTTTCTTTTTTTCTTTTTTTCTTTTTTTCTTTTTTTCTTTTTTTCTTTTTTTCTTTTCCTTTTTCAAGTTTCTCTCGAGTTACCTGTCTCCTCGGAGAATAGCTTATCTAATTCCTCTGGATACAGGAGACTACGTGCATACAGTAGTATTGTCGTACAACAGATATATTCGATACCTCTCATTACATGCAGAGTGTTCTGCATAGGCTCGGCCCGGTCGGGCGATGGAATGGGCCATGGGGAGACTGGACTGGACTGGATCGAGGATCCAGTATTCTGTAGTTAGTTAGTTCGTTGATCTTTTCTTGTCTTCTTTTTCGTTTTTGTTATTGAGTATGATGTATCAGAGATATGGGATTAGCTTGGATTTGATATGATTTGAGTTGAGTGGTGGCACAGAAACGCGATATGCTCTTTTTGGTTTGTCGTATTGTGTTTATTGATTCGGGGGAATATCTACTCCGTTATGAGGTCTAGATGTGGTGGATTATTTTGTCTCATGCTGGCTTTTGGGCGTCCTTGCTGGCTTGAAAGGCCGGAATTAGTTAACTACACAGTACATACATACCTGAGGCCGTAGAGGATGACTGATCTATCCTGGATGGCCAAAAGGGGATAAAAAGGCAGTAAGTACTCCGTAGTCAGTAAGCTCTGGCAGCCCGCGTCGCCGCCTGATCCTGTCGAGTCGTTGTCTCACCGGTTCGTAAACCGCTCGCGACCTTAACTATATACGTACATATGGATAGAAACTATGCAGAAGGACCTCAGTGCACTCCGTACAGACTGCAGACTCGGCAACGACATTATTCGTAACAAATCCATCCGCAGTCTACCCAAGTTTAATGAGTGCCACGTCAAATGTTTAATTAGTCATGCCTCGCCAGGGGAATTGCAGCAGAATCCCAGTCCGACGCCCCATATGAGCTCCATAACATGTCAGAGAGTGGCCGGGAAAGGAGCTGGACCGCCGACTGCAAGGATCGGTTTCCCATCAACCTGGCGTCGGGTTCACTGTTCCTGATAAGACCCAGAAGACAAAGATACCTTTATCCCGGGAAAGGGAAACGCATGAGCAAAAGGGGAAAAGGGGAGATTGGAGGGACATGCCCGGGCGCGCGAGGACGACGGTACTTTATGTCATCCAGGTCACCGGTTCCCTTCCGGACAAGGATGCATGAGACGCGATGAACACAATCCCAGGAAAGCAGATCGGTTCTCACGATGCGAGAAGGCGATTGCACCTCATCGACCAATCATCGGGCTCAATCTCGGAGAAGGCTGTACTGAATGATGGCGTGGAAGCGGGTCTGACTGCGCTCGGTGGGGGGTCTGGACTGTCACTGACAGGGCTTTGACAGGCAGATCGTATATTTGCTTTTGATGACAAGCGTTGGCGACGTTCGGTCCGCGCCCCCCGGGCCGCCGTCCCCGCCCCGCTTTTTTAAGTCATAAATTCACATTGATTTTCAATTTCTTCCATGGGTGACGGGGCTGCCTTCTTTCATGACTTTCGGTCGGTCCGCCTGCCTGTCAGATCTCCCTTCCCCCTTTTTGGTTCCTCTCTCCTTTAATCTACTATTTTTTTATTTTTATTTTTATTTTTATTGTTTTTGAAGGAGGCTGGTGCCGGGTGGAGACGGTGTCAGTCAAGTGTCAACAGCCCCCAGGGCCAAATCCCAAAAGTACGGGTTGGGCGGGGGGTCGCGTCGCCCAACTTAACGCCTTAGCTGACAACTAGTCGGATCCTCATCCCCAATGATGGGTTCTGCTTTGGCTCTAGTCCCCAACGCTAAATTGGCTCTTCGGACACTTTGGAGTTTGGAGTTGGAACATTGGATGCGGTGTCTTTGGGTTCTTTGCCTGTTTCCCGCGATCACCCGACAATCGGTATATTGAATTCCTTGAATCGCGTAACCGTACCTGAGTTCCAAACGAGGCTTTGTCAGCCCTTGATGACGCCACGGAGCCTGATCTGCTGCGTACAAGGGTCGATTCTGCACGTCGCGCTTGCGTTGCAGGGGTTGGAGGGGCGCCATTATTATGAGACTCGACCGCTTTCCCTGTGTAGGGATGTAATATTGGAACTGTGCGTTCCGTAGTATGTAGAGTGTAGGCATTACGGTGTAGTATCCGTAGTATGTACTTTCGTCAGTGTACGTGTAAGATCCTGCCGATGAAGATGAATCTCGTCATCGATATGACCCACCCCTGGAACTCATTCCCGAGTTGCAATTGCAAATCGTGATCCGGTCGTATTCCGCATTTCATTATGTTACCTGAAGAGCCATATCGGAAGGGATTTCATCCATGGCGGTCGAACTACTCAGCTAGGGCTTGCTCGTCGGTGGAACCTCGCCTCGGGACGTCGGAGTTACGATGTTTCGGTTCCAGTTCCAGCTCCAGCTCCAGCAGGTTCTTTCGTTCTTTGCGAACCAGGTACCTGGATCCCAATGAGGCGGCACACACGGCAATCCTTCACCCACTTCTCGCTTCTTATCACGGCGGTTATACCCTGACAGGAACTGATCTGATCCTGATCGCCTCGCGACTCCGTGGTTAGTGTAGTCCTAGCACCGGGTTATCGTCAGCCGTGAGGACCAAAGTACAAAATGAAGCGATTACTATACGGAGGATCAAGCCAGAACTACCAATAATCACAGCCACCCCTCCCTCATCTTGGTCATTGGACTCGGAGGGCTGCCAAGGCGTGTTGCCCCTCGCCTGAACTTCTGAAGCACCAACTTTAGGCCCACCGACCTGCCCGATCGGGAGATGGTGAGTTCCAACTAGGAGGAAAGTTAGCAGTCAGCGAGTCCCGGAGCGCGATAAGTATTGTCACTGGATGAAGACCTTTAGGGTCGTCCGACTGGCAGGCGCTGTCGGATCCAATAAGGATGTCAGGGCTCACCTTTAATCTCCTCGGGCTCTCCACTTGGGGCTGTCACATTTTACCCCCCTTTCTCCTAAATTTCTGTTTTCCTAGTTAGTTCGGTTAGTTCGTCAGTTAGTTAACCATCCCGTCTATCGCTTAGTCACTGAGGTCTTTTCTCATGTTTCTGATCATCGACATATTACCGAGTAGTCATGACTTCCTAATTCTGTTGGGTGCAGACGACGAAGAAATGAACCAGGTGGGGGGAGGTCGTCAATGGGGAGTGGGATCGAGATTATTTTCAGTTCCTGCTGGTCTCGCGTCTCGAGGGGAGAAAGCGGTAACCACGGGACACCTGCCTCAGGCGGTCGTCGAGGCATCCATCGGTCGGCCATCGCGGCGATGATGATTGATGACATCAAGCGGAAAAAATATCCTGGTCAGTCTCGTTCTACTATACTAATTATAATACTATCAACCTGCCAACTGTCATGACTCTGGCAACGTTTTCCCTCCTGCACACCGACGTAATTGCCTGCCTCGTACATATGCAAGCGACAAGCCCGTCCACTGACCGACTCCCAAGTGATCTTGATATCGTGGCGGTGAGTCTTGCCATGAACTGGACATGCATTCATTTCTACCGTCCCTATCGGCGCTGACCGCCCCCTTTTCTTTTCCACACCGTTTGATGTTTGCTGCATGTAGTTATCTCCTGTTTACAGTAGAAACCCCTCATGCCGCCACGTTGCGACTCCATGCCGCCATAAGAGCTGCACTGGAATCATGGCACGTTTCGTCGGTGCACGTCATCGCGGCTGGCCATTCGATTTACTTTTTTGGTCGCGAGGTGAGAGACGGTCTAGAACCTGCCTTTGGGGCTGATCTACCCCCCCCTACGGAATAATCTACACAGTACACACACTGTCTGTGTACTTGACTTTGGCATGTCTTGCTGACTCTCGGGAAGTATCGTACTTTGTCTCGTTTACTAATGGGAGGTCCGGGTGATGGTCACCTGCTTGAAAATTTAAACCCCTAGCCTCTCTAAAAGAAAGTGCCTGACAAGACAGGGGTGTGAAGCAGTTTGACCCGATGGCGGTGGTGAAAATATAGTTCGTCCACACCAAGCCTGTAATCACTGATGCGACTCGATCATGGTCGTGTCCGAGCCTTTAGACGAAATTTTATTGTCACGATACAAAGAAAAATCCAGGAGCCTAGTCCAAGTACTTCTGTCAACTTCGAATTGATTGCTATTGCGACTCCCTAGTGCCTACTAAGTTGTAGGGGTTGAGCACTAGCATTTATTACCTTTGTTGTTCTTTTACGCGTATCCCTAGCCTGCACTATTTTGTCTCCCGCACAGGAATTAGTGGTTTGGGCCTGGAGCCGGTGCCCGCCGAGGCGCTCCTCGTTTCATTACATATCTTATCTCAATCAATGCCAGAATTTCCGGGTCAGGAAGATCAAACCATCTCCTCGGAGTAAATCAGCAGTACGTGCCCAGAGAACTATATCTCGAGTATGTTATCTGTCCCATTATAGTTATCGCACAGCATACTGCAACCTATTTTCCCTATGGTTTCTTTTTTTCTTCGCCCAACTTAAACCGGGTGAATAACATGCCATGTGCGGTCAGGTTTCAGCTTGGGGCCAAACCCACAGAGGGCAGTAGCAAACAGTGTACTTTTTTTTTTTCTTCTCCTGACGGTGTAGGTAGACAGCAGGGTGCCACCTCGATGCCCAAATCGCGCAAAATCAAGATTTGGTTTGATTCCTTCGTACTACCTCCAGAGGCAAAGTCTATCGTATGCCATGCCACAACCCCACCCCCATCCTTAATTCGAAATTCCAATCACCGTTCCAGAACGCGACATTGACAATCTGGCGTGCCCGTCGGCAAAAGTTACCCGCGGCGCCGGAAGACAAAAAAAGTAGAAACAAGCTGGAAGGGGACAGGGACAGTATAGACTGCGAACTATAACCAAGCCCTCCCTTTCTCCGGAGTGGCCATCATGAGTGATCGATTAGCCCGACTCCGTATGGCCACCGAATATACTTTCAGGTCGTCTTGACTTTCGGCAATCGATGGAGTCTGATCGCCGTCTAGGTAAGGCAACGCCCGAGACCCTCCCGCGGTCTGCTGTCATTTGGTCTGCCCCTGGCATTTCCAACGACCAGGTAAGGGGGAGCAGCTGGTTAGACTGTAGCAGATTGACAGCCGGGTGGCAATCCAGAACTTAGTCTGTTGGGACCGATTTAGGAAATTCCTTCTCGATGCGATCGAAGGTCTTGTACTATATAGAGTATCTACTTACACGCATGGATACATACATATACACGGAGTCGTACAAAGAAACCTGATAGGTAGGTAATCTCCACTCTCCACGGGCAACAGACCGACCGGATTATCCGAGTCGTGTATTATGTTTGATTTGTGCTGGCCTACTCTCTTATTTTCTTTGTCTTAAACGACCTCAAGTAGTTGCAGTGTGTGGAAGTTCTAACATCTTAGACCCTTCTCAGTAAATACCTAGCGACAGAATGACCCCCTCGGGCCTAGGTTGCGAATATTTCCCCCGCTCACTTTCCAGCACTCTTTTACGTCAAGTAGCGTACCTACAGTAGTTAACCTTTTATTTCGCTTTTGCGGTGCAGGCATTAGAAATGGTCAGTTGCTCTGTGGCCGTGTCAGCTCTGGATTTAAACCCTGACTGCGATCAACCACCATTAATATTGGCAAGGTCTCCCCTACCCCATACTGCGGGCTTAAACTCTCCCTGTACCCTGGTATGTACACACTTCGGCTGGCTTCCTAACCTGATTCAGGGAACTAGAGCGGAAGGTCTGTTTGTGCCCTCCCGGTCAATGCTACACCGGAGTACGCTCGGTATGTCACCTTTCCCCTCACTGGGAGGGGCCATTCAGGAATTCAGAACATAGAGGCTCACGGAGAAAAGAGTTCTCATCACTTGCTCGTTCCTTCGTACTGTGTACTGCGTACGTACACATCCTCAGTACCTACATAATTACCCCCAGTACGATAAAACACCATAGTCACTTAACCACTGACCACAGCCTAAGCCCGTAAGTCGAATCCCACAGTCCAGCGTCTCGGGCCATGCACAAGCCCCCCTTCAGCCGATCGTTCCTACGGTTGGAAGATCGTCTGGCGAAGGGGGACAGCTCCTCGAGCTTGCTCATTGGCCTGCGGGGGTCTGTGGCTAGCGTCGGGGCACATTCGGTTGAGATCCGCCCTGATCGAAGGGGGGAGGGTTGGGAAATGACTGGCTTGCTGAGGTCCGTGGCTCATCGTAATTTCATCCTGCGTTTGATGTCGTTTACCTGTGTTCGGGTCTGTTCGCGGTGGTATCCTAATTCATACTACTACCTACTGTGTGGATAATACTACTTCACTGATGGGTAGGTACTTTTTTTGTTCATATTATTTGATTATTTATTGTTGGCTATTTGTGTCTAACGTAGTTTAATCAAGATTTGAGTCCATCTTGTTCGATCTTGACTTCTTTCGATTTTCTTTCTTTGTACTCCTAAGGGGAAACTGCCCGTTTAAAGGCTGTATTGATCCGTGGTATCGTATTGTGTCTAAACTCTGTACCATGGGACCGAGGGCGTGCAATAATGCTAAATAAACCACCCCCCACGGTCGAGTCCTGCTTCAAAAATATCCCGGACTGTAGATAATATACATGAATGCTCGTAAGAAGTCGGTGAATATTGCAACGACACTGCGCAACCTCGTCTGCATAGGAAAAGAAAAAGGTGTCCTGCGGAGTCGATCAGGTGACTACTACCGAGCGGGCGCGTACTTGGCGAGACCGAGTTCCTCCGTGGGTAATTTATGTTGTAGCATAAGATATTCAGTACGTACTGTACATGTTCATACACACGGAGTACTCCGTACCTACGATGCATGTCTATGTAAATGTCCCTAGTCATTTTCTTTTCTTTTCTTTTCTTTTGTTACCGAGTGCGGTAGTTGTTGGCGTGAATCACTCCCTCCCCTATCTACGTACGTAGTGAGTAAGTAGTATCGAGTACGGAGTACGGAGTATGCGAACTGACCAACTCAAGATCTCTGAGGTGATGAACTTATTGATGACGGGTACGGAGGCTCGAATCCTGAGGTAACTACTCTCTGTAAGTACAGGGAGAATATCACTCCTCCGTACTTCTGTTCGAAGCCATCGTTCTAAAGCCCGGTCTAAACTGCCATTGGCGTATGGTGTATGTATGTACGGGGTAGGGGACAATCAATCTACAGAGGAAGTACTTTTAACCTCTCCATACCCTAGTCCCAGCGTGGACTGGTTACGTGTGACAACAACGAAAGAACGAAACAAAGAGAGAAAGAGAAAGAGCAAGGAAGAGAGGTGTGTGTGTGTGTGTGTGTGTGTGAGAGAACCTTCGGGCGGCGTGGCCCTGGCGATACCTACCTAGAGGCGGGTCTGTGCGTGATCTCGAGGCCGATGACATTGACTACACACTCCGGTGTACACAGCCTTTACGACAGGCTCAATCGGTGGTCTGTGTTTCGGGGGTGTGTTTGTGTGGATTGCGATTACGTGGTACAAGTCTGCAAGCCTTCCGAAAGCATACCTGGTTAAAAAGGCATATACTAACCGTCACTGGTTGGAGATCAGACGAGTGAGGGGGAATACGTAGGTTTGCTACGGGGAGCTACAGATCCGTCTCTTCCTCATGTGCACCTCCAAAAGAACTGAGCAAAGGTCTGTTTGGCGGGGCTGGGAGAAGAGCCACTGTAAGAGAAGACCAAGGAACGGGCACCCTAAGCCTGAGAGCATGGTCGGAGAGCTTTCGGGTCTAGCGAGTACCTCGTCCGGTGCCGGTTCCTGTCAGGTGGAAAGCGGTAATTAAAATACAGGAATGGAAGGATAAAAATAAAACTGGACAGAAAAAAAAGGAGCAAGGTCAAGTCCAAGCTCAACAACGGCAGCGTTTGGGAATCAAACCCAGTCGGAGTTGGCAAGCAACTGCCAATCAATGGTTAGTCTCGGCACAAGGTGGTTAGGAGGTCTTTTTTTTTCTTGTTTGTTTTTTTTTTATTCCCTAAAACTTTTAAATGATTAAACAAAATAAATAAATAAAAAAGCACCCCCAAGGCCTTGGTAGCCCATCCCTGACCCTGAGCGGCGGTTACATTCCTAAGCTAACTAAAGCACTAGCGAGTCGACTAACAGGCTACTAGCCTACTAGGGCTGGTGCCGTGCTTTTGTCATTCATCATGATTAAATAAGAAAGGAATAATTGACGGCGACCGAAATGTTTATTTCTACAGGCAACTGGCTAACTATCCACCGGCTATTATAAATACTTCAGCGTGAGAATGAATACGAAGGTCGGGGATCCAAGAGACACTAAGCCCGACAATACGGTGCTGGGAGTCGGCGGTGGTCGGTGGAGACCAATTATCGATACGCCACGGTGCTTTTGTACTGAAGAAGCAGAGGAGAAATGTTCAGAGGAGTCTGGGGCAGAGGGCCATGGTGAGCTAGTCCACGATCTACAAATAGTACTGCGTAGAGAAAATAAAATCAGAATATTCAAAAAGAAAAAAAAAGTGTCAGCAGGTAAAAAAAGAAAAATGTAAAAAATTAAATGCTTACAAAAAGTAAATAATTGAATAATGACAAAATTAATTAAAGTGGACATGAAAAAAATGAGGACAAAATCAATTATCGCCCTACTGCATGTCCTTTGGCATGGCTGCAGCCGCAGTGGCACTGGTGCTTTTCGTTGTGTTTCGGCTTTGTTCAAGGATGATCCATGTTAATGGGTCTTGGGGGGTAATCACTGCTGCCAAATCGGGAGGGGGGACAGGGCATGGGGGAAGGTGTGGAGTGTCTGTAGACTCTGTAGTTACAGTTGAGTTGGGACGTACTTCTTCTGCTCGTCTGCGCGGCGCTCTTAGATCCCATCTCGATCAGTCAATCAGTCTATCTGCCATACCCTGGCCCAGAACAAAAGTCCCCTCCGGTCCTGGGCTTGTCCACCTTTATTATAAAGACCTCATTCTTCCCTATCATTTGGCTTTTTTTTATTTTCCATTCTTCCTCCCGAACAGTCTCGACCAAACCTTCTTTACTCCAGTCTTTTCTCTCTGCTTCTTATTCTCTACTACTCTTCGCTTCTCTCCCGTTTGAGAAGTATCCATCTATTGGAATTCTCCCAAGTATCCTTCCATCCATCTATATCCTCGGGATCGACCCTCCAACCGCCGGTGTTACAATCCCTGTTTGCCCTCACAAAGAAGATATATTCTCCATTCGTTGTCACCCTATCGCAGTTCGCCTATCGACAGACTTTCTGTTGTTGGTGTGCCTAAAGCGGCTATTGGCATCTCACCTGTACTCCTGCTGGGTTGTCTCGGGACCGTGCTTATTGCTTTTTCCCCTCCAAGCCCTGTGAGTAGCTGGATCCTCCCCATGCGCAACGTTCCGACCCTCCCTGTTCGGCGGCCATTGGTGCGCCTGGGGCTGCCAGTCCTCGCCGACGGGAAACCGCACCAGATAGCGGGGTTGTATTCTCATCCCCTCTCGTTTTTCGTTTCTCGAGTCCGTTCCGGTTGCTAATTTTATAGTCGTTGGTGTGGCGTCCGTCGCGACTGGACTCGTAGCTTTGCTCCTCGGACTCCAGTGCGCTCCGTCCGTGAGGGTACAAATTGGCCTTCGATCCTCTCTTGACGACCTTGTCTTCTCCGGATCAGCTCGCTGAAGATCTTCATGCTTTCTCTTGGCTGTCAACTCTGAATTTCGTGACTTCCAAAAGCCAAGGTTGCTTAGCTTGATCCTATCTAACATCCCAATTATCTCGATTCTTCGTGACTGCTCTGTCTCATCATGGTGGTCAACGCATCTGTCTCCGGGACAGGAGCCATGAAACGGCCGGCCTCGTCCCTGCAGGATGATTACGTTGGTTGGGAACATGCTCCAGTAAGATTCCACCATACTGTCGGGCCGATGTAGCGCTAACCCGGTCACTGTAGTCCATGGGAACCTCGATGCGCTCGTCCATGAACCTCCCCTATTCTCATTACGCCCTGATCTACTTGGACGGATCGGGGAAGCTTAAGGTTTCGGAGTCTTCGTCCATACGCGAACAGAACGGCACCGTGTTTACCCCGGAGGTGCGAGAAAGATTCCTGGAAGCCCTTGGAACAAGGATCGGATATCACAAGCCTATGCTACGCAGTATGTGATTTCATACCCTTTCGAGTTGATCGTACCGATTTTAACCACCAACAGGAGTTCCCGGTATTGGGCTACCAGCGTACGGATATGGTCGCCCCGAGGAATTCACCCGCCAGAAAAAGAGACGCAGATCGTCCTACCAGAGCGCTGTACTGGAATACTCTGACCCCGTGGAAGAGATGCCTCCCTACTCGACAACGAACATGATCGGGCTTGAGATCGGCGACGAGAAAAAGGTCCTGGAATATTACGAGAACGCTTTGAAGCACTTCCAACAGATCAACTGCAGACTGATTGCGAAGGCTTTCATCAAATTTATCGAGCCTCGCAAGCAAGTCAAACATCCTTACAACGGAGGCAGGCCTCGAGGTGCAGGCCAGAAGGGTGACCCGGAAAAGACGAAGCCGGACTGGTGGCCCTCAGCGGTCAACCACAAGGAGCCTGACCACCTGAGAAAAGACCGTGAGTTAACATGATTCCCCCATCTAATGTCCTGCAGATACTCTAACGCTAGACCTACAGAGAGAGTGGCGCTTTTGGTTCACATTTTGCGCAAGCTTGACAGAACCGGCATCACTCCTGAAAAGCTCCAGGAGGTTGCACATGACGCTCGCCGGCAGCTCAAGCCCCCTGAGAAGATCGAGATCTTCGACGAAATCTTCCGCGTCCGACGGATGGAGCAACGGCTCGAGAGAGGAGAAGTTGGTATGTAAAATGAAACAGAATCATTCATGATCAAGTGGGCTTACGCTTTGCCAGACGCCACAACTGTGGTATACGTCCTCAACAGAGATTCTAGCGCAAAGGGCGAGAAGGACGCAGATGCAGTCAGCGAACAAGACCCAAAGATGGAGGATACCGAGGAGGAAGAGGAGACGGATGACGAGTTCCTGACGCCATCATCCTCCGCAGAACAGGCGTCTGGGTCTTTCACATCGACTGTTGACATGGGTTTGTCAGGACAGGGAACCGACAGGAGTCAACTATTCCCGTTGTCCGAACCGATCGGCCTTGGGGAGCAGCCTCGACACGACCGATCCTTTTATTCCGCCTCGTCCGAGTACGCGAATGACTACTCCCCCCCCAGCATGATCAAACCACCACCATCGGCATTAGTTAGCCCCAGCGAGCAAACCCAGACGTTCGACTACTTGGCCCCACCGTCGTTCTCAGCTTCGACTGCCGGAGACCAGATGATGTCTCAGCGCCCAGCCGCCATGCCGATGCAACATTCCGTGAGCCAGTTCGATACATGGGCGCCTCCTTTCAGGCAGAACATGTTCGATCCTCTCGAGTACGGCACCGCCGACCAGACCGTGGCCTCGGCTCACCTCCCCTACCAAATGTCGATGGCTCATCCCCAGGACATAACCCATGGCCTACCTAATCTCCGCTGCGACAAGCCCACCCATATGGACCAGCTGTCTTTCCGAAGCTCAGGCTATCGCACAGGGTCGATAGGCCACTCCCACATGGGACTCTCGCGCGAGTGAGAAACACCAACGGCATTTGGCCTGGTTTGAACGAATTGAACGACTTGTATAGATGATCGATAGACTTTTTTTACCCTGATGGCGCCTGGACACTTATCAACGCCACAACATACCTTGCACATAGCGCCCTTCCGTTGGTTCCTTTATGGACATTTTCGATTATATATAAACATTGTCAGCTTTCTTTTGTTATTGTGTTCTTATCTCTTTATTCGACCGCTTGTTTTTATCTATTGTTTTTGCCTTTCTTTTTTCGTCGTCTGTTTTGTTAACCGAAAGAGACGCAAGCAACACAAAAAAAGGACTATGGTTCTAATGACCGGGGGCATATCGGGCTTGAGGCGGTTTCGTTTTTTTGTTCTGTTTTAGCACCTGTGACTTTTTGGATAGATTCATGGAAGCGAGGGCGCTCGAGGCGGTGTTCAATGCTTCTGGCCATGTTTGGCCAGAGCAACGATCGATGTTTACAGTTTTTTTGCGAGAGGCGGGAGTCTTTGAGTGTTTGGAGGTTGCGCGTGGAGTTTTACATCTTTGGCTGGAAAAAGCAGCGTGCTTGCCTGTTGTTAGATTTTAAGGTAGCATTGGTGGTTTTCGTTTTAATGCTATGTTTTTGACAGTTTATTGCATCTTCTCGTAATTGTAACACTGCTAAATTGTCTTTGGTTAGAACTTGTCTAAGCAAGAACATCCCAGTCCCTCATCTGACAGGAATCTAGGAGATCTTAGGAACTTCATAGTTGGAAAGCATCAGATCAGCTACGGAGAAAATTGTCTACGACACGTACAGCATAATATTACCTACAGCTGATTGTGCCCAGTCTACCTTTGATTGAATTCTGGATCTCTCGCTCGTTTAACTATCCATCACGTGTCACACAAGACTGAGCTGAGTTTTGCTTCTCACCACGTTCTCAATCGCAGATGGCCAGTCAACCATCCAAAATTGACTTCATGCTGAGATTGAAAGAGTCAACACCGCCGTGAGTGTTCCGAGACCATTCTATAAGCTGATACCAGTTCAAATGTCCAAATCTTTGCTGAGTGAGCAATGGGTTCGGATGAAAATCAATCTACACAAGATCAGTGCTAACACCCTGTTCACAAAATAGGTAGATAATCCAACAAAGTCCTCTGAAAGCCAGTCACACGCCGTTGACAATAGGGCCAACTAGCCAAACCACTAAGCTCAACATGGAACCCGTTGTGCTAGTCCGAGTGTCTTTATTGGATACGGAACTTTTCCGACCCCGAATTCGCCAAGTCGGACGTACTTGATACTCCCCATGACATGATCCTCTATTCCGTGTGGATGCCCCAGATTTATGAAAAGCTGGGGATTGCGGGGTTTCTGGGGGTTACTTCTGGCAAAAGAGGCTGTGCTTGTGGTCTATAAAAGCGAGCCCACCGAACAATCTTGTCAGTCAGTGTCGGATTACTCTGGTCAGAGACAGAGTGAGATACTGTGGTGACAATGGCACATACACGTTCTAGCCTGAGCAAAGACGATATTGTCTTGGAGAATCTGGAACATGTTTCCCAAGAGCAGCAGCTGCTTTCTCTGTTTCCAGTGCTTCAGAATAAGACTCCAGAGGAGTTGGAGAGATTGAACAAGGCTGTGCTCAGCAAGTTGGATTGGTGTTTTCTGCCTTGTGTGACCATGATGCTTCTGATGAGGTGAGTTCGCAGTTAAAATCTACTTGGATGATCAAACGAAACTAGATGCTTATGATTTATTCCCAGCTACCTTGACCGTATCAATGTTTCCAATGCCCGCCTGGCTGGTATGCAGGATGACTTGCACATGACCGATACCGTCTGGTCTGCTGGAATCTCGCTATTCTATGTTGGCTACATCATCTCCCAAGTTCCTGCCAACGTGTTCATCGCCAAAGGAAAGCCAAGCATCATCTTCCCATCCATTATGTTGGCTTGGTCGGCCGTGACTATTTGCATGCCGGCTCTCTCATCCGGCTGGGGATTCTGTCTCTGTCGTTTCCTCGTCGGTCTCGCCGAGGGCCCGTTCATCCCTGCCGTGTCGTTGCTCACCTCGTCCTGGTATACTCGCGAAGAATCGCCATTACGCATGGGGATCTGGCACGCGGGAAACACTATTTCCAACGCGTTTTCCGGTCTCCTTGCGGCGGGAATCCTTACGAACATGGATGGAATCGCGGGTCTTCGCGCCTGGCAATGGTTCATTCTTTTGGAAGGCATCGTCAGTATTATCGTGGGAGTGCTGGCCTACGGCTTTATCCCTAATTTCCCCGACAACACCGGTAGTCGCTGGTTCAATGAGGAAGAGGCTGCGATGGCACAGTACCGTCAAGTCCTCTCTGCCGGTGGCGTCCGCGAGGACGACGAAGGGAGTCATTGGGGCGGAGTGCTCCTGGCCATCAAGGACCCGTTTACCTGGTTCTTCTCGGCGATCCATTTCTCACTGATTATTGCTCAATCGTTCAAGGATTTCTTCCCTTCGGTACGTGCATTTTTGGCTATTTGTGTTAACCAGAGCCGAGAACACGCTGACAAAGTTTTTAGATTGTCGGTACCTTGAACTTCTCCCAGGTCGTGACATATCTTGTGCAGGCTCCGCCGTATTTCATTGCCTACTTCGCGACCCTGGTCATCTCTTGGTCGTCCGGTAGAACGCTAGATCATTGCTGGCATATCGTCGCACCAGTGATGGTTGCTCTCGTCGGCGCCGTGCTTATGATCGCAACGTTGAATCCCGGCGCGCGATACTTCGGGCTGGTATTGCTATGCACGGGGCCTTACGTCGGATTGAATGTATGCCAAACACCATTCCTCTGAATGACCCCATTTTGTTATAGTACGTAGAAAGAATACTAACATTTTGATTAACAATAGATCCAAATCGCCTGGGAAACCACCGTCGTCCCACGTCCCCGAACGAAACGTGCCGCGCTGATCGCCATTGCCAATTGCGTCTCCTCTGTCTCACACTGGTTCACGCCCTACTTCTTCCTTCGGTCGCAGGAGCCTCGATACGAGACGGGTGGAGGAATCATTATTGCGGGATGTGGACTAGTGATTATCTCGGCCGTCATGACCCGGTGGTGGTGTATGCGGAAGAACAAACAATTGGACGAGGCAGAGGCAGAGAGTGGGAATGTGACGGAGTGGAGGTTCGCTACTTGATTCTGTCAAGAGTGTTTGTCTTTACTCCGTTTGTCTGGATCTGGTTTCGCAGGAGGTTGTGTGTTCTGTTGGATCTGGTGGGATATGATAGCACAGGATATATATGTCAAGAATCTTTTTCTTGCATGATGGCGACACCAGTATTTAATTCTTCGTAAAACATGTACATGTTCAGCCTCAAGCAATCACCTAAACAGTGCCCCTAGAAAAACGCCAACGCATTCGGCGGACTCGCCACACCACCAGGAACCTAAACCAACCCAGATTAGCACCAGTCTCATCAACACCGAACAAGGAAACTTACATCCAACACCTCACTCGAAACAAAAAATGTATTCCTCCCCATCCGCGCACACATGCGACTCAACTCCTCGAGATCAAACAACTCACCAATCGGCATCCCCCACCCAGCCAGCAACCACTCATGCAAATGCCACTCGGGCCTCGTACACGGCCACACCTCAAAAGATCTCGAGTCCCCAGCGACCGCGGCTGTCCTCTTCTCCCAGAGAAACTGCAGCAACGGCTCTGATGGCTCGACGCCGATATTTTCGGGCTTTTGCGTCTGATAGCGCGCGGCTAGCGTGTCTCGCTTTTCGGCCGCAAGGGTCTCGTATTGATGAATGTAGCCACTACCGTTGAAGAGGATGTCTCCTGGACGGAAATCCTCCGGCTTCAGACCCTGTGATGCAGCGGCCTTCAGGAGATAGGAGAAGGAAATGGCGTGGGGAGTGAATGCACCAATGATGTTTTTCATCTCGGGTTGGGAGGTGGCCCATTTGTACTAGTCGATCAGGATACCTCGGCCAGCGATGCCTTGTTTGGCAATATCTTACTTGTTTAGTTGATTTGTTTTCTTGGGCCTTGAAAGTTGTAGGATCATACGCACGGTGGATGCCGTTGACGGTCGAGGCCTGGAATTCCTCTGCTGTGTGGCCCATAAAATAGACCTGAGTATTTGAGATATGAGTGGACATCAAGCATGAATGGTCGAGTTAGGGGTATATAGACCTTTTCTTTCTGGTATCCATAATGTCGGAACCCGTCCCACTGCGAGCTGATCTGGGAATTAAACGACCACTGGAAAGGGCGAAATGGCGTTAATTCGTTCATACGATATAATCCAAAGTAACATTTGGTATAGTTACCTCATCATCATGCGCCACCTTAACAGGTTCCTTGTTGATCAATTTCACATCTAAGCATTTCCTACCAAGTTTGGGATGCGACGGGCCTGTCATTGACGAGCTATATCGGACATTAGCCTAGGTAAATTAAGACAAATCATCAAAAAGTACTATATTTGAGCGACACGCGTTGTCCCGTCCGGATTTCCTCCCGTGCCGTCTGAGCCACCACTTCTGGGGTAAGATGATTCAATGTTCCGATTTGATCGTCGGGACCCCAGCGACCCCAGCGACCCCAGGCATTTCCGTGAGGTCCGGCTTTGTCGAGCGGCAGACTGGAGAAAGTTGGGTGTTCTGATTCTGGAGCAGACATAGTGAGCGTTCAGTTGTGAGTTGGGTTGAATGACGGGGCCAAGAATGTGGTCATTAGTTTGCTTGGTGTTGGTGGTTTTATAGGTAGCGGAAGTGAGTCCGGATATATTCCAATCTGCCGAGGTTGGGGGATGGAGTTGGATTGAAGAGTGGGGATGGTATTTTCTTGGAGATGGGGCTTATTATGTTTTATATTCTGATAGAAGGCTGTGCTTTATGTTTATTGTGTTTAATAACTGGGATGATGATCAAACTGTGTCTTAAATAATGCTTGAGAAAATATCTCTCTCTATCATATCAATCAATCAATCAATCAAAATTCTATTAACATGGTGGAGCCTATCTATTGAAACGACAGGCTATGCAGGCGCTTCGCCGAATGAAGCAGAATCTCGAGCCCGTACGCCATATAAACCCAATACAGTAGACAAAAGAGATCAAAAAGTAACACAACTAAACCGGCTGCCACACGCCTGCCGCGTGCCTACTGCGCCCTTAGACGCTGTTCTCTCCTTCCACTCCGTTCTATCTGTGGTATTCCAGTGGGATCCACTGTTCCTGTGTGCGTCATGTAGCCAGTTGAGACTTCCTGACTCTTAGTGTTCAATATAACCATCGTCTTCCTCGTTTAGATCGAGTCCCTCTAGGAGGGTGCTGGGTTCCGGGACCTCCTCGTCCTTCTCGTCGTTAAACGTGGCGAATCGGAACTGCTGTAGGAGGCCTGTTCGTTGCATGAAATCGGCGACGTAGCGTATCGCCTGCGGGTGGTTCATGACTGCGTCGTAGTCCTGTATACGCCCACGCAGTCTCTCTATCATATGGACGTAGATTAGAGAGTATATCTATACAAAACGCTCTTATCACCCTGTCGATCCAGCTCTTCCTGCGTAAGCTGCGCTTGCACACCGTCTTCAGAAACACCTGCTCTCTGCTTGTTGCATCGTAAGAGAAGAACTTCATTCGCGGCTGCTGCAGCCATGCCAAGAACCACGATTGCCAAACAGGTGGCATAGCCGGACTTATACACCAGTGCTTCTTTGTCTAGGAAGATGTTCGTTCCGATTAAGCCTATATCATCAGAATCGCCTTTAATATCGTGAATGAAGGTGTATGTAACTTACTACCAAAATTGCCTACGGCAAGTACCCACGCCAGCCCGATAGATCGCTTCCATGACGGAGCGAGGTTATTCCCCGTCCATGCCGATATCCCCGGGAGGAGAGGATAGATGCCGATCTGGGCTAGCACGATGACAAAATACATGACCGGGACATGAGTGGCGATGGATGACGAGAACGAGAACAGAATTGCCAGTCCCGTGAGCAATACGCTCATCGGTCCTATAACAAACGGAAATCGCCATGCAAACCGATCTGAGAACTGACCGACCACCCAGGCTGAGATACCTCCTGCAACATACGGAGGGATACTCAATAATTGAGCTCGCGCGGAGCTGAACCACAGCTCGGTGATGATCTTCGGCATGGTGAATTTGAAGGCCGAAGTAGGCGCTGCGTTGGCCCAGGACATCAGGATAGCCAGGTTGACTTTCAGGTCTGTGACTGTGGACCATAGTAGACGCCAGGAGAGCTTGTCGCCTTCTTCCGTGGTGGTGCGTACGCCGGCGAGTCGCGAGCGGCAGTCAACAAATCGTTTCTCCTCCGGCGTGAGCCAGCTAGCCCGTTCTGCATTCTCGACGATAAGAAAAGGCATCGCGAGGCCTGCAAAGCCGGTGATCGCGCCCTCGATGAGAAAGATCTAGCGCTATCCTGCAATTCCGCGCGATCCGTCAAGGTTGGCGATAGCGAACGCGAGGAGGCCGCTGAATGCACCGGAAAAGGCGGACGCTGTGTAGAAGAGGGCAAGGCGCTCTTGAAGCTCCGTGCGGATATACCACGAGCTGACTATGAAGACGGCACCGGGGAAGAATCCGGCCTGTAGGTTGGTTAGTTAGTAGTGTCTTTCAACAGCTAATGCAGAAAGCATGCTCATACCTCGACAAATCCCAGCATGACTCGACAGGCTACCAGACCTTGGAAGTTCTTGACGACCCCCATACGTGTCATGATGGTGGCCCAGCCGATGACCAGCGCTGGGAGCCAGATACAAGGACGAACTTTCTTCAAAATCATGTTGGACGGGATCTCTGTGTCGCGGTAATCTTAGAAGGAGCAAACGAATGGTTTTGTGAAATTTACCGAAAACAATGTAGGGAGCAAAGAAGATCGTCGACGCAATATTGTATTGATTCCCGACCAGCCCCAGGTCTTTGTCCATACCCTCTATCTTCGCATTTCCAATGTTGGCTCTGTCGATATGAGCCATCAAATATAGGATGGCTAGGATGGGTATGAGTCGACCATCGATCGACCACCAGTCATCAGCTTGAGGCTTTTCTCTGGATCGTGAATCCCTCTCTTATTTTGAATCACACTCTTCCCTTTCTTTCCTTCAAACGACTTCATTAATTGTGCATCCTCTTCGGAAAGCAGGGCATATTGATCTGCAGCAAATTCACGGTGGGCAATGTCATCTTTGTCGGCCATCTCGTTGGTATTTTTCGTTCCAAGTTGACCAAGCAACAACTCGATGTTCTTGTCACTGCAGGCCAAGGAAGCAAAGCTCTTTATTCAAAATTTCCCCCAGAAAGAGGAGGTGTCATCCCCACGGGGCGGAGTGGAGTCTTTCGTGATAGTCCAACGCCGTCGGACTCAAGACCCGGAGATCATCCGTCGGAGGTTGCGTGTCGGAAAGATTCCGAATGACTCGCAAGCTCCGATGCGGTTCGCGATAACAATGCCAGAACATGACTATATTATTTAAACAGGGGAGGCGGCTCTGGGTGATTGAATTCCATTTTGCTATAGACTTCTTTGACAATTTTGGATTTACCATTCGCTGCAATTTAAAAAACACCTCCAAAATATCTCATTATGGGTTCCATTCAACCTCATCCCTCTTACAACCTCTCGAATCCCTTCCGAACTCGCATCCTCAATGGCCAAATAACTCCCTTGATGTCGATCAAGTTTGTCACGGGGAATGAAATCCCCATGATGTGCAAAATGGCCGGCATCCACGCCATGTTCATCGACATGGAGCATTCCTCCCTGGACATGCGCACCGTCGCCCAATTAATCCTCGCCTGCAACTACGCCGGCGTCTCACCAGTCGTGCGTTCGCCCTCCAAGTCCCACTGGCACATCAGTCGCATCCTAGACGCCGGTGCGGCGGCGGTTGTGATTCCGCACGTGGAGACGATCCAAGAAGTCCGGGATATCGTGCGCCATGCGAAGTTTGCGCCACTAGGAACGAGAGGCTGCACGAATAACCAGGCAGTATTGAATTTCCAGCACGTGCCGACTCTCGTGCAGAATGAGATCTTGAACGAGCAGACGATGTTGATCCCGATGATCGAGACGCCGGCGGCCGTCGACATCGCAGAGGAGATCCTGGCCGTTGAGGGCGTTGACGGGGTGTTGGTCGGATCGAACGATTTGTGCACGGATCTGGGCATCCCTGGCAAGTATGACAGTGATCTGTATCAGGATGCCGTGACGAAGGTGATCCAGGCGGCGAATAAGACTGGTAAGCCCGTGGGCATTGGAGGTATCGGTGGCCGGTTGGACATTTTGGAGAAGTGGTTCGCCATGGGAGCGACATGGTCGTTGAGCGGTCAGGATGCATCCATCTTGCAAACCGGGATGAAGAAGATACATGAGAACTATGCGGGGATTAGCGATAAGTTGAATAAGAAGCCCTAGTGGCCCGTTTCTGCGCTTTCATTATGTGTCCGCTTTGTCAACCCTGTGAACAGGAATATATCAGGACGGCTTGACCCGACTAGCTAGTAAAAGAGCAACATGTCGTGAATCTCCCTTGTGTTCACTTGGTTCTTCCTGAAAGATGATTTATTCGTCTTTTCTTGTCGACGTGGAAAAATGTTGACAGAAGACCATCCTCCTTTCTTTCGGTCCTGGCTAAAGCCAAAGAAGCTCCGGTCGAAATTCTAGGTCAAAGCTAGAACTAAGGATTGATACAATAGGGGAACAATGGCACAAGGAAGGCTGCTGGTCTGGCTCATCGAATCATCTCCGAAAAAGCAGCCAAGGTGCTCGACGAAGCCAAGTTCCCACCTTGTACGCAGGGCTCAGACTGCCATCTTGACTGGGAGCACCGAGCTCAGCCCTTGCCGGATTACCACTGGCACACCGACCTTAGATGGCCAACGAAAAACCCCTTAATCACAGCTGGCACCTTCCTCTATCGCAAGTCCCGGCTCTTCTGGACATTCCCTGACCCTCCTATTGGGCTTCTAGCGACTGATGATCCCAACTACGTCCTTACATCTGACCCACGCTTTCAGAACTCGTTCTCCCCCCGGCTGTAGGTCTCTGCTGTAATGATCCGACATTATATCCCGTCAAGATGCCAGTCCCCGCACGCTATCTAGAAGCTTTGCTCCTATTGGACCTCCACGACCTTGCTTGGAACGTGGAAATCGCTCGATTTGCTCAGTATCTCGACAGACCATGTATGGAATTCTTGAAGCACGATGATCTCGTCGAGCCTTACCAGGAGATAATGAAACGATACTTCAACGAGGAACATAATCAACTGAAAGATAACGATCGCGATGACAAGCTAACTCATCAGCTTTATGTTGATATGAAGAGAAAAACAAGCTGCCGCCGCCAGATATTCAGGAAACGTGACACAGTATCATGCCATTAGCGAAACGCCTTCAGATTCTTGGAATCCCCGTTGAAGACCATGAGTTGGAGGAATGGAAAGCTGCGCGTTCTGTCTCTGATTCATGAGTTTGACTTCAATTTCTTTGCGACTTGATGCTACTATTTGGTGGCGTTTTCGAGATTTTTCTTCTGCTCTTGTTGTTGGCGCACTGACTTTCCATTGGGGTTGTTGTTCTGGGGTAACACAATCTAGACATAGAAAAAGAAAAGAAAACATAAACAAAAAGTGAGAGTATAGTAACATTATTGTTTCCAAATAGAAACACAGGGACTGATCTATTACAGCTCCTTCTGAGTAGATGGCGCCCCTCCCCCGTGGTTACTTCATGGGAAGTTATTAGCCCAATAAAATTCCAATTCCCCACCATTTATTCTCAAATTCTGTTCAGAACTGCGCAGGAGTAGGCATTGGCGTGCTGATAGAAGCGGTAAATGCCCGAAGAGCTTAAACACAGCCATCAGCTTTGCGACATCCTCCCCATCGTCAAATTTCTTCTGCTCGTCTCCTCGCGTCCCACAGCATACCGCCTGGATCGCGATCAGATCGAGGGCTAGTACAACTGACAGATCCCCTCGGTCAATGCTGTGGATGGCTTGCAAGCCCGGTGGTCGGTAGAGGAACTTTAATGTCCAGGATAGAAAATGAATCATCACCGGGCCAGAGAAAAGAGAGATTTGCGATCTCACAAGATAAAGGCGGAAAGATTATTCTCAGGTTAACTCAGGTCAAAGAAAGGTTTTCGCCGAACAAGCAAGTGATTACATATTACGGCAAACTTATACATCGTAGTTGTAACCGTATGCAATTTCAAATAAGACTGCATTTTAAGAATTGAGTTATGACGAGAAAGGGGTGGAGAGCGAAGCAAGACTAGGATGCACTGGCTCGAGGTCATCCGTTGGACCTGGGAAAGGTGTATCACTGCATATATATTCCCCAGGAACAGCTTCTAAATTCCAGGAGGGATGTCGTCCGGACTTATCCCAGATGTCCCAAATATCCCACATATCCCACGAAAGCCAATCCTGAAGAGGAAGATCATCATTGAGTAAGGAGTCCTGAGGCACAGATTCGTTGGGTAAAATCGACCAATGAGTGTTGAGCAGCAGCGGTTGCTGAGGGCTATTATTATAAGCAGTCGATATGACCTGATTCTGAGGCTGGTTGTGTGGTGCCTGGGTCTGATAATCCGTATCCTGTTGATCGACATGCTCGCTGGGATTGTTCACTGGTCTTGATACCGCGGCTCGATTCTTCAGGACTCTCGACCGCAACGATTCGTACATTGTAACATTATGGCTCGCCTCTGGTATCTCTCTGCCCATGGTCTTGAGGACTCGGGCGCACTGTTCCAATGCGTGTGCAGCATTTGAAATTGTTCCAGAATCATGATCAGTCACTACAGATATACTAAACATGATGGATAGTCCCGCAGTGAACAAGGTTTGGAAATAGCTTCGGGTGTATGTAAGTATCTTTTGGTCGAAAAGCGGACAGAATGCCATAATGGTTCCCACCGCAAATTGTAGACATAACGAACAGAGGTCTCGTGGAGGTATGTTGTTCTCTTTTGGCACAAGATCAATTGCCTTGCGTATTAGGATCAGTCTCTCTCGCATTAGAAGAAGGCCGTACCAATCCTGGGTCTCAAAAAGACATCTAGGATTGGGAAAAGTCGGGGCGGAATGCCGCCAATCATCCAGTTCAGAAAGTAACTCATCCAAATCGGCGTAGATCTTTCCTCGGACCGTGATCGATTCAATCATCGAGTCTTGCTCGCTACTACCGCTCGAGCTGTCGGAATTCTGCTGAAATCGTGTTTGAATCTTAGATGTAATTTGTCGGAGGCGCAGGCAGAGCAAAAATACCGTTATCTCTGTATGCTCTGTTGAGGTCGAGCTAGCGGATGTTGTAGGAAAGGAATTCAGGTTAGTAGTGGACCCAGCAGCCTCGGCGGCCTCAATGTCTTCATCATTAGCATCGGCCGGAAACCCGATCAGAATATCGCTATCTGCTATTGCATGCGGGCGGTCCAGTATAATTGAACTATATCGTGCAATCATATAGCACTCCCAGAATACACGTCGCTGTAGCTGTTCCTGTAGAAGGTTTAATTTTCTTCTCTCGCTTGGGCGAGGTGGGCGATGGTAGCCTTGTTCAAGGCACATTCGCATACATAAGCTTGTAATGGCCCAAATCGATGTACCTTCGGTTATAGTCAGCTTTCACGTTCTTGTCCCCTCGGGACGCGGGCCACCGTACCAATGTGATGATAGATTCCAAACCTGACGACTAATAACAAATCCTGGATAGATTGCAGTCCTCTGGAGAGCACTGTAACATCCATATGCTTCATCGCTGTGCGGAAATACCCATAAGGATGACTTTTGTGCACACCATTCCGGTATAATGAAATGGATCCAATGGCAAGAATCATAAATGTTCGGAAGAGATCGTGGTCTGATAAGTCTGATCTCTGTTGTGCTGACGGAGACTCGCCCCCTGTTTCAAACACCGAATGGTATAGTTGCTGGACATCACGCCGCAGTAGAAAGGGGTTTTGCACATGGGATACGGTCAAGCTTCTTGTCTCAGCTGGGGTTGAGGATTGCAGATAGAGGACCACTCACTAGTTATTGAACACAGCTAGTGCCTCGTCGGGTGGTGGAAGAGAATTGGGCTGAACTGAAATCTCTGCTACTGCTGATGCATTCGACCATTTATTCAGCATATTGGAGTATCGCTCTCTCCATTCCGGATCTGCGAACAAATAACTCATGAACCTGGAGCATAACAGTCAGACGCGTTCGCAATAAATGATTTAGGAACATAACTACCTAATACCGACAGGTCCGACTGGGGTTACTGGTAATGTGGACCCTCTAGACTCTTTGGCTTGCACTTCATAGCCCTTCAGCAGTTCTCGGCTTTTTGTAATCTGCTGCTCTAACTGGTGTACATGCCTATTTTCGCCTTGAGCTTCTTGACAAAGACGGAAGTTCATGAATAGAGCTTACTCTCTTGAAATCGGCACGTCTTCGTCAGAGACTGGCACAGTGAGGCACTCTATACCAGCTTTCATACAGGGTGTACATTTTGGTCGGACGTCATCACACTATCGAATCGCCATTCATAAGGAGACTCCTCTTTGAAAAGGAACAATAGGACATTGAGCGAAGGGGGAAAACCTTTGCTTTCTTTGTATAGCATGACTGGCAGGCGGGAAGCCGTACCGGTGCATTGTCATGAATGGACATGGATTCTGGGGGATTTATACCAAGATAGTGGCCTTGGAAACATCTCAGATCAGGCTTGGTGATGGAAGCCAAAAACCTCAGGCCTTCGACCGCGGAGAAAGCTGGCAGTGACTCAGACCTGACTAAGCTGGAGAGGCCTCCCCCCACGGGGCCACGGCAACTCCATCGGTCCATCTCCATCCTTGATGCTCCATGATCCATCAAGCCCTCAACCGAGCTAGGAACTCGGCTAGTGTTGGCACCGGAATATCTCCGTTTTTTGGACGACGGTCGGAAAGTCTCCCCGGCCATCCTGCCGAGGGGCTACACATAGCGCTTCCCCCTAGTTTTTCCTCCACATTCTTTTTGACGATGTGATTATTTCTGCGCCCTACTTCCGGTCGGAGATCCGATAATGGAATCAGACCGTCCCACTGCCCCTGTCTCACCCAGATCTCCTGTCCGACGGAGACCCCAAGCCTGCGAGAGGTGTCGGAAACGCAAGCAGAAGGTCTTGGCCGATGACCCACGGTTAGAGCAGCGATGATACCTGAGGCTAACGACTGGCTGTCAACAGTGCGACCGACTTTTACCGGCATGCACGGCCTGCGCCGAGGCTGCAGTCCCATGCGGTGCTCGCAGAGTACCTCTGGGAGCCAGCACAGAAGAAGGGAGCGGCATTTCCCATGCTGCTGTACCAAAGTAAGCGGTCGAGACAGTCTTCGTATGGAGTCGCTGCTAAGATCGTCGGTAAATCAGCTACGTTGAGTCGCTTAAGAGGAAGTCGGATGAATTGGACAGTCAGGTTCGACGACTACGCGCACGCCTGGGCGGTGATACGTCTGTTGAGACGCATCACACGCCTACGCAACCTATGGATTCTACACAACCGCCTGATTTTTCTGACCAAACACCCATGTCCGATCATACCGAAAGATCGGTCCAAGCTGCCATGGGGGAGATTGGATTTTTGTCTCGCAGTGCCATGGCCGAGCCAAGGGACGAAACTCGAGCTTTTCCACAAGAGTTAGCGATGAACAATATGGTTCACGCCGCTCTTGCAGTTCCAGACACGCCCTCGCTACTACACTCATGTGTTACTGATAGTCGACGATTATTCAGCTCGAGAGTGCATGGCACCGACATACTGACTCGGGATATTGCAACGCCTTATCTGGAAATTTTCCTAGACCATCTAGGGATGATGTTTGTGCACATTGACTCAGCGGAGACAAAGGAGCATTTCTTTGCGTTCTTTGATACCTCAACAGAAGGGTCTAGCGATGAGACTTCTACAGATTCAAGTTCTGCATACAGGCATTTTCAAGTCTACATGATAGTGGCTATCGGAATGATGCTTTCTCCTGATCCAGGTATTCACCTGCTTGCAATCAACGTATACAACATAGCGCGGGAAAAGCTTCATACCATTATGGAATCCTGTGACAATCTCACGACACTTCATTGTATGATACTGCTAGTCTTTAATTCAACGCTCAGTCCTTTTGGAGGATCCACCTGGCATCTCCTCGGGCTCGCAATGAATAAATCCATCCTGCTTAGGCTTCACAAAGAGCCTAATCTGGAATCCGGCATATCAGCCGAAGAGATGAATCGCAGGAGAAATATTTTCTGGAGTCTCTACACAATTGATCGGTTGGCTTCCCCGTAGACTGTCTTGTACAGACGAAATTGACCTTTGTATAGGATACTGGGGTGTGTGATGGACCGGCCTTTTAGTATCCAGGACGATGATATATCTCTCAAGGTAAGTAACCCTCTTCAGAGAACTTTAACATTTCTGCTGAAACACTCAAGTCCCCAATCCTTGGCACGACTCCTAATGGCGCATTTAACTACTATGTAGTGATGCACGCCAGGTTGATGTCGTCCATGCGTAACTCTCCACATCAACGCCCGGTCTTCTATTATACCAATATATGCCACTGGCGACATATGGTGACAACTTCAAAAGAAATTCCTGACACAGGAGTCATTCCTTCCGTCTCTGTCAAACAACTCACATGCAGGGCGTTGATCCAGCTTGTCAAGCTTGGGGGCTTTATAAGTTCTAGAGACAGTGTGATGGGCGATGGTCAGACGATTAAACAAGACGCAATCTCAACTTGCCAAGAATACATAAATGAGGAGTATCGTCGCTCAGAGCAGGGGTTGTTCTCTGGGTCTTTCATTGTTGGCCTCGACATTTTCTCCGCAGGTGTAATTGGAATCTTGCTTCCATTGACATCAATGCTAAGGGCACCTTCTCTGGACCCCAATCTCGGTAATAAATGCACTTCATTGTTGACAATACTTGGAGAACGGTTTAAATCTCTTAAAGCACTGTGCAGAGTTATTTGGGTTTTGTCCAATGTTGCTTTGCAAGGCTGGATCGACGAGTCGGTAAGTCAGACCCACCAGCTAGCTTCTGCCAGATATTAATTTTTGAAAACCTCCAGATACTCGATGATTTCCCAGAAACTATTCCCGACGGGATATACACGATGATTGTGGAATTTCTCCGACAGGCGCATGTTCGTAGCTGACTCGTTTCGGACGTCCGTCGGACAGATTCCGGGCCACCATCCGACGAACGTGATCGCGTCTCTTGAGTCACCCAGGTGGATTTGAAACCTATTTCAATGGGTGCCTGCTTCCTACCAGAATACCTAGTGTCTTCATTTGACAAAGCAAGTATCATGGCGCCCGGAATCATCGAAACCCCTTCCTCGGCTGGTCAGTCGACCTCCAGCTCCAAGTCTACCGTCTACGCCCTTGACACATTTCATCCCAAGGCTATATCACACGCCGAAACACTCTTCAACGTCATTCATCCCCATGACGAGGATTTCAAGAACTGGAGGCAAAATGCTAGGGCCTTGCTCGTGCGGGGTTCCTACGTCACGGCCGACGATATCGCCAGCTGCCCGAATTTGGTCGCCATTGGCAAGCAAGGCGTGGGGATTGATAAAATCAACCAAGAGGCTTGCGCTGAACGAAACATCAAAATCCTCAACACACCTGGAGCCAATGCTCGCGACGTTGCCGAGCTCGTCGTTACCCTCGCCCTGTCCGTAGCACGAGGCATCCGATCGATTACCACCCGTCAGATGGTCAAGCCGGTACCAAAGGAGACCTGCAATGGGTTGACTTTGTATCAAAGAACTGTCGGAATTATCGGCATGGGTAACATCGGAAAGACCGTGGCGGAAATCTTTCGAGGCGGGTTCGACGCTAAAATCATTGCTTACGATGCATATATGCCGGATAATGCTTGGCCGCATATTCCTCACACCCGAGCGACGAACATCGATGAAGTCTTGACCGGCGCCGATATTCTGTCTCTACATGTTCCGCTCACCCACGAGACTCGAAATATGATCTCTTACCCACAACTTCGGAGCATGAAGCCCGACGCTATTGTGATTAATGCGGCTCGAGGCGGGATTGTCAACGAGGCCGATCTGACAACGGTGTTGTCGGAAGGACATTTATGGGGCGCGGGTCTTGACTGTCACGAACAAGAACCACCAAGCCATGAGAATTATGGCGCTCTGTGGGAGAATCTGAATGTTATCAGCACGCCGCACATCGGGGCCGCAACTACGCGAGCGCAAGTCGCAAGCGCCACGGCGGCCGTGGACAATCTGTACCATTACTTGGCTGAGTTGTAAACCATTTTTGGATAAGTAAATATAAATATATATCTTGTTGGATTGGGCTAAATTTCATATTTTGTTTTTAAGTTGGTGTTGCGTTTCAAATCAATTTGTCTTGACCGCACGGGATCGAGGAACGCCTCTACAGTGCCAGCGGACAAATTGCACGTTGCCCTTGATACTATCTGTAATAAAGAGAGTCTTACCATCCGAGCCCCCAAAGGTACAGTTTGTCAAGTTCTTCCCTCCCTCCGGCGCAGTTACAATTCGTGCCTTAGGAACCCCATCCGCATCCACCACAAATACCGATCCGAGACTAGGATGACAGATGAATACATTCCCCTCCTCGTCTACCGCTAGCCCATCCGGACCCGCGCATCCGAAAGACTGGAAAAACAGTCCGACTTTCGTCGTCGTCCCGTCTGCGTGGAGCGGGAGTCGCCAGACCGCATTGGATCGGGTCATGGCCACGTACAGGAATCGCTCATCGGGCGACAACGCTAGCCCATTGGGCGAGATGCCGTTCGAGACGAGGCAGTCGAGTTTGCCCGTGGGCGAGAGCCGGTACACGCAGCCTGTTGGGTCCGTCATGCCGGTTTGGCCCTGGTCGGTGAAGTAGATGTCGTTCGTGGATGACACGATCAGGTCATTGGGGCCTTTGAAGCGCTCGAGATTGCGGCGCGTGAGAAGGGGCGAGATTATACTTGTGGTCGGGTCGAACACCAAAATCCCCTGTTTTGTTTATTTAGACTGGGACCAGTGGATTGAGTCTGGTTAGGTGGTCTGGCGGACTTACCTGCTTGTAATCCGCCACTACAATACATCCATCTTCTCGTACGACGAGTCCGTTGGGTTCACCATCCCAGCGCACGCATTCCGTCACGGCTTTGTCGGCATCGACCTTGAGTATCCGTCCGTATGGTACGTCCACGAGATAGAGATCTCCATTCTGGACATACGTCGGCCCCTCGAGGAAAATGTCAGCCAGCGGCGTTGCGGATCCGGCGCGCCATTCAGTGGGTTGGCCTGTAGATCGGACTTCGTCGGGGATGCGAGTATAGATCTCCGCCTGAATGACAGGGGGCACGGGGTAGAAATTCATTAGTCAGAGAATTCTGTCTTTATGGACGGTGAGAGGGGAAGCGATGGCCCCGGCTCGATCGTTGAGGAAGCTATATTATACCCCGTGGGAGAACCGGATAATTTCCGACGCAGGAGCAACTCCGCGAAGAGAGTGGAGTTACCCCAGTATACACCGGTGTAGAACAGTGAGTTATGCAATCTGTGGTCCGTGCAACCACCCTTCCCCCCGGGGTTAGGATTCCCCTATAATAATATCCCTTGCAGCGGAGGGCGAAAGGGTTGGGATTGCCCTGGTGCGGTAGGAATCTATACACCCATCTCTTTCACTACGGATTCTCACTATGGGTCTTATTTCGGATGCCAGAAAGGCGATGAAAGATGCCCCGGAGGGCACATTCAATGCATATGTGCTCATGTGTACCTGTGTGTTTGCTTTGTCCGGAGTATCGAAGGGTTTTGACGAGGGTGAGCAAGCATCACGCGAACATGGGCCCCTGTCTTCCGACTGATCGGTCTTCCGTCTAGGAAATATTGCCTCCTTGGTTACTCAATCCCGGTTCAAAAGCAAGTTCGGAGTCGACGCCCAGTCCGAAGAGGAGTATTCCGATACGAAAGGGTGGTTGGTATCGATCGCCACGGCAGGGGCGGTCTTTGGGTGCTTGGGGGTAAGTTAAACTCTCTTGGCTTGAGGTTGTTTGGCTGTGGAATGCTTGTCCTGACGATGGTTTCAAACATATAGTGCTCTCCTGTCAACGATAGACTCGGTCGTCTGTGGACCCTTCGCCTCGTTACTCTGGTCTATATCGCAGGTATCCTTGGTCAAGGTCTGTCGGATGGCAACCTCTCCGGTTTTTACGCATCCCGGTTCATCTCAGGTCTGGGTATTGGGCCATTGACGATCGTACCACCCATATACATTGCCGAGGTACGCTCTCTGTATCTTTTGAGCTGATCCTATCGTCCGTGCTGACGGATTGGCTAGATATCTCCCAAGGCTATCCGTGGTCTTCTCACATGTCTCTACGCAGCTTGCCAGCAGCTGGGTGTAGTGCTAGGGTTCTTCATTAACTATGGGGTCACTAGACGCTATCCGGGCATTGACAAACAGTGGATGCTGCCTACACTGCTCCAGATCGTCCCGGCTGTTATTTGGTGCTCGGGGACCTTCTTGTGTCCGGAGTCGCCCCGGTGGCTGCTATACAAGGGGAAACGAGAACAAGCGATCATGACCGTGTCTCGATTGCGCCACCTGCCATGCGATCATTCAGTCGTCCTCGCCGAACTCGACGGTATGGACCGACAGATAGAGCATGAAATCGAAGCTGTCAGCGACGCACGTCTGTGGGATCTCCTCAAAGAGACATTTGTGCCCGTCGAGAATCGTCGTCGCTTCTTTTTAATCTTCTTCGCCACGCTTTTCTCCCAATGGTCTGGCGCCAACGCCATCACTCAATACTCGCCTACCATCTTCGGCTACTTAGGCATCCAAGGCGACGAGGCCAAGTTCCTCGCGACCGGAATCTACGGCGTCGTGAAATTCGTCAGCACCTTGGCCTTTGCCCTGTTCATTGTCGACTTCATCGGTCGACGTCGATCTCTGATCACAGGCATCTGTCTTCAACTAACGACGCTGATTTTCGTCGGCGCTTATCTCGGCGTCACCGGACACATGACTCCTGACGAGATCCAGGATCTGCCCAGCGCCTCGCGCACCTCGACGGCCGCCATCGTGGCCATCTTCCTCCACGCCGTGGCATGGAGTATCGGCTGGTTCAGTATTCCGTATCTCATCAGCTCCGAGGTCTTCCCGATCCGGATTCGCTCGCTAAACGTTTCCATCTCCATGGCGTTCCACTGGGGGTTCTATTTCGGGTGTTCGCGCGCCATGCCAAGTCTCTTGTCGGCGACGCACAAATGGGGCGCCTTTGTGTTCTTCGGCAGTATCTGTTTGGTCTCACTGGTTTATGTGTTCTTCGCCATGCCGGTAAGTTCTTTGATCTTTTCCCCCAGCGCTTTCATCGTCCGTGCTGACACATCTCAGGATACTACCGGCAGGTCGATCGAGGAGCTGGATAAGTTGTTTCAGCGACCTTGGTATACAGTTTACAAGGTAGCGTATCCGACAAGGGATGAGATTCAAGTGAGCAGCGTTAATGAGAAGGCGATCACAGAGGGAAGGGCCGAGTATGTGGAGCGAGTGTGAATTTGAGCAGGGCTGGGCTTTTCATATCAACGCTAAATATCGATGGTTGACGTAGCAATTGGCGTAGCAAAGCCTTCAGAACAGATCAATACAATAGGATGGTATCATCTAAGCATTCACGAGTGTCTCCCTGCGCTCACCCCAGCCTCCCTATCCCGGGAAACGAACATATCTCCTCATCCTCCGGATCCACCTCGAAGTCAAACCTCACCAATTCCTCCTTGTACGGAAACATATACGTACTCGTCACGCTGCCAATCATAAAACATCAATCAGGAATTCAATATATCAAAAATTTGATAAACAGGAACTCACCGATAATGTTCATCACTCGCCTGATACTCCGCCAAGGCCTCGCGGTTTTCGTGATAGCTCACGAGGGCGATCTCGAACCCTTTGCTTTTCTCAATTGGGTCCGTAATTGAGGGTCCGCCAACTATGAGTCGTCCATCTTTGACACAGGCTAGATTCTTGAGGGTTTTGAGCTCCGAGACGAAGGTTTGTTTGTGCTCAGGGGTGACTTCGGGGCGGAATTTGAAGAGAACTGGTTTTGTTAATTGTCTGGATCAAGAATAGAGCCTAGGAATACCGTACCGATGTGTACGACTGTCATGGTGGGAAACTTAAATGAATTTGATGGTACGTTTATTTGGAATGAGAATATTCAAAGTTATGATCAGGTCGTTTACTTCAACTTATACTGTCCTTTTCCCGGCTGCAGCCAGTAGGAAGCGTCCCGTTGCGGGATGACGGGCGGGTGTACGCCGCCCCTTCGGAGTGGGTCCGAATCTAGATGCCTTAGGTATTCTTTCCTATAACTACCCATGATAGATGTATAGACAAATCGATAGGTAGATACATGCCAATTCCCTAATCACCGCGCAATATACTTAGTATGCGACCCCTGCGCCACAACCGCCAACTCGCCGTTCTCCTTGCGCTTCGAAATAACCACAGTAGTAAATCCCAACGTGCGACCGACACGACTCGTCCGTCCTTCGATCTGCAACTCCTCGCCCTCCTTGGCCGTGCTCACGTACGAAATGTGCATGTCCGTACTCAATCCCGTCGACTGCAGTCCATGCGTGGCGATAGCCAGCCCACCGGCCCAGTCGAGCACGCAGGCCGAAAAGGTGCCGTGCAGCGTGCCCTTCGAGTTGATCTGCTTCTTGTTCACGCGCAGCGTCGCGCGGATCACTCCCGTCTCGGCCTCGTAGATTTCGGCCTCGTCGAGCAGGAAGGCGTAGATGGGGCTGTTGTTTTGGATGCGCGTGCGTACGCCCTGCACGTGGGCGAGAATATCTTCGGGGGGCGTGGTCATGATGGGTTGGTAGTGATGGGTTGTGGAGATGTCAGATTGTAGGAGAATGGAATGGGATGGAGTTGATGTTGGAGGTGAAATTCTTCGTGCGGGCGAGGCCTAAACTTATACCCGCCATCGGAGCGTCTCCGCCCGTCGGATGTTCCCGCCTTTAGTAAATCGACGATGTTCTGCCATTGTCATTACTGTGGTTGTTGTCATTGTTTCTCGTGTTTTGAAGAGTGGCTAATCAGTTTGATTTACCCCATAACGTATCGTTGAGAATGCATTGGCATTTGTTCGTAACTCTACCTCTTCATTTCCTCTCAGGTTAGTAACCCTAATTGCCTCGGGATATATGCCCCGTTGCAAGTGCAAGGGGTATTATGCCCACCTTTGACCCCCAAAAGCTGTAACGAACGGCTACGCAGGCGATAAGGAATCGTGAGAATGTAGGGGATGCATTCAACGAAGAAACTAAGCTAGGTTGTGAAGCTAGTCCCGATCGGGTAGTTAGGTCATAGGGTATCCCAAAGGAACGTCTTCGGAGGCTGGTCACAGTCCGTGACAAGGTTACTCGTTTAGGGCACTCAGTCTTCCGCTCACCCCGTGCTCAGTGGTCGCCTCAGGCCGCTCACCCCGTGCTCAGGTCTGCTCAGTGAGCAAAAAGCGGCGAGAGGTGAGCACTAAAACGGAAAGGGAATGTTGTCGCCCTGACTAGAAAATCAAGTACATATGCTAGAATGTGTAAGATATAGCAATTGTGAGAGCTAATCCAGAACGTGCTAACTTTGTCGTAGTCGTAATGACTGCCACCAGCGGACTTATGGCGGGCACGCAGATCTTCCGGGACGACGAATCTTCAGCACTGAATGGCTTCCAATATTCTGTCATTGCCATGGGAATTTCGTTACTAATCACTGTATTTCATCACAGTTATCCAAGAGGAATCGTGCTCATGATTGCTCTAGTCGTATCAGGTCTTGCTTTAACGGGATTACAGCAACCAATATATTTTACGACAGATCGTCATCCTAGGATCTGCGTTGAGCCGACCTGAAAGCATGAAACAGATTACCGTGCTATTGAAGGAGAATACCTGGTCTCAGAACAATTCCCCAGCAACTGGTGTTCTGGTTCATGTCCTCAGCTGCTGGATCTTTACAGCGGCTATATCGACGACAGCAAAAGAAGGTAGGTAGGATGTGTTACCTGTCAAGTGCATTCTATGAGACCAACAAGGCAGTCGGCCTTTTTCAATGAACGGATCCATACAGTGTTAATTCAATCTGGTACATTCAGGCAGCATGTTGAATAGTTCAGTCAATTGTTGTCGCTTTGGCAGAATAGCGATGGGCCCGTTATTCATATATTTTCGTAAATACCACTCACTGACCCTTTGACTATGAAGGGAAAAGGATATTCTGCCATCGATGATAGAGGTGCCGAGAGACAAGTGCGCAGAAAAGTCAACACTGCACGTCATTCGGAGTCTTCATAATTATAACCTGATACTGAGCGAGAGAGCTCCTTTGTAATCGAGCCAAACGTTGAGGGGGTAATCGAGCCAAACGTTGAAGGGGTTGTAAATTTGCTAGAAATGCCAATTCCACCATAGCTCAATAAGTCGACGACTGCTTCGTGACCGTTTGACGTAGCCAGCGAAAGCGCCGTCTGGCCATGTCGATCCTTTAATCCTTCTAATTTCCTGAGCAGAGGCAGTGGTAATTCTTGAAGCAAGATCTCGACAACATTTGCCTGACCAGCACGAGCGGCGATGTGAAGAGGCGTAGATCCGTCAACGTTCTGTTCAGTTACCTTGGCTCCAGACAGCAGGAGCGTCTGAGCAATTTCCATCAAGCCAAACATTCCGGCAAAGTGAAGGGGCGTGTTTCCTTCATCATTCGAAATATTAGGATCTGCTCCATTTCTCAAAAGCAGCAAGACAATGTCATTCCAGGCATATGTAACTGCAAAGTGTAAAGCGCTCATACTCCTATCGTCCAAAACATGAGTATCTGGCGTTTGGCCAGATGATTTTGTTAGCATTAACTGTACCATTCGATATTTCCCAGTAGCGCAAGCCCAATGAAGCGGAGTTCGGCCCACACAATCACGATCGTTAAGCGAGCAACCAGCGCTGAGTATTTAATCGAGCAGGTCATCTTCCCAATCAGGTCGATGATCAAAAGCCATTTTGTGCAAAATGTTTCGTCTATTGTGGTCTTTTGCATTCAAATCAGCGCCTCGTGCGATAAGTACCTTAACAGAATTCTGATACCCCTTCAAAGCAGCGGTCATCAGCAGAGTATTGCCATCCGCGTATCTCAAGCCCAATGAAGCCCCATAATCCAGCATCATGAGTAGAATTTTGTCGTAGTTGGTTTTGATGACCCGGAGAAGTGCTGAATGTACAACTCTGGGAGATGACATGCTGAAGTCAAAAAGACACTGTGTTGTATCAATGTTTCCTCTTGTCACACTTTCAATCAGGCACGCTCGTAAGGCAGTTTCTCCAAGATAGCCTGTGGCATGGGCAATGCTCAAGATACGTCTCAGTGAAGGAACATCGTCATCTTTGGTGGCTTGCAGCAGTTCAAGCTCCATGGACCGAAGACTCGATCCGCTTTTTACTTGTCCTAGCAGTAGGGCCGCTGTGGCCTCGTGTTTATTCAATGCAGCCCATGACTGCGGAGTTCGACCAAGGTCATAATCCTGAGATGCCGGGTCTGCCCCATGGCCGCATAGCAACTCTACAACCTCTGCATTTCCACTACCCGCGGCCCAAGATAGCGGTGTTCGACCACTAGCATCGTCTGATTCAACGTTCGCTCCCCGATCAATAAGAAGTTGTACTACAGCTGCTGACCCTTCCTCTGCAGCCCAAGATAAGGGTGTCCGCCCAAATCCATCTCTGGCTTCAAGATGAGCACCTTGGCCGAGTAGTGTCTGAATTACGACCGTGTCGAAAGCGCGAACGGCCCATGATAAAGCCGTGCGACCGGTATACTCATCTCTTGACTCCGTGTTCGCGCCCTTCTGGAGCAAATACTTGACGATAGAGTCGTGGCCCTGTATTGCCGCTTGTGATAGTGCTGTAAAGCCGTCCATATCTTTGGCCTCTAAGGATGTTACAGTTGTGGAAAGCCTTTGCACTACCATTTCGTACCCTTTATTCGCGGCCCAAGTCAGCAATCCTTCTGCGCCTCCATCGACGACTGATGGGTTAGCGCCTTCTTCAATCAAGAGTTTCATTATCATATCGTTTCGATTTTTTAAACTCCACATTAAAGGGCTGGTTCCAGAAGGATCTCTCGCCTCAATCTTGGCACCTCTTTGAATCAAGATCTTAGCTGTTGAGTAGTGATTGTTCTTCGTAGCTATCAAGAGTGGCGTGTCACGACCCCCGACATCTTTTGTTTCAATGTTTTCGTCGTTCTCTAGTAACAGAGATACAATGTGGTCGTGGCCGTTGGCCGCTGCGAGCCATAGGGGAATACATTTCAACTTGGGAGCACGGTAATTGCTTGCCCCTTTGGCAGTGACAAGCAATTTGGAAGCTTCTCCATGTCCCTTGTTTGCTGCATGATGTAATGCCAGATAGCCGTCAACGTCTTGCAAGTTTACATCGCAGTATTGCAACAGGACTTCGACGATGTCGTGATATCCTGACTTTGATGCAACGTGAAGCGCAGGGATACGCTCTTCAACAAGGGGCAGGTTACAAATCGTCTCCAAATCATCGTAGGCAGAGAGAACAATAGAAAGAAGTGGAAGATGCCTTTCCCTTACTGCCCATCCAAATAGACCGTGGAGATACGCACGTGCAGAACGACCACTAGGGACCCATGGGTGGAAATTCCAAGTGTCGCTGAATCTCAAAGCAAGCTGCTCAAATGCTTCCCACACAGGAGAAGCACGAGTAATTGCCTTTGTTTGCAGGCCCCAGTTCATAACTGCGTAGCTGAGAAAGGCATATCGGGAGTGATCTGGTTGTGTAGCCCGTAGATTTCGAACCTGCCTAAAGGCAAACCCTGTCTGGTTTCTCCAGGATCGAGGCAATAGCTTTCCAATAGATGATGAGAGAGACTGGCGTACCACAGAGACTGGGTTAGGCAGAGAAATGGCAACTTCTTTGCTCTGCTTCGTGATCTGCAGGCTGAAATCTTTAAAGCACAAGTAGTTAACACAAAGCTCTCCGCATTCTAGCTCGCCTTGTTCTGAAGTTTTAGGATACTCTGGTATTGAATTACTCTCTGCCTGAAAGTACTGTTTCACAGATGAGTGCGCGAATCGGGCGCAGTTATCGAACGGATCAACTATAACGAGATTTGCGCACCCTGTTAGTACAGAGTTTGCCCGGGGTATCTTTGAAGCATCCCATTCAGTGTCATAGATCTCTATGGCAATGGCCTCCTTGAGCTCTTCGATATGCAGCGGTCTACTTGCAAAGCTGACCCATTTGAGAACCTTTAAAGCTCGGCAATCTTGCAGATTCATTCTTTGCAAGCATCGACTGTATGTTTCTTCTAGCTCTCTAGGTAGATTGCCTAGCGCTTTTCGTATTTCAGCATCTGTGTCGCACGTGTCCCAAAGAATTTCTAGCTGGAGATATACCCAAAGGAACCTGCATTTCGTATGTCAGTACAGCCACATGAGAAAACGATCTAAAAATCGTATTCAGATCAGAGTCAAAAAGGGCTTCTACATTTCAGAGGATTTCTCTATCAGATCATGCTTAATCCTTTCCAGTAAAACCGAGTCATTCGTAAGCTCATGGATATATGCCCTTTTGTCGATTATGGTAGACTCAATGTAGAGCTCAATGTCCGGCATAACATTTGAGTTCGTTGAGATTTGACGAAGGTTTGGTATCGCTTTCGCTATTTGTATACGCCCAGGAAGGTGCTCCCTACTGATCAGCAGTAGTTTTGACGGACTCGAAAATGTAGAATTGCTGAATAATAACCGGCACAGTTTCAGCACTTCAGTTACACCCTTTGCACTTAGTGCATCAAGTCCATCAATAATGTAAACTGTACCAGGGACGCGGTCAAAAATACGAACAAAGAGATCTCGGAGATTTTCAAAATCGGGTTTCACTCGTTTAGTTCCGTATAACCTTTCAATATCAGTAGTAACATCCTCCGGAAGTAACTGAGAGGTACGGAGTAGAAATTTGCATAATTGTTTGATAAGACTAGCCACGATGTGGTCTGCCTCAAGAAGTTCAGGTCGATCACTTTCACAATAGAAAAAGGCAGTCGGAACTCTATTACCAGACAACCGATACTTAGCAGTTTCAACAACAGATGTTCTGTCGGATTTGTTAGGCTAAAATGACGGGGGAGAAGTATTAGGAACTATCATGACTCACCCTATTGTTGTCTTCCCAGAGCCGACTGTTTATTTTTACAATTAGTCTCCAGTCAGTGCAAATTCACGGGATCATCCTTACTTCGTCCATGGCACCACAGTGTCTGAAATTGAGACTCCACAAACCACTCTTTGAAAACAGAATGATTCAAAAACCATTTTGTAGTACCTTGAAGGCGTTTGGCAGAAAGACGATAGTGAGTCTTTTCGTGATCATATGTTGACAACAAGTCGAGTAGTCTTTCATCAACTTGACAACCCAAGAAGAGTTAGTGATTGGCTTTGATCTGGCCCGAGATTCGGTTTTCGGTGTGCTCACTCACAATGTTCGTTGGTCTTCAAATGATATAATTGATACCCATTATCTGGAAATCTGTATTTTGGACGGTAGGACATCAGTTCGCTTGAGATATACGTCGGCGTATCGACAACTTGCGTTGGAGCAACGATCAAAAGCAATTCTTTCGTATACGCTGCAGCGGTCACGGCTGCGTACTCTTGCCACTGTTTGTTTTTGTGTGAGTCGGCATAATCACAAATTCCTCGGATAACAAGACAGGGCAATATATCCATCAAGCCCGCTGCCTCCATCTCAAAGCAAATAATTCCAAGCTCTTGGGCCCAGTGGTCTCTCATGGCGCTATCCTTCATGATTTGATTGCCTGACGCGATTAAACCGTAATGAATAACAGGACCTGGGGTAGCTCGAGCTGGTCTTTGTACCATTTTTCTAATGTCGCAAAGATTGCACGTTTTCTCCAGTGTTTCATGTTTATAGCTTGATTCAAACAGCCGATCCTGATCCTTCCCGATATAAGTGATTTTCTCCCTCATTAGAGGGTACTTGATTACCATCTCACGAAGTAAATCCGGGATTCGACTCCCAGCCACCAGGTGGTTTGCTTGCAGCGTGGACAAAGCTGTTAGGAGCACCGGAGGCGGTTTATTCAAAGAGCCAGTTCTTACAAATTGCCCTTGGCTGACTGTTTTGCCCATGTCGAATTGTACTACCCCTCCAAACAACCCCGTCGGCTTGCTAACAACCACATCGTTAAGCCTTATATCAACTGCTTGGCTAGGTGCACCGCCCCCAATTCCCACCATGAGCCCAAATCGGACTGAGGAAAATGTATTCCTCATCTGGCTCGCGACGGTCGCTGCTGAAGTCGTGCCGTACATCCCCAACGGGAGACATGCAATGACCACATTATGTACACCTATACTCCCAAGTATGTAAGTGTTATAATCGTGTTTTGGTATGGGCAAGTCACTGTGCCGCTCGTCTAACATCGCTGCTGCCGCCGCCATCTCCAGTGGGAGCGCACAGGCCCATGCGACCGTGTAATCATCATAGTGAAAGTCTCTTGTCCGCGTGGCCATTTTGACTTCTGTTAGACGATCTTTTCATACTTCATGTCTTGACTCCTCCGTGATAGAAAATGTCATTGACACTATTCCGCGTGATTCGGCGAGTTTTTTCCTGTGGTTGCAGCGTTGCAGGTCAGCAGAAGCGCCCATCAGCTGAAATCACGAAAACCCCGTGATTAATCCTTGCAAGTCACGAGACTACAGCTTGGCCCCATTTTTTGATTTGGCAGTGCAGACAATCCGTGTATGAGTAGACCCATCGCCTGTTTTGACAGAACATGTACGGAGTGTGCCAGCCCTCTATCTTGTCTCGCGTCATGCCTTTCGCGTGCAGCGTTTCCCTGCGGTCGCATGTGTTGACTTTTTGTGTCCGAATTTCTAAAGAACAAAGTATACCCGGTGTCCGTTTCCAAAAAGGGGGTCAGTAGACTGTTTGATTAAAGAAACTAAAATTCATTTCCGCAACTGGGCTGTAGAAAAACATCCCTTTCCGTTTTGGGGAAGGAAGTCTGTGATTACATAAGAGACAATTTACCGAGGGGAATTGCTAAGGACACCCCAACTTTTTAGTAACTAGTTAGTCAACACTTTTCGCTTTGTCAACGTAAATTTGCCCACTTGAGCGAGTTACCTGATTGCGGACCAATGGTTGTGTTGTTATCGAGCAGACTCGGACGAAAGCACTCCCTATATGCTCTGCTTGCCGTACTGAGGGCCATCGGATGCATGAAAAGGCATGCCCAAAGCGGCGAAAAAAGACAGCCTAATTTGTATTTTTCTTTTTTGTATTTCTTTTTGAATTTATCTCATTTCTTGCAATTAAATTGGATGAATACAGTGCCGTGGCGAGATGGCCGCGGTCACGGATGTGTTGAATTTGGTCATGTGACGATAAGATAAGAGATGTGACGTTGGCCATGGTCAGGTGACCAATAACTAACAAAAAAGTTAAGCCAAAGTGTGGTCGGACTACCGCTACCCAAAAGTTGGGGTGTCCTTACCAATTCCCTTTACCAAGGCGGGCGGGGCGGAAGTGGGCCGTGCAGAACCCCGCCACGGCCGGGCCGGCTAAATGCAATTGCGACCTACTGATCATTTACACACGCTGTATTCTGTTGCCGTTCGAATTTGAACAAGACTTGCTAAACTAACAGCTCTGATCATGGGTTTTTCGAACGAGGTACATCATCGCGTTTTGCCTATGACTGACCCTGGCAATGAACAACTGCTTTACTGACCCGAGATAAATCCCAGGTTGTTAGCCCCGGAGAGTATGAAGCAGCACGAAGAGAACTGCTGAAGGAAGAAAAGGCAGCGACACAGCTTTTGCAGCGTCTTGCCGCTTCACGTCGCCAACTACCTATGGTCGAGATCAATGAGCCGGCTCGTTTCAAGTTCGACACGATGGATGGTGAAAAAAGTCTGCCAGACCTTTTTGAAAACCGCAAGCAACTTATCGTATATCATTTTATGCTCGGCCCCGGAGATTCACAAGGCTGTATAGGATGCACACTCTGTATGGATCACATCCCGGATCTTCGCCATCTCTGGAGCAGAAATACATCTTTTGCGGCGGTGGCCACGGCGCCAATCAGCCAGATCACTGAGTATGCAAACCGCATGGGATGGCAGTTCCCGTTTTATAGTGCCGCCAAAACTCATAAGACGTGGCACGAGGCCGAAGCCAAGGGTGAAACTATCACTTGGAAACCTGGAAACGGCTATTTTGGGCTTTCTGTGTTTCTGAAAGATGGAGACAGATTCTACCATACGTATGATACTACTGATAGGGGGATGGAGATTATCCTTTCAACCTATCATCTTTTGGATATGACTCCACTCGGACGGCAAGAAGTTGGAAATGGAATGGGCGAATTTAGGCGTCGTGATGAGTATTGAGAATCACATTCCCCAGTACTACGAAAAGTTAAAGTACCTTTTCGCTGGTTGCGTATGTATCCTACAGATAGGTTTAACAAGAACTATCTTTGATATCTCATATCATGTCGAGGTACCCGATATAAAATCCTCCCAGTTGATTGGCTGTTTGTTTCCCGTCGCTCACGGCACTTTCTTTTTGTATCTTCATCCCGAAAAAGGGTTCTTCTGCCCATCGCAGCTAGCTGCAAAGAGAACGCTTATGAGAGTTTATCGGAATTAGATAGTAAAAGAAAAAGAGGAAATAGGAAGTGCCTATGGGATCTTGCTTCCATATTATTGACTGTTATGGAGGAAGGAGTATACCTGCCTTTATAGCTTTCTTGAAAATGATCTTCATCGTACTTGTGTTGAGTGTACGCTTCACTTTTAGGTCGCCACACGGTATTCAGATACTCTCTATCTATTTCGACTTGCGTCATTGTTCATGGTAGTTTAATGACTTGAAAAATCCTGAGGGCTATCCATCAGACACAGCGGTCGAACTAGCTTAGTTTCTTCGTTGAATGCATATCCTACATTTTCGCGATTTCTTATCGCCAGCGTAGCCGTTCGTCACACTGCCCAGTAGGCATTCAGGATCGAAATTCAGAAAATGTCTATACTAGACTAGCGCTATTTGGTATTCCGAGGATTTCTTGATTCTTGGGATATCCTAGGCTGCTCCCATGAACATCTGGGCTTGTGCTGTCTTTCGACGGAGAAAACCCACAAAAATATTTGCCATGTTAATGTATCGCGGGAACTACAGCATTTCCTACTGGAGAAAAGGCCGTGGGTATCTGAAGGAAAAATAGTTTCCCTTATTCGTCCTTTTCGTGATGGCAGTGCTGGATTTTTCGGGAAATGTAACGAGCAAAAGTGGACTAAAAGTGAAAAAACGGGCAAGGGGAAGATCGCTAGATGAGTACAGTTTATTGAGGTTATTCGCTTAGGGCACTTAATCTTCTGTTTATCCCGTGCTCAGTGATTTGCCTCAGGCCGCTCAGGGCGTGCTCAGGTCTACTCAGTGAGCAAAAAGCGGCGAGGGGTAAGCACTAAAACGGAAAGAGAAAGCTGTCGCCCTGGCTAGAAATTCCGATACATATGCAACGATGCGTTTTATTTGGCTTAAAATTGGTTAACTTGTCAGTCGGTTCTCTGACGCGTCCGCAGGAGCACCAGGCCGCGAACCACCGCCTGGGAAATGAAAGCTTAATATTCGGTTTTGGAAGAATCGCATGAACTAATGACAGAAAAGAATGGAAAAGGAATTAAATACCTTTGATTCAATCTCCAGTAGCAGTGAGAAAGCTGAAATCCGCCCCCTCGTGAGCCTGGTTCACTGTCCGTTCATAAAGACCGCGATACCCTCGTCGAGTTTGTCTTTGAACCCACGGCGACGGTTCATTACCGGCCTCGGTACTCGAAAATGCCTGTTGCCTCACAGTTACCCGAGCCCTGAGCTCCTCATCACTAATCTGCAGTTCGAGATGACGACTTTCCACATCGCACATAATCATATCACCTGTCTGAATCACCCCAAAAGGTGAATCCGGGATTGCCGACTCAGGCGAAATATGCAAGACGATGGTACCTCCAGCGGTTCCTGACATCCGACCATCAGAGATGCGCAGCATATCAGTAACCCCCTGTGCCGCTAGCTTTCGCGGGATTGGAATCATGCCCGCCTCAGGCATGCCGGGATTCCCGATGGGACCGATGCCTTTGAGCACGAGGACCGAGTCAGCTGTCACTTCAAGATTCGGGTCATCCAGACGCAGGGCGAGGTCTTTCGAGTTTTCAAACACCACAGCGGGACCGGTATGACGAAGAAGGTACTTGTTCTTCGACGCGGAGGCCTTTATAACTGCGCCGTTGGGCGCTATGTTACCATACAACACCGCCAGCGAAGAACACGGGTACAGAGGGTCTGAAAGCGGACGGATTATGCTGCGTGAGTATTCAAATTCGCGGAAGGGGTTGCGATCTAGGATCTCGCCTAATGGTTCTCCAGTGATCGTTCGGGCGGATAGATAGAGTAACGGACGCAATTGGTGCAAGAGACAGAGCATTCCGCCCGCGTTATGAAAGTCATTCATATAATTATTGCCACTGGGCTTCAAGTCCACGAGCAGTGGGGTGGTGCGTCCGAGATCATCGAGCTTTTTCAAGGTCACGCTGCCTTTGATGTCGGGATGACGGTTGATAATGGCAATAAGATGAACAATTGCGTTGGTGGAGCCTCCGATTGCTTGTAGAACAATGGCTGCGTTGTAAAACGATTCCTTGGATAATATATCCTGCGGAAGCCTTTGCTCCTTCGCCGCCGCAACGGCATTTGCGCCCGTTTGTTCTGCGACTCTTAGTCTCGTGGCAGATACCGCTGGGGCAGAGGCTCCTTGTAAAGGAATCAAACCGAGTGCTGCCGTGATACATGCCATCGTACTTGCCGTCCCCATGACTCCGCAGGTTCCAATCTGTTACTATCTGTCAGCAGGACATGAATCGTCAAATTTGGAAATGCTCACAGTAGGAGCCAATTCCTCATTGACCGCCATGATCTCTTCCATATCAATAGTCCCAGCCCTGTACAAGGCCCAATTGTTCCGACAATCAGTGCACGCGCCGATTCTCTTGCCCCGATGACTTCCCGACATCATAGGCCCCGTCAACAGCGGAAGAACGGGCTTGTTGGCAGAAATGCCTCCCATGATTTGGGCGGGGACGGTCTTATCGCATCCTGCAGTATATCATGTCAACTAAAGCTTTCCGGATTGCTTGACACCGGGTCGAGACTGCAAAGATTGCCAGATATAGACATACCACCGATCATGATACATGCATCCACCGGTTGCGCTCTGATCATCTCCTCGGTATCCATACTCATCAGATTTCGCAGGAACATGCTCGTCGGATGAGAGAATCCCTCATGAATACTGATCGTTGGAAAGTCGATAGCGATGCCCCCGTTCAACATAATCCCTCGCTTTGCCGCTTCCATCAGTTGCGCCGCATTGCCGTGGCACGGATTGAAGCCCGACCCCGTGTTGATGATGCCGATGATGGGACGGGAGAGTGCATCTTCCGAGTACCCAAGCGCCTTGATGAAGACTTTGCGTAGAAATAGGGAGAAGTGGGCATCGCCGTAGGTTGTGAGGCCTTGTCGGAAACCCGTGGTGGAGGTGATGGGGTGAGAAAGGTCGTAATCTGCGCAGATTTGGTCGCTGGTTTGATCTGGATCGGGCGGCATGGTTTATTATCAGCTTCTTGATATAGATATTATTCTTCAAGGGTTTGAATTAGGGGTCTGAGTTGGATTTATAGCGTCATATTCTGAATTAGATAGCCTCGGTTCATACATCTACCAAGAAGCGGATGTGGTCCGTGACTGACGGAAACTCCGCTCCCGCCCGTCGGAAACATCCGAAAGCATGAAGACAGGATAAATGAACCCTAACTCGACCTTGTTACTAGCCTCATAAGACAACTGAGTAATCTGGTATTTCTCGATTTAACACATTCCCCAAATCCTTCTATCTGTTCATTTAGTACCCTCTACCTGTACAACATGCTCAACCTCCAAAACAAAGTCGTCCTGATCACCGGTCTCGGCCAAACCAGCGACGAAGGCTGGGGCATCGGCGCCGCCATCGCGACGCTCTTCGCACGACAAGGCGCAATCATATACGGCGGCAACCGGTCCCTGTCATCAGCCACACGCGCACAAACCCGGATCCAGAAGGAAGAAGGAACATGCGACGTACAGGAGACAGACGCGACGAGCTCCATCAGCGTCAAGCAACTAGTCGACAACTGCATGGCACGACACAGCCGCATCGACATCCTAGTCAACAACGTCGGGCGCTCCGAGCCCGGCTGTCCGGCCAGCATGTCAGAAGATATCTGGGATGCACAGATGGACATCAACCTAAAAAGCGTCTATCTGACGTGTCACTACGTTCTCCCGATCATGGAACGGCAAGAAACGGGCGGCGCCGTCGTGAATGTCGCCAGCATCGCCGGTCTGCGGTATATCGGAAAACCGCAGGTGGCGTACTCAGCGACCAAGGCGGCTATCATGCAATTTACTAAGGCTACTGCCGTGGTGTATGCCGAAAAGGGGGTGAGGTTGAATACGGTGGTGCCGGGGTTGATCTACACGCCGTATACAAAGGCGCTGGCAACGAGGTATGCGCCGGGAGGGGATGAAGAGGCGTACATGGCGATGCGAGATGCGCAGGTGCCGATGGGACGCATGGGCGATGCGTGGGACGTGGCGCATACCGCGTTGTTTCTGGCTGCAGACGAGTCACGATATATTACGGGCCAGGAGATTGTGGTTGATGGGGGAATTACTTCGTCTACAGGGAGAGTCTGAGTAATTGTATGTCATACAGTTGTACATATTTATTCATATAGAACCCATACTTATAATATAGCCCACCAGATCCGACACCCCTCAAGGATTTCAAATCCGATGTCTCGGGGGCTAATTAAATCCTTCACCCGGGTGAACGACACGACTGCAGCAGATCCAGTTCGCGGGATCTTTCATGCCGTTCTCTATAGAAGAACGCGATCCTTTGGCAAGAATTTCGTCGTTGATTATAGAGGCAGATTGAATATTTCACATACCTGAGTGTGTAGCGAGGAAGGAAAAGGTGTGGTAGCCCGCGAGCAGGGATCAAAACACGGCCAGGCAGGCTAATGTACAGGCCGTTGACTAGCTTCATTGGCATATATTGGTGGCGACACTTGCAGATACTAGGGTGCCAGGATCGCCGGCCACCTAAGCCTTAGAATGTGGCACACGTATCTGAATCCACTACACTTACAGGCTCGGGGTTTATCGGAGATCTTTCCTGAACTGATCATGGTCGCAGTCAAGGATTAGAGCTGGGTTGGAGTCGAACATAAATTATGAGGGAGTACTCCTCGAAGCCGGCTTCCAAAAGCTTCGGCATGAAGGGATGAGTTTCCTTTTCTAATCATAGCGTGATCTAGAATCGTGGGAGCTATCTTTCCCCCATTTTCAGCTGATCGATGATAAGAGTCCCTTCTTATCTCCATTGAAGGAAGACCAAAAATTTATCTTCCAGCAACGGGTTGACAGCACTCGTATTTGGAAAAGAATAAAAAAAATCAAAATCAAAATCAAAATGGCAAACGAGGCAGAGTTGACCATCACAAAGGTCTGCAACACAATTTCCACATCTCTAGCTGGCGATGACCCGGTAACCAAAGGACATGTCTCGAAGAAGTACATCGGTACTTTGGCCGATCAGCAAGACATGTTGGCCTTGGGGAAAGACCAAGTCCTGAGGGTAAGTAATCCTTTATTAAATCTATGGATAACGCAAAGGTGGTTAACAATCAGGCAAGAGAAATTTTCGGTTCATCTCCATCGTGGCCTTCGGGTGCACATTGATCGCCTCATGGGAGGTCATTTTGACGTATATAGCCTCCACCAAACATCCATAGAGGGCCTTCTCAACTAATTCAACATAGGATGATGAGTACTCCCTTAATGAATGGTGGAACTGCCGGTTTTATCTGGGGATTCGTGGTAGTCGCAGTTGGTGTCACGCTCCTTTTTGCCAGTTTGGCTGAGATGGCTTCCATGTGAGCAGAAACTTTAAATCCCCATTTATCCTGGACACAAGAAAACATTCTGACAAATGCTCTTCCACAGGGCACCCACTGCTGGAGGACAGTATCACTGGGTTTCGGAGTTCGCACCGAGGCGCTGTCAAAAGTTTCTTAGTTACATCACCGGTATGCATTGCCATCGGATTTCTCAGTTACCTGTAAGAAGGCTTGGCTAACAGTCCTCGGTATAACAAAGGCTGGCTATGCGCAACTGGCTGGGAGTGTGCCATCGCTTCGATTGCGTTCTTGGGTGGCACGATCATTCAGGGACTGGCTGTCCTCAACTATCCTGATTACGTCTTTGAGCGGTGGCACGGCACTCTGATTACGATCGCAATCTCCCTTTTCGCCGTGATTTTCAACACCTTTCTAGCCAAAAGGCTTCCTCTGGTCGAAGCATTTGTACTTATTCTCCACGTCGCCGGTCTTTTCATCATCATCATTCCGCTTTGGGCACTGGCACCCATCAGTGACGCGAAGACGGTTTTCACTAAGTTCTCAAATAGTGGGGAGTGGAATAGCGATGGGACTGCAACGATGGTCAGCTTGGTCACTGCCATTACTGCCATGATTGGATATGACTGCACGGTTCATATGTGTAGGTTGCTTTTCTTTCTTATCCTGTTAATCCTAGGTTCTTGTCAACCGGTCAGTCCTACTAACATCCCTTAGCCGAAGAAGTTCGCGATGCTTCGTCAACCTTGCCCAAGGCCATCATGTCGGCCCTCGCATTGAATGGATCGATGGCATTTGTCGTTCTGATTACACTCTGCTTTACCATGGGAAACGTCGATGAAATTCTCGAGACCGACACCGGTTATCCTTTTATCCAGGTTTTCTACAACGTCACCAAAAGTTATCCGGCGACTAATGCAATGACATCGATTGTAATCCTCACAATCATGTCCAGTGTCATAACGGAAGTAGCTACCGCCTCGCGTCAATTGTGGTCTTTTGCTAGGGATGGTGGTATTCCATGCGCTAAATTTTTCAGTCATGTATGATTCCCTCCCCTGGAAACCTTTGTGCATACAATCTTTGAATTTCTGACAAGAAACTTTCGATTTAGGTCACGCCTGGCTGGAATATCCCCCTCAACGCTGTTCTCGTATCGCTTGCTCTCACCATTCTACTGAGCCTAATCAACATCGGCTCAACCGTGGCTCTAAACGCCTTGATTACTCTCACTATCGGATCATTATTAAACTCCTACATTGTCACCGTTGCCTGCGTCGCATGGAAAAGAATCTCCGGAGAGCCCCTTCCCCCTCATCGCTGGTCCCTAGGCCGCTGGGGTCTTCTTATCAACCTCGGGGCTTTGGCCTTCCTTATCCCGGAGTTCATTTTCGTCATGTTCCCTTTGACCTCCACGGTTACGCCGGAGTCGATGAACTGGAGCTCGCTAATGTATGGAGGCATGTTGATTTTTTCGATTGCTTACTATTTTCTTTACGGACGAAAGACCTATGTTCCACCCGTGGCATTGGTGAAGCGTGAGTCTTGATGGGCTAATTACAGGACACCGCAGGGTTCATGACGTCTTAGGACCCAGTGTCAACTGCGGAGGAACAAATTCCCCCCTTAGTTTCTTTTTTCTTTTCCCTTTTTCTCGGCTATCTTTGGAAAAGGAGAAGTTGCGCGATTTCTGGTCTTCTTAAGCAGGGATCGAATTGTTAGGTCAATTTCTAGCAATCTAAATCGACCGGGATATCGACAAGGGTCGCGAATGTTGTACTCAGATTTACACATAGCATTAGTTTCCATTAGTTCTGGTGTCCTCATATTATGTTACATTGACCTGCTACCTCCCGTCATGCAGCCCAGAAGCTAAAAAAAATCCTTAGTCCACTTTTCCATTGCCCCTGTTCTTAAAAGGAATGCGGCGCAGGACCAAGAGTGTTGGCCGTTCGGATCGCGGGCCACACGACCAAGGATCTATCTTGAATCAGAATTCCCTACGGCGTTGAGCATTTCACTCCATAGAGAATGGAGGAAGCGGACCGTATTGTCACTCGCTCTCATCTACGGGCGCCGAGCTAGCAGCGCGATTTTCTCGCGGAGGTCAGGTCCCCGAAGCTACGTACACCCTTGAGAAAGCGTAATTGCTAGGGGTTTGTTTTCTGTCCTCGATGAAGTCGAATCTAAATCCCTGCTAGCGAGTCATGGAAATCGATCGACGGACGTAACCTATCTACTCCACATGCGGGAAAGGCGAGGGTCATCCTTGAGACAATTTCTCTGTCATTAATTCATCGACGGCGTTTCCCGTTTGCTGTGACTACAGAGTCAAGTCAAGGGCCTTTTACAATTCCTATCCAACATCTCCTAATGTACTCTTTTGGGACTCAGCAACTTTTATTTCCCTCTGGTAATGTACGTAGTATTGCTGTATTGACCGTTCCAGTCTTCTCACAAACCTCAAGGCGAGCCTAGATTTGGAATGAGCCAACAGAAAGAAAAGTGATCTCCATGTAATTCAACAAGATTTTCATCCCAGCCCTCCCTCTTAGTAAACCCTTCCCGGTGCTTTGGTACCCCCTTACCATCCGATGTAGGGATCCCTGGAAATATCCATGACGGTTCCTTGCTCGTCTTAGTCTTTTATAACCCAGTAATATGGCGTGTTTTACCGTGCTCCCGGGAAGCAACACTTGAACCAGTCCCATAGCTCTATCGTCGGGCATTAATCTCTTGTTTCTCTCATTTACAAAATCGACTTCTTCCAATTCGTTCATCGGAAAATGATAAGAAAGCCCGTGAATCGCGGTTCAGCTTTAACTGTCACAATTCTGCTTCGCCATGGTAGCTCCAGGAAACCCTTTAATGGTTATCGATGCAAAACATCGCTCTGGTATTGCAGCTATTATTGGTGTAACCGCATTGGTTGTCTCTTTCATTTGCTTTCTCATTCGAGTGTACGTAAGAGCACTTCTGAGTCCTCCATTTGGTCGAGACGATTATATCTTCTTTGTTGCTCTTGTGAGTATAACACAGTTCATTCTTAACCCTGTTTGGCGAGGATTGATCGCTCATTGGTATTAGATATCTGCCATCGTTCAAACATCTCTTATGGTTAAGAATGCCTCTCAGGGCTTTGGGCACTCAATACATCTGCTTTCTTTGCATCGAACAACCCAGATCCAGCAGGTATTCACTATCTCCCACTTGATAAGAATAAGTCTCTAATTTTATTTCTTGAACATTTCTAGGTAACAGTTGCCACTGACGGTCTTTACCTGCTCTCTATCTTTCTTTCGAAATGCTGTGTTCTGGGTATTCTCACGCGTCTTACTCCCCGACTTATCCACCATCGCATGCTTTACACCATTTTCGGATTAACCATATGCTGGCTTCTTTCGTCTCTGCTTCTGCTATTGGTAAATTGTAGTTTGAATCAACCCTGGGCCGAACCAGCAGACCACTGCGGCGGTTTGGTATGTGCATACTGCCTCGTTCCATATTGATCATGAGCTAATATCTACGAAGTTCCTAAGGTGGCAGTATATAACTTCAATGAATGTTATAACAGAGATGATGCTATTCATATTCTCTGTACATCTCGTCAATTGTCTACAAATGCCAGTCTCGCGGAAACTAGTCGTTCTATGCTGTTTTGCCGTTCGTCTGCCGTAAGTTGTCCTTCTTCTCCCGCTGAATATTCCAGAACTTCTGACATAGCTATCGTGCTGCGATAGTGTGATTGCCTTTGCAGCTCTACATCTTCGTGATCTAGGTCCATACATTCACTCCTCCAACCCCACCCTCGATATCATTGATGTTTACGTATGGATCCAATTAGAGATCAATTACTCTCTCATCGTCTGTACTTCCTTCTGTATCGTCCCATTCATGCGTGCAATCAGCACAGACTATGGAACGGCAGGAGAAGTCACCTTGGGATCAAGCAATACCAATTCTCGGTCTGCACATTATATCAAGGAGCGCGCAAGGCAATTTCAGGGCATCGCTCTTCAGTCTATGGTTCGGGTTAAGCCTCAGGCACAATCAGGTCGATCTCCGGATGAGCACAGCGTGGCGAGTGCAGGGAGCACTCGCATGATAATCGAAAAAACCGTGGAGACGACCATTGTTTTTCACCACAGTTGACTAGGGTGCCTTGGTTTGTTCATGTCTCGAGATACGGTGTTATGATTTGACTTCAAACGAGCGGGGTGGCACCTGTGATTATTGATTTTTCCTTCACATTCGAATAGATATTTAGTTTTGCCATTATTCGCACTGTCTCATTATCTGATGGGCGAGTATATCTCGACTGGGTGGATATGCGAGCCCGTCCTACGTCATACCCTGGGTAGTAATTATTCTTGACTATTCCAAGCCCTAACATGCATTGTCAATCCCTAACAGAAGCTATGTCTTTCTTCAGCCGTACCTCAATCGAGTCATTGACATCTGCAAATGATTCATTTTAAGCCTTTTAATTGCAATTACTCATTCTGACCGCAGCAGTGACTCAACGAAGAACGCCCTGTCAGCCTGCGGTGGGGCTGCCTGGGAGGCGGTGGTATCGGTGGGGCCTTAAAAGAGAGGCATCGACGGCGGGGTTTTGCCGCATCGCAACTCTTTCTCCAGCCATTCTCTCCTCCGACAATCTCGGGTCTCGTGCCAGAATGGTCGCGCAAACCCCCGCCGTGGAAGATCTCCTGAAGAGACAATTATATAGTAGGTTCATCTCGTGGAGAGCCTTCTAGGAAACTAGGTTTTGACATCGATCGCTAACGTGTATTGCTGCTCAGTTTATGATCTCCCCCAAGAACTTCTCGCGACATTGATGACGAAAACCGAATACCAGCCGACGACTGTCCCCGAGACCACGGAAGAAGAGCGACCGGAAACACCCCAGGAACATGCGGTCTCGACGTCCACCTTGTGCTCCCTCTGCAAGGTGTCGTACCTGAATGTGCAGGAACAGCGCGACCATGCGCGGTCGGATCATCATAAATACAACCTGAGGGCGCAGCTGAGAGGGAACCCCACCCTAGACGAGGTTCAATTCACCAAGGCGATCGGTGAACTCGACGAGTCGATATCCGGGTCCGAATCGTCAGAACCGGAGGATGAAAGGGACGAAGGACAACTCGCGGCCTTGCTGAAAAGGCAGGCCAAGATATCGCAGGCGGCCGAGGATGCTGAAGATGAGGATTCGCCGAGACGGAGGACCGCTGGAAAGCATCCTCTGCTCTGGTTTTCGAGTTCCATTCTTCCGTCCAACACTTCCCTCGGGATCTACAGAGCCATGTTTTCGACTGTCGAGCAGGACGAACCTGGACACCTTGTCGATACCTTGCGAAAGAAGCAACTCGCTCCGATCCATGCACCAACTAGCGGACAAGCCGCGAAACCATCCGCATCGTCCAGTCCGCACATTTTCATGTGCATGATTGGCGGTGGCCATTTTGCGGCAATGCTCGTGTCCTTGGCTCCAGAAATCCATCGAAAGCAAGGCGGTTTTGAAGAGAGACAGGCTCGTGTGATTGCGCACAAAACGTTCCATCGTTACACGACTCGGCGGAAACAGGGTGGATCGCAGTCGGCCAGTGACGCGTCTAGAGGGGCTGCTCACTCCGCCGGTTCCAGTCTGCGCAGATACAACGAGGCTGCCCACGAGAAGGAGGTTAGGGAGCTGCTTGTGGACTGGAAGCAAATGATCGATAGCGCCGAATTCTTATTTGTTCGGGCCACCGGTAGCACCAACCGGAGGATTCTTTTCGGCCAATACGATGGCCAAGTCATGAAGCACAATGACCCAAGGATAAGAGGATTTCCGTTCAGCACTCGCCGCGCTACCCAGGCAGAGCTTATGAGATGCTTCAAGGAGCTCACACGCGTGAAGGTCAGCCAGGTTGACGAGGCCGCGCTTGCTGCGGCCGAGGCCAAGCAACGAGAGGAGGCATCGAAGCCCTCTACTCCAAAACCGCAACCACAGAAACCTAAACTTTCCAAAGAGGACGAGGCTGCCATTCTTCATACGACCCAAATACAAGCTCTCATCCGCCGTTCTAAGATTCCCGCCTTGATTTCATACCTCTCCACGAACTCAATTCCCCCGTCCTTTACCTTCCTCCCATCTGACTCCCAGCAAAACTTCCGCTGTCCTACCCCGCTTCATCTTGCTGCCAATACGGACTCGCCGTCGATGGTCTTGGCTCTGTTGACGAAAGCCGGCGCTGATCCAACGGCAGTCAATTCGGAAGGACGAACGCCGTTCGAGCTTGCTGGAGACCGAGCTACCCGTGATGCTTTCCGCGTCGCCCGGCACGAACTCGGCGAATCCAAGTTGAACTGGGACGCTTCTAAAGTGCCGTCCGCAATTTCGAAAACCGATGCTGATAGCCGGAACGAACGTGAACGGAAAATAGCAGAAGAGGAAGAATCTAACCGGCGGAAGGCAGAAATGGACCGTCTTAAGAAAGAAGACGCGACCCGAGAAGTCTCGCAAGCCGCAAAGAAAGGTGGTCGGTCATTAGGGGCCGTTGAGAAGACGGCACAAGAGAAGAGAGAGGAAGAGATGCGAGGAATGACACCGGAGATGCGAATGCGACTGGAAAGAGAGCGTCGCGCAAGAGCAGCCGAAGAACGGTTTCGGCGGATGCAAGGGAATTAAGAGACCCCTGGCGAAAGATTTATTCTAATGTAACAATGAGAGATGACTATTGATGTCACTACGAATGGATAGAACAATGAAAGATTATCAACAACAGCATTCAGGTGTAGAATTGTCCATTGTGGTAGTTGAGTTCAAAGATAGGCAACAGCAGGTGACCGGCCCCGTCTGGGGGTACTTCCTCCCGCTGCCCTTTCCCTCCTTGACTTTGACCTCTTCCATCTCTTTACTCATCTCACAGCATCATCATTATCTCAATTCGATGCTTTCTCTTCATATTCTATGGTGTATTCCAGTACGGTATTGATACTTCTATCACTATAAACCGCCATCTGCTCCACAATGGCCACTCGCCCTCAATTCTTCTTGGAATCTCCCAGCTCCCCCTATGTCGGTACCTTGTCAGTATGGGATCCAGTAACAAGGGAGTCTACCCAATCACGTAACATGTACAGTAACCAAAACATATATGTTGGTCGCGATCCAAGTTCCTGGTATGCTTGCCTCGAGACATTCTTACCCCGTACTCGTTGTTGACAACCTCCAAGCGACTACGTCTTTCCCGATATGTGTGTTTCTAGGAAGCATATTCACATCTATCCCATAATCTTCGATCGGGACAATCCACATGAAGTCGCGCCACTGGTTTACGCCCAGAATTTATCGCGAAACTGTACCCGGTGGAATGGACACCCTATGGGCAACAAGAATCGCAGCTTCCTCCTCAGCCATGGTGATATTCTGCATCTGGATACCGGGTTTTCCCTCCGCTATACTTTTCATAATCACAGGGATATAAACCACCTGGACTCCCTACAGAGCGCGGAAGCTAAGGTAAGGTTTTGGTTGCCTTTGCTTCAAGATGCTATCTGCTTATTTGTGGGTTATCTTTGCAGATTTTTGCCGATATATATACCATTACGCAGCGGAAATTAGGTTCTGGCGCTTATGGAAAGGTGTTGATGGCCTTCCGGAATCTCACCGGCCAACAATTTGCGTGTAAGATCATTGACCTGAGGGTATTGAAAGAAAGGTTTGTCCAAGAAGCAGAGGCACGATATCAGTCTAGGTCTTTTGGTCAGGTTTCTGCCACGGGGGAAGTGGTGGCTGTTCGTCGGCCAAAAAATCTCCAGGAAAAGTTGGCAGTTTATGACCGCGAAGCTGAGATCCTAGAGGGACTCTCTCATGTAAGTTTGGGAAAGCAGATGAAGGCATATTTGGCTGACGCATGTTCAGCCAAATATTATTGGGATTGAAAGAGTCATCAAGTCCAAAGATACAATGTTAGTCGGCAATATTTCCTACTTACCGGGCCGCCTAACCATGAAAATTGCTAGTTACCTTTTCCAAGAATTGATCACGGCGGGCGACCTCTTCTCTTACATTCAGTTCAAGGGTGGGAGACTTCCTGAAATCGAAGCAGCTGTCATCGTGCGACAGGTCTCTATGGCTTTGGAATACCTGCATGAGCGGAATATCGTCCACCGGGATCTCAAACCAGACAATATCCTCATGACATCTTTAGCGGATGGGTGTAGAGTCGTTCTCACGGATTTCGGATGTGCGCAAGTGATACAACCTAGCCTGGAAAGAATGTCGACTGTTGTTGGCACATTCGATTACAGCGCACCGTCAGTAAACTTTTTCATCTCTGGTTTTAATTTGCTGAGTCAATTACAGAGAGGTTCTTCAAAGGACCAATCAAGGCTATACGAAAGCCGTAGATCTCTGGTCCTTGGGCTGTGTCACTTTTGTGCTTCTCACCGGTGACATTCCCTTTAGAAATGAGCTTACCACGACCATTGGTACGGATCTTGTTCGAACCGCCAGTCTAGAGCAGCTGGAAAGGGATCTTGAATCGAACGGAATCAGGCAACGTGCGGCAGATTTTATCCGGCGGTTACTTGTGTTCGATGAAACAAAGAGAATGGACGTAAAGCAAGCCCTTGGTCACAACTGGTTTAGCAACCGATCGCATAAGACCGAGTTTGAAATGCTTTATGAGCGGGCTATGAAGATATGGAGGCCCTACGTGCGCAAAGGACCCTTGAATATTGAGTGGCACGATCTTATAGGCGATTCCACTCGAAACTCCGAAGCACAAGATTCTCAATCGCGATTACCCGATGACACAATGAGAACCCAGGGCTTAAATAGAAGCCACTCAATCGTATCTGCTACCCTTTCTGACCCGATACTTGCGCCGCATCACAGGCTCGAAGGCCTCAGGGGCAGTCAAAGCTTTATCTTGGAAGGAGTGACCAGTCAATCCCAGTCCAGCTCCATCGTCGCCGAGTCCGGAAGCTCTGGAAGGTCTACTTCTCTCAATGAATACACACAAAGCTCTCGTTTTGAAGACATTGGTGATCATCAAGAAGACAGACAACCCGAAGGGCCATATTCGAGTAACCTGGGCGCCCGGAATACTGAGATGGCTGGACTCGTCTTCCCAGATGATCTATTGAATCCTAGACAGAGACTCGGACATAACAATGACGGTGACGGTGAGGTGTATGAGGAAACCACCAACTGGATCACAGGGATGAAAGAGCGTCATGTTTATGGGAGCAATGTTTATCGAGAGGAGGGATAATCGTTACGGAGATGCTGATTGCAAATGAGCGAATCGTGACCCAAGTCATTGTCTCCAGGAGGTATTTCTCGATAGAATATTAGCGACCGACAATCAAGAGTGATCTACAGAAAGGTCAACTTGTCTTACAAAGTCCGATTCAACATGATTCGGAAACATTATAGATAATAATAGAACAAGGAAGTATGAAGTGAGAGGGCGAACAATTTACGAGCTAGCCCTGGCGATAAGAGAGAGGAAGGAAATTCAAGGTAGAGAGGGTAGCGTCGGTGCCGATTGGGATTTTTGCTACAGGGGTTAAGACAGTGAATGAGTGACGTTACATCTGGTACCCTTGCGAGGTCACTCGGACCTGAGGATCTCATCTCATGTAATCGAGGGAGAATCCCCTCAGAGAAAGAACAGAACGGGATAAGACATTGCATGTGATGGTTGTGTGGGCTTCTGTCTTCGGGTGTATGTCAATTCGCTTGTTCGATTCCAGCGTAGAATATTGTAACCGTGTAAGCCAGGGGGACAATATGAAGGCCAAACGAGTCGCAGGGCCTTCCGTTTGTAACCGATGGTGTAATGGTAAGCAAGGTTGGATTATAGATAAGTACTTTTGATCACGGTACTGTGGGCATTGAGAAGTGAAGATGAGCCCTTGGTCGTTAGTAATGACTATTGAGCAACTATATTTCGGCGAGCAAGAGATCGAGGCAAACGAATGGACAAGCCGCGTTCCCATGCACTCCACAGGTCTCAGTCAGTATCCAATCATTGTATAGAGGAGTAGAATTTCAGAAGTAAGAATCATCAATTTTCCCCATACAGAAGAAAGGTACAGAACTAGAGACTCAAGGAGGCAACACAAAAGCCAATCGGATCTCTCTATGGGAGGACAGGACAAGCGACCAAGGAGAAACCACAGGGTAGCATCCACGGATGAAAGGGATCCTGGACTGCTTCGCAGCTCGTACTCGAAGAACAAGGACATGCATGTGTCAGCGTGATGCGCATACCCGTACAATGGGGCGACTCCACTGTTCGGGGATTTTGTGCACTCTGGTTGCACCTGTTCCTGGTACCCCTTGCATGACCCGGGATACCGCCCTGGGGCTGGTGGCTGGAGTTTGCGTACACCAGTGGCCTGTTGAATTTACTGGACCACGACGGGCCTCCAGCCTTCTGTTTAAGAGCTCCTAGTTCTAGGGAGCCTCTGCCCTGGCGAAGGAAGCTGTCGTGGCCGAGGGTACCAGGGATAGCTCTAGCCCTTCCCTGGTTGTGCAGGCGTATTTTCGAATTGCATGATCGGGGATTTATTTTCGAGTTCACGTCAATGCAACGGCGCGAGTCTGCATCCCAATACCCTGGCATGTTCGTAGAATTTGTTGCAGTAATCTCCGAGATAATGCAAGCCTCACAATGGTGGATCACAGTTCTTCCGAGGAGCAGTTTGTCTGCAGAAGAACTATGCAAGAAGAACCACAGTCACAATTGTGGCTGGTCTTGAAAGCAACCAGACAGGGCGGGTCTACCCAGGGGTCCACAAGTCAAGCAAAGCATTCCGTCGTGTCTTACCATCGGAAAGAATGGAAGCGTGGTCGGAACCCTCCTCCAGCAGCAAGGGTGACCCCCGGCGGGTCGTTGATAAGATGAAACGGGTCAAGAACCGCATCCAGCCTCTTGGATAAATGAAATATGATTCATGAATGACTTCATCAGATGATCAACGTGTTTGCATCACCTGATGATTGGTTGACGCGCGACGTGTTCTGTACGCGCTGCCCAACGCGTTCGCGACGCGTTTCGCGTTCCTTCCCAATATAGCCAGATTGGGAAGTGGCGGGGTTGAGTCACGGCGCACGAGAAGAAGAACGAAGCACAATGATGCGAATGAGAGAATCTTTATAGATCCAGCTGAATAGAGAGCCAAGGGTCCCTAGGAAGAAGGCTACTACTGCGATGGGAGGGAATCCAGGTTGGCACTACTGACCTCCTTCAGCAGTTGTATCCCAGGCCAGGAGAGTTCAACGGCTATATCAAATAAGCTAGTATACGATAGGCATAAGACTTGAAGCACCTTCGCAAGAACAGAACCAACTCAACTGCTGTCCGCCTGACGCTTGCAGAGCAGAACAATTAACGCGCATTGCAGCAATGCGTCTGGAGTCGCGCGTCCCACTACGGCACGGGCCAGCCATTATCGCGACAGGAAATTGCACTCCGTCTTGACAGGAAAAGTGGGATGTCGCAGGTCGATCTCCCTAGTTTCTACCAAGTCTCGCAGTTCGGGAGGGATGCAGCTCGTAAAATAAAATCCCCTTGTATCGGCAGTTTTTGTAGAGTGAAGCCTTGCATGGTGCATCCCTCTCCGGTGGCTCTTCCTGCCCTTGTCTCACTACTAGAGCCCACCCGAGATGGTGAGATGTAGTAAGCCCTTCAGGGCCGTTCGTTGCAGGCCTTCATAATAGAGCCAGTCCCCTAGATCAAGGAGAGCGTAGAGGAAAGGAGACCTAGAAGGAATGAGGGCAGCAGGCAGCCAACTCATCCCAGTCATTCTTTGTTGTTGTTATTGCTGCTATTGCTGTTGCTATAGGTGAAACACTGGTCTTGAGCAAGACAGAGACTCGGTGATTCGTTCATTCGTTCATTGATTGCAGAGTCTGCAAGAAGGTGTGTGGTTCTTCGATAGAAAGAAGGTCCCCACGGGACGGACACGACTGTTTGCGGCAACGCAAGCCAAGCCCGCCTCAGGCCAACCAGCCAAACCCTCCTTTTCCGGTTTAAACCCGCCCGTTCGCTCATTTTCCTCCAACACTCAACTCGCTCGCTCGTTCTCGTCCATCATCGTTTTCCATCCCACCATCCAACTTTCCCCGTCGCATCGGTCGGTTTCAAGATAATTAAAAGCGCTGGTATTCTCTCTCTTGCCTGGCTCTTTTTTGACCTCCTATCTGCCTCACTCCTCGTCAAAACCGCCTCCGGCGCAAATTGCAGCGCTGCCTGCGCGCATCGTGGCGCACACGGTCTTCCATCAGCAATTACTCACCCACATCCTCCATCGATCTATCGCCATCGCCTCTCATTTCCATCCATATTCTTTCATTCGCGGACAATCTCTCGCTTCGCAACCATGTTGCTCCCATCTGCTCTGCCTTGCGACACACGTCGCCCCTCCACTCGGTCGCGCTTGACTCCCAGTCGTTTATTCACAACCCCTCCTCCGTCAGACGACGATTTTCCATCCAACAACGGCCTCGTGGGCACCTGTCGCGCTCTTCAATCACTTCTAAATGGCTCTCCGGCCCCATCTCCACGACGATCCAAAACACCACGCCTTCAAAGTCCTCTCCAAATCCAACCCAAACCTTCCGCCCGGTCGCGGAAACAAAAACAGAACGCACCCTCCTCCGTCGCAACCCCTAAACCCGAGCGGCCTCGCGGCGCCAACAAGCGACGCCGCGACTCCTACGAAGCCGACATTGAAGCAGAAGGCGCTAGTTTCGCCGATGCGCAAACCCCTCCACGCAACACTAGATACTCTACCCCCAAACGCCGTCGATACGTCCCCTATGACCTGCCGCTAGGTCTGTCGCAGTCCGATTTCTATTCTCTTCGTTCTCCACCTATCACACAGTCGCCTCCCTCCCCTGCACAACGGCGCAAACAAGAATCTGTATCGAAACAAGAAAACTGCGCGTCGTCTTTTGATCCTGACGCGGCACTCCCGTCAGTCGAGGAGACGGAAGAGCCTACCGCGCGGGACACCGAGTCCTGGACATCAGACGATGACCAGCGACTTGTCGAGCTGGTCCTGGAAAAGTTCCAGCTTTCGAAACGAGATTGGGATGACTGCGCGCGTCGCATGGGCAAAGATAACGCTAGTGTCGGACGGCGATGGCAGGCCCTCCTCGGCGACGGCGACGTGGGGTTGCGACGAGGGCGACGAATGGTGCGAGGGCGCCTGGATGAGAACTGGATGTGAATCGCATCCTTCTCAATTCGTCCACTTCCTTTCCTCATCTCCTTGTCCTTCTCCTTCTACCTGAACACTATACTTATTCTTGATGGTTAATATGTTGTGATGTATTCTATGGGTTTTCACGGTTTGCTTTTTTTTTTTTTTTTTCGGCCCCCACATCTCTCTAATCTCGGATCACCACACTGTTTCATATGAGTGGTATGAAGTACTGTATTATTAGTGCCTCCTTTTCATTTTTTCTTTTGTCTTCTGGGATCAGATTGCGTTGCTCTGGACATGTTTCTTGTATCTCTTGTGTTTGTAACTCTGTGTGTTTACGCCGCGGCTTTGGTCTGGTACTCCCGGTTCTTCTTGTCTTGTCTTACTATATCTGTTGTCTCTAGCTTGATTGCTTTTTTTTGTTTGTTTTTCCAGCCAGTATATTTCACCTACACTATCTATTATCTACCTCTGTATACTATCTACGAACCATCTGTTTTTCTATCCATCCATCTGGCTACATCTCTCTTCTTGAAGTACTTCTTCCAACGAACTAGTCGCATACACATGCTTGATTCATTGTAATTTTTTTTCCCCCTCTATCGATTGAACCACTTACATCATTCAGTCTCCACTGCTTATTCTCTGTACCTGTCACGGATAGCGAACCTTGGTTCTTTCCTATCTTTAACATTAAATCACCCCCTCGGTTCTATGAGGTACCTAGTCATTTGTTCTTTGTCTCGTAGTTGACTTCGCGGTCGACCCGGTTGAGGATATCGTGGTTATGATGTGGGTTTCTGACGACAATAGGGAGCATAAAGTTGGACCCTGTGGATCCGAGTATTTCATCTGGTAAGGTATCTAGCCTAAGCCTTTGGACAATGTTGTTTATAACATTTCTAAACGCTTAGGTTGGAAAGAGGTGTGTGTATGGGTAGCTTCTAGGCTACTTGTGTCGTTTTACTATGTTTGGATGGCATTATAAGATTGTTTTGTATGTAGAAGGTGGTAGAAAGGATTCGAAGTATAGTGAAAATAAAAAGCCGTTGTGAGATGCAGAACGCCAAACACCGAGCTCATGGCAAATGTTAAATGGTAATGGTAAGGTAAGATAGATATCAGGAATTCAAATAGAGCCGGGCTACCCTGCCTGCAGTAGACCAGCCGGCTAGAATCTGTAAAGGAGGGGATTTGTTAGCATATCTATCAAATGCACCGGGGCATTGACGTGGAGGAAGGCAGTAGTAGACTTACCGAATTTCATAACTTCCCGCGCGAGTCATGTATCGCACCCACTTGACGCTGCTATAGTTGTTCTTCTCGAACACCTTGAGGTACCGCACCAGCAACCCGCTACTCGTGAACATGAGCAGGCTGAACGACAGGCTGAGCGGCGGCCGGCTCCACGCCTTCTGATGTGTCATGCTGGTCAGCGTCGCCTCCGCCGTGAGCACGTACTCGCTGCCTCCGGAGAACCGCGCGATCTTCCAGACGATGTTGTTATGCTCGGGCTCGTATTTGGCGCGGCCCTGGCTGGTGCGCTCCGTGGTCTTGGCGGTGTTGAGCGGCGTGGGGATACGGATGACCACGTTGGTCGCGAAGAGCTTGGGACTGTAGTTTGCCTTGATCGCCACGCTGTATTCCACCTTCGTCGTACCGACCTCGCGCACGATCGGGTGCACTTTGAACGGGAGGTTGACGTTCTCCGTGGCGCGGTATCGCATGAGCTCGAACTCGCCGTCCGGCGGCACGAAGGAGATGATCCGATCCGCGTCGAAGCGACCCAACTTCACACACTGGTGGAACTGACAGTCCTCCAAAGTCACTGATCCCGCCGCGGCGCGCGTCGCCTTCATAGCGCCGTCGCGGTTGCCCGCAGGCGACGTACTGGCCCCGTCGCCGTCGAGGAGAAGGCGGTCGTTGAGGCCGAACTTGCACTCTGGGGTGCCGGAGAGGTATGCCCGCATCACAATCTGGCCGTTAACATCGGCGCGTAGCACGGTACCGGTGGCCGACATGAGGAGGTTGACGTCTTCAATCACGTCCACGAAAGCTTCGTTCTTGCGGTATTTAATGTCGGAGCGACGCCACGAGAGCGCGCCCGTAGCCTGCATGGTGATCCGGCTGGAGTCGGTCGGCGAGTTGGCAATGGCGGATTTGACTCCCTCGGTCGTAATGTACATCTTCAGAGTGTCCGTCTCCGTGTTCTGGGGGTATCCGAAATCAAGAATTTCTAGGATGGTCAGTCTGCGGCTGTCGCCCTGCAAGGTTCTGGCAGACTGCCAAAGAAAAGCCCATAACGATCTGGACGCCATAACTTACCATCCAGCAACTCATACACTAGCACAAAATTGTTCTTAACCGCTTCCTCGTCAAATTTCCCAAAGTAACTCTTTCCCAGCATGATCAGCCGATACAAAAATTCGAACACCAGCGCCGCGTTGGCATTGCTCTTGGTCACCGCCACCAGATAAATATTCTCGTGCTTCACATGGCTGAACGTCGTCGATCCCAGCGTCAAAATGGGCGAGCGGACTTGGGGGTTGGAGATGACCTGAATGCGGAAGATATCGGCGAGGCGCGGACGGCAGTCATTGCGGAAGGCGCGGAAGATGAGATTCTCGCCTTTTTGGTTGAAAATGAGAATACCAGAGAGCATGGCGAGGAGAAGGCGGGGGAGGGGAGAGGGGTGTGAGGGGAGATGAAAGGACAAGGAGTGAAGAGGAAAGGGGAAAGGAGACGGTGGAAGGTCCGTCGGAGGTTCAGCGCGGAGCTGCTGCTTCGGGGCGGGTGGGGAAGGCGCACCATCGCACGGTGCTTGTCCTCAGTACGGAGTACTCTACGATCATTATCATCACGGTAAAAACAATGCAAGACTCGTGTCTTGACGACTATAAGTAATATTAGTCTAATTCTGTCTCTCAGCCATCTCCGGCCTCCGTCTAAATCACATCCCGTATTCAAATTTATCCACAACACATCCGCCCCAGACTGAATTTTATAGACAACAGACAACAGTCGGGCACGGCAGACAAGCTAGATATCAACAAAAAAGAGAAAAAAAGAGAGAGAACAATGGGTAGCGCAAATCACTCCCAAGGTCAAAACGAATGGTATCAACAGTCTGAAAACACGGACATGGATATCGTAAAGTCAAAGCGAGAAGAAGAAATAGGGGGAATCCAAAGTTCGCTAGAATCCATGCAGCTGCCACTTTGGGTGGGGAAGAAGGAATTAAAAAAGAGTAAAGGGACAAAGATAATACAATCCAATAGGAACAAAAGAAGAAGAAGAGAAGAAGAGAAGAAAAGAAGAAAAGGAGAAGAAAGGAAGAAAAAAAGCGTGAAGGACCAAAGGCAGGCTCAAACACCGCTGCTCGGCCTGGTGCCCGGGATGGATGTTCCACCCGGAATGGATGTCCCACCTTCGCTATGAATGATACCGACCTTGGGATCAGGAATCTGGATATCCAGGGACATGTAGGCCGTCCGTCGAAGACTCCATATGTGCACCCCGTCCTTGGCACCAACTTCTCGATTCCAATTCTCGATCCAATCTTCCACGCGTCGGAGGTGACCCTTGATAGCCGGTGCGCCAATGTCTTCCCACAGCCAGCCTGTGAGCAGGCCCAACGCGCCATCCAGCCAGTTTCGGAAACTGAACGGATCGAACGCTTTGATGAGTTCATCGTTCACCGTCGCAATCACCTTGCGAAACTCTTGCTCCGGCAGCAACGGATCCAGAATTTCGGGGTAAAGGTTCGAGAAGGTCGGTGCCAGGTCCCCCTTAACCATCCAATCGCGTCGGATGCGAATGAGTCGCGTCGTCATGAATTCATTGGAGCCGATCGGGACGTGAGAGTTGATGTGAGGGTAACACGGATGGGCTGGACCCCAAGCTAGTTCTTCTGCCACTTCGGGTTCGCCGCTCACCGGAGGAAGATTGTTGGAAGGAATCGAGGCGATTTGCAATTGGGACCGTAGTGAGGTCTGCGATTGCACATGTCGAGGTCGTTCGTCATCGTAGGGTCCCCGTGGACCGGCGGTATCGAGTCCAAGATGGGCCCGGTCGGGCGGACGAAGACTGCTTGCCTCCCGGCTCTCATTCCTAGCCGTCGGGTCGGACATCTCCTGAGAAAGCCAGCGGTCGTCAAACGCGCCACTGCGCCTCTGCCCTCGAGGCACTGCGATACTAGAGCGGCCACTCTCGATTTCCCCCTGACTATGTTCGACCACCAGGCTATTTGGGGAGGGGGTCAGTCGACTGCGACGTTGCTCGTGAATGGAGAGAAGCGGGTAGGCGTCTCGATGCGCTTCGAGCGGTAGGTTTTCGTCCGAGATCTGGAGCGGGTGAGGGAGGGTGATAGGGGTGGCTCGCGGGACGTGGTTGACAGGGTTGGCCAGTCGTACAGAAGGCGGGCGTAGAATCGCGGGGGGGATCCAAGACGAGTTCCTTGACTGTGACAGGGATCGCGAGGAACTCTGCGCCGCGGAGGAGCGATCGGCCAAGGAAAATGCAGGCCGGTGGGCCTCGAATGAACGCCGCGGAATGCGGTAGCCACGCGAGGAGAAGCGAGAACAAGTGGTGGAAAATCCTTCAGCCTCGGACGATGGTAGCGGGTGAGTATGGGAGGCCGTGAAGGACGTCGTTTCCGAGGGGGAAGCCGACGGGGCAAGAATAGGGAGACGGGGCGGACGAGGGGACGCCGTGATGGAAGAAAGCGAAGGCAAAAGGGAAGAAGAGGGAGAAGCTGCCTGAAGGCGGAGGCAGCGGGCAGAACGAGAGTGGTTGGTCGGCGGGCAGAAAGGGGCACTGGGGTCACGGGACGGCCTGAGCGCAACATTCGAGTTTTTTTATTTTATTTGATTTTTTAGTCTTTTAGTTCTTTTTCTCGCTTTGGCTTGTCCGGAGAATGAGATCTTCGCCGATTGATTGATTATCTGATGCGAATAGGGAGTCAGCATAGGTACATATTATATTTCCACTCGGAGGATGGATGAACGCATACCGGTGGATCACTCAAGATGTATGTCCGGAGTACATACAGGTCATGCCCTAGATAGAGATTCGTATAGATCGATCTCACAGCTTCAGCTTCAGCTTCAAAAATCACTCGGTCCGGGGGTCGCAGTTCAAGCGAAGGAATCCAACAAAGGTGGGAGAAAAACCAAAAAAAGGAACGGAGCTGGGACGGATCGTGAGTAATTAAATAAAGAAGTACTAACGCCTGGAACGAAAGGGAATCCCTAGAATTCATAATGGTAATAATAAGGCCATAATAAATCCACTATTAATCCCCATCCCGGTCCCATCCCACCCGACGGCGAAACCATCGATCAGTCGCCCAAGTCAAGTAAGGCTCCAACTTTGCGGCTTCAGCAGGCAAATTACATCATACCACCCTGCCATGGCAGATGAATACAGTTTATTAAACGAGACAGATAGAACCCAATAAGTCGTCGAAAGAGAGGCCATTCCGAACGGGATGTGTAACGTTCGTGCAGCTCCGAAGCGCAAAACAGTCAGATCGCAGGCAAGATGGCCAAGATCGCAACCCCGGTCAAAGGAAAAATAAGCCATGGAGTGCGTCATGTCGGGGATCCTCCAACTGGCCAGTCCAGAACTGCGTGGCGGATTGTTCGGCCCCCCTGGCGTTGCTACTAAATTTACCTCTAGTCTTGAAGGGATCGACCCTAACGCCAATAGCTTCGGGGAAATCCAAATCGCCCGCCCATGGGTCAAAGGAGACACTATCGATCCCATTTCTTGGGTGTAGAACCGAAACAAAGGAATTCAGGTATCGAGAATGGGAGCCACAAAGAAGGGAAATAAATTAATTCTCCACCCCAGTCCAAGTCGGAAAAGCCAATATCTTCATATAATCTCTTACCCATTAGATACAGACATTACTCAGTACACCGTAGTTTTGTCGCAACCCTTTCATCGCAACCCTTTCATCGCCAGGCTCAAATCGTAATTTAAAAATCAATATTTAACTCCGAAACACAAGGGACATACGATCAATAAAGGGACCGGGGGGGCGTATCGCTTAAATCGGCCGTTACCTCATAGGGCGATCCTGGAGGCAGACCGATGGAGTATCATCACAAAGAAAGGGAGTACGGCTGGTCATTTCCCGTTCATATTTCGATTGGCCATGGCTTGCATACGCCGCATAGCGTTTCGATGCAGGTCGCTCATGTCCCCTCGCTGTTTGCTCTCCGCGACCGGGGTGCCGAATTTGACGGACAATGCACTTCGATCGGCCTGGACGAAGGGATTCCGGTCTCCTGCCCCCGTGCTGGCGACGGGATTGTTCATCTTTGCCAGCGGATTGCGTTTGTCCCACAAGTCCTCGCGCACATACTCCCGCCACGCAGCCATGGTGGCCTGTGTATTCGTAGGAGAAGGCCCAGGGGAAGGGCCAGGGGCAGGGGAAGGGGTTGGTACTGGAGCTGGTCCGGCTGCATTGCCGTTCCATCGCCCTGGCGGTGTCTGCGTCATTGGAATGATCTGCTGATGGAGCATGGTTCGGCGTTGAGACAGCGGAAGATTGTCTCCTTCCTCGATGATGGGGCAAGTAGAATGCCGTGGCGAAGTCTCGATAGGTGACATCCCAGGACTACTGCGCGCGGACCAAGGGTCCGAACCAAGCGAAAAAGATGATAACCTGCTCCGCATCAAGCCCTCCCGCACGTCCAAGAGGGCCGGTGGACCCCTCCATTGTGGTTTGGGTGGTTCCGTCTCCTCTCGGGGTTGATCGACGGCGGTATTAATCGGAGGCAGAGCGCTCGCGTGCGTCTGAAAGCTATTCGTTGGCCCTTGGGGGGCTTGGGGTTGAGCTGCTGCAGGCGGATACTGGGGTAGGTTACTTGCTGGCATAGAGGAGAATCCTGAAAGCCTCTTGGTGGATCTGGATGATCTCCGTTTGGCTTTGGAGTCTCGACGCGATTGTGATCCGTGAGACAACAGATGCCCCTCGTTTGCATTGCTCGGCTCGCGCCCTAGGGTGTGCTCAAGGGCAGGCGGCGGTTGTGCGTTCAGAGGCGTTTGCAGCAGTTCTTCAACATTCACAGGCGCCGCAGCTTCTTGGGCCTCCCATGGATCCTCGTGCCGTTCGTCTTCAACATACTCGATAGGTTCCGGTTCAGGGATTTCCGCATCCGCCAAGTGCTTTGCCCATTCGTCGGTGCGGTAGCTCTGGACCATCCTCGATGCTCGATGAGGTAAGTGCTTCACAGCCTTTGCCTGTAATTTGACCGGCTCCTCCTTCTTGGGTTTGCTGTTGGTCTTGGGTTGTGGTTCCAAGAACTTCTGCTTGCCGGTGCTTGATTTGGATTTCAGGGAGGAGCTGACGGTTTCCGAAGAGCGGCTGCGTTGTTGGGCTTCGATGGATTTTGGGCCTTTATAATCTGGGGCAGGTTTCGTATTCGCTGAGACATTCGCCTGCGATGTGTCCTTCATTGAGACGGTGCTCACGATTGTATTTGCTGTTGATCCAGACTGTTCAGGGCCTTCTTTAAGGGGCTCTTCTTGACCTGGAACGGGTTCGTCCTTCACCTGCGATAAGGAAGGCAATGCCGGAAATTCCTTTCTGTCTTCCTTCTGCAGCGCGCTTCCGTGCCCCATTTCTTTTGCTGCACCAACATCTTGCATCGGAGAAAGCTTTTGGTCCTCCACTTCTCGTGAGTAGACACTCCGGTCGTCCATTTTATCTCCGGCATTATCTTTAGAAGAGGACGTCTCGTAAGAACTGGACAAACCTTTAGCAGTAGTGCTTTCTCTTGCATCTGAAGCTTTCTCTGCTAAAACACCACCACGTGCCATCATCGTTAGGCTACCAGAAGCAGTATCGTCCCTTGCGTCCGTTTTTCCATGAGTGGACGAGGACTCGCCCTTTGCAGAAAAGAGGGTTTCCTGAGGATCAGACCTCACACTACTCTTTACGGACGACTTGTCCCAGGACCATCCAGAATCCCGATCTGAGCCCGCGTCGGAGCCGACGATGGCCGTCATATCAGAGCTCTCCTCGTCACGCATCTGTGCTGCAACTGTGCCATCAAACCTTTTGACACGAGCGGCGTTTTTGTCCTCAAGCGTTTGACTTGAATCATCTCCATCCAAACTTTTGGCCATGTCTTCTTCTTGTCGCGTTTGGCTGCCTCCGGTCGCTCCGCTTGTATCAGACGTAATGGAAGAGGCATACGCAGATTCGCCATTATCTGCCCGCTCTTGGCAATCAGGGCACCGGTAAGATTCCTCGGAGGAACTCGAAAGGGTCTCCATCGCGTCGGCCTTCTCCATCTCAATATCCGCGAGGCATTTAGCATCACCAGGGAGCTCTGGCAGGTTCGGTCCAGGATTGGGATTGGGATTGGGATTGGGATTGGGATTATTGCCGTATTTGGCTTCCCACTCTAACCGCTCCTTCATGTTGTCCTCCGCCAGTCGCTTTGAATTTTCGGCTTCGGCCTCCTCCTTCTTACGCTTCTCCTCGGCGCGCATCTCTTCATCCTTGTGTCTTCTCTCCCGAATTACGCGCCATAGTCTAAGTTGGGAAACAACACCAAGGATAGCAATGATGACCGTCGCCGCAAGCTCGACACGAATATTTCGTGTCACTGGATAGGTATCGGTGCCAAGAGGAAATATATCATCGTTGAGAGCTAAACGATGTGTCAGAACATGCCAGAATATGCAAGGGTGCTGCGTCAGAAGTCTTACCCCAGATGTAGAGCCAGAACTCTTTCAAACCGGCCCGACTGTAGCAGTCAATTCCTAAGGCAACCGCCGTGCCTCCAGAAATTCCAGTTGCTGCCATCAGTCCATACGGGCGTGTGTATTGACTGAAGGATAAAGCATAAAATGCCACCGAAAATGCACCTATGAATCCACTTTTTGCATCCGTTTCCGTCAAGAGGCCGCCTGGCTTCAGACAGAGGAGCCACATGCTACAGCAAAATCCCCCCAAGAGGCACCCAAGGCCTTCGCTCAGCTCTTTGAAAACAATTGAGAGGGCTCCGAAGGTGATTCCGGTAAAAAATACCGCGACAAGATAGGCTCCTTGTATTGCGACACGAACGGGGGGGTTCATCACATAGACAATGAGGACCTGGGAGTGATAGAGAGTCAGAGTTGCTAAGATGTTTGTAATGTATCTAGTTACTCACAGTGACCCCTAAACTGGTCAAAAATGCAGTTGACAAGAAGACTTGGACCCTAAAGAGTTGATGAGTATCGTTTCAAATTCCTAGTGAAAATTTGGAATTACCGCAAGTTCCGGATTCCTATAAATGCAAGAAAAGCACCGCTAGCTATGAGAATGAAGCCACTCACTCCCAATGCGGGTGTAATCAAAGGCTCAAGAGGCAGTTCTCCGGGAGCGGGCTTATCCGTCTCATCTATACCGCGTCAGTTAGAGAGTATGTGTAGCACACTGAATTTGAACTCACTTTTTGACGGTGCCGACGTATTGAGCGATGCGACAGTAGTAGATGCGACAGTCGTTGCATTTGATGTTGAAGTCGAATTGGCCGTCGCCGTAGCATGATGTGTCGCGCTTGCCGTTGTGCTGTCAGAAGTTGAGGTCGTGTCTGCTAATGTCGACGAGCTCGGGTCTGTCGCCCGGGCTTGTATGATAGCCAGACCTCCATGTGTATTGCGCTCACCGAAAGGCACCCAGGCCCCAAACGCGAATAAACCCGACACAAGATAAACCAGCAGGCTAAGCGTAAAGAAGGCCCGCATTATGACAGGAAGATGAGCGATTGAATACCGGGACGCTTATCAGGGGCAGTTTCCAAAGCCAGGAGTGACCCGACTGGGTATCGTTATAGTTGCCGTGAGGTTGCGCGAAAATCTCCTGGTGGTTATTTTTCACATTATTTGCCATTCAGACACAGGGCGACCGAATTTTAAGCAGCAAAATCCGCTGTCAACCCGGACTCCAGACACGCAAGAAAGCGCAAGAAACGTGGCTGGACGTAGCAGAGAACCGAATAATCATGCAGAGCCCTCGTCTCCACTATGTATATGTCCACTAGAATAATATTACCCTCCAAGATGTCTGCACGGGAAATAGGGAAGGGCGTCGCAGTCTTTAGATTCTGCCTGCCGCTAACTTGGCCTGGATAGGGAGTCCTCCGTAACGTCAGGGAATCCATGAGTTATGACGATAAATAGACTAGATGCATGGAAGGCGCAAGCCGGTCCACTCGATGTAGGAAAAAGCAAATAGGTGCCGTGTCATGCATCGGTATGAGAGTATTTGGGAAAAGATCTGCGGTTTAAGTTCACGGCACTCGTTAACGAATAACTGTCTTCGTATATGGCTGCTAACACGACCCTTGGCTATACTCAAGGGGCAGAGCAGATTGATCAGATCAGACCACCAATCACGCCCCAGAAACCGAGGGGCAAGCCTGTAAGGAACAGGTCATAGACAAGCAGGGGCACAGTCATTATAAGCCAGTGAGATCGGGGTCAGTGACGGCGTGCCGTGAGTATAGCCAGATTTTCACGCATGAGGCACCGATTTACGTCCTAACGGATTAGCGCCTTTGGGTATACTGACGTGGTTTGATCCATGCAGGGCCAGAATCGTGAGCACCGCGTTAGCTATGAGAATTCAAAAACATGATCACTGTAGACCTCGTCAGCCAGGTCCTTGGCTCAAGTCTCGCTTAAACAGCTAATTCGCTAGCAAACCGTCGAGTCCAATCAACCCCAGTCAGAACCCCGGCATTGCTGATCAAACTAGCAAAACTAGACTAGTCTCATTAGTCGGGCCGTTCGTGTGATCGGCTGCAGGAGGCGACAGGTCCGATTTGGTTTCTTTTATTTTTCGCAAAGTTGTCAGCCTATCACGCTCTAGATCGAGGAAACAATGGGTTTTGAATCGCTATGTTTCGGTTTCCTAATGGACCATGGGTGTGTGGCTAATTTCCGAGCCGGCCGCCGACTTTTCCAGGGACGAGTCTTTGACAAATCGTACTATATTTGGGGTCGTGGGATGATTATCTAGCCAAGAAGGGTAACGGCGTACAGAACACAGAGTTGCATCCCGACCTGCGCAGCAACTCGAACATGAGTTCCCATGGGATCGGTGCTACCGACCAGCTGCATCCGTTGATTTGAGTTAGTCCATGGCAATGAAGGTTTGAAGCATACTAGTCGCAATGGTTCAAGCACGACGAATCAATAATGGGATGCACAACAGATGCGGTGAGAAAAAATTTGGAGTCAAGATATGATTCAGGAACTATTCCTCGTAAGGAATTTGAGTTTGAATTCGTGCCTTGCCGCTGATCCTGTTCCCTGGGCGAAATCGGACTTGACGTCTCACAAGTCACAACGCACGGGGAGCCACTATTTCAGGAAACAGGAATCGGGTCGGTAGTGATTTCATGCGGACCATTAAAAGGAGACTATATTGGAACTCGCATGCGTGTATCTGGCGGGATATGGTATATTGCATCGTGGAAGTCCCATCTTGTGGCAAAGCGAGGCGAGTGGAATTGGTAGTACAGAGTATAGATTGGGTCTTGATAGCATCATATTATGTTATATATCATGTAGTAGAGGACAAGGATCCATCAAGGAGCCTGTATTGAGGACAGCAACCAAGTAAGGATCATCGAAAGAAGGGCCCCTTCGATATCCAAGATTTGGTTGGTAATGTTGACAGGTAGAGGAAGGACAGACGACTTCTCGCGCGCCCTTCAATCCGCATCAACATCACGTGAGGCTCGCGCGTTGCCGCGGCTCACGTAATCGATGGTCCAAGCTGCCTTGTTTCTTTTCGACTCGTCGACCCCGGATTCCACGTCTTAGCTCTCGTTGAACACATCCTTTCTCCCATCTCATAACAATGTCCGCCTTCACCTCGTCCCTGCGTCCTCTCGTGCGCGCCTCGCACGGCGCTGCTCTTTCCGCGCGCTCTTTCAGCAGCTCTGCGTCGCGCTCCGTTGCCCGTATGATCCTCACCGGCCGTCTTGGGAGCGAACCCGAGCTGCAAGCCACATCGACCGGTCAGGATGTCATCAAATATGCGGTGTCCTCCTCCTACGGCCCCCGGGACAATCGCCAGACGAGCTGGTTCCGCGTTGCCAGCTTCGCGCCCGAAGGGCCGCAGCGGGACTACCTCCTAGGCTTGCCGAAAGGGTAAGTTTCTCAGTTCTATGTGATCGCGCAGATTCCTTCCCGTATTTGCATAAAATTTGCATATTTGCATGGGTAGGGACCTTTAAGAGGTCCCGGGGTGTTGGAGAAAACCCAGGGCTTCCAGGGAGAAGATCACTGCACACCGCATCAGGCGCGAAATTCACCTACCATCGAACCCAGAAACACACGACGCTAACCACCACCTCATCAATAGAACCCTGGTCTACGTCGAGGGCGACGCAACCATGCGTTCGTACGAAGATGCCGACGGCAAAAAGCAGTCAACCCTAAGTCTCGTTCAACGTAAGCTTCAACTCTGACCCATCGAATGAATGGACAATTAAACCCCCGTCATCTCGGAAAAATCTAACGTGTCCTGCCTTTCGTTTTCAGGAAATATCGAGGTTCTCAAGCGTCCCAACGATTCTCACTAATCGACGGCCTAAACTTTCGCAAATCGATCGAGATGCACAGGGAAATTTTATAATGAGGGAAGGTGATAGAAGACGCTGGTTGTTTGGACTCACCGGCTTGCTCTCTGTCTCTGGTTATCCTTTGGACCTGGAATTTTCCCGGCGAAAGCCACCTGTTGGTTGGCTTCCTGACTGTCCCATTTGCTGTCGGTCATTCCGGTGCTTGCATGTATTGTAGCTTCTGTTGTTCTTGTCGTCATCATTGTATGTATACCCTTTAATGGTCATTTTCTCCTGTCCTGCAAGTTGTGCTCCATTGTGTTTTGAATATTTATAGAACAGATGGGAAAGCATCCGCATGAGCGATCTTGCGCTTCCCCCGATCAGAATTCGCACTTTTGAGGCATGTAGGTAGACAATAGGTAAAATTGCCCGCACTTGTAGTGTATTACGCGGGCTACTACGTACATCTATATATTTAGCTCCAAAATGATTGGGCAACCGCTACTTAGGTAACTTAGGTTCTTGTAACTAGTTAACTACGGTAAGACCAGGAGGGTCACTACAAGGTAGAATGTTCAAAGCCATTCCGCGCCTTGATCCAGCAGAATCTGCACCACTTTCTCATGGCCTTCAGATGATGCAGCCTGGAGTGCATTGCCATAGCCTCCTCCTTGGGCATTGACATCCGCGCCTTGATCCAGTAGAATCTCTACCACTTTCTCATGGCCTCGATATGATGCAGCCTGGAGTGCATTGCCGTAGAGTCCACCTTGAGCATTAACATCCGCGCCTTGATCCAGTAGAAACTGCACCACTTTCTCATGGCCTCCAAGTGATGCAGCATGGAGTGCATTGCCATAGCCTCCTCCTTGAGCATTGACATCCGCGCCTTGATCCAGTAGAATCTGTACCACTTTCTCATGGCCTTGAAATGATGCAGCCTGGAGTGCATTACCATAGAGTCCGCCTTGGGCATTGACATCCGCGCCTTGATCCAGTAGAATCTGCGCCACTTTCTCACGGCCATGATATGATGCAGCCTGGAGTGCATTGCCATAGTATCCTCCTTGAGCATTAACATCCGCGCCTTGATCCAGTAGAATCTGTACCACTTTCTCATGGCCATGATATGATGCAGCTTGAAGTGCATTGCTAAAGCGTCCACCTTTTGTATTTATTATATCATTCTTTTTAGAGTCCTTCCTCCAAGATGCTATCATGATATTCAGCACGGCTTTCAATCCCAAAAGAGCGCAGTAGTACACAGGTAATGGTATACCTTTGACGTTGCGCCCATAGGATATTTCGGTTTGCCACGGCGCATCCATGTCATGCAGCTGTACCCATGTCAGGAACGGCCGGCCTCCATCCTTCAAGAGTCTAAGGATCAAGTGATCAATATCAGAGCTTCCACCTCTAGCCTGCTGGTAATAGCTGTACCAATACATTGCAGCAAAATGGGCAAAACAAAACTCGGTAAGTCTTGCTTTATCTAGTGGATTATTAGAGAGTCCTGGCTCCAACAGATAGACAAGACAAATCTGTGCCATTTCAATATTTGCGCGATCTTTCTGCACTGCAAATTCCTTTGCTTTCTGGTGCAGCACACGGTTGGATTCAAGGTACTCTTGTACGGAGAAGTGTGCGATTCGAGCCACATGCGTCTCTTGTTCTCCACTGCCTTCCATTGCTGCGACCTCGATCAGACCGCGACAAACATCGATGATGTCATCTTGGTCATATGATCGACCTTCACGATCGAGGTGTGGTGGCTCTTCAAGGTCCACAGCATGAGCATCAATCAATTCTTCCAGAGTTAATGGGCGCTTAGCCAGGCAAAGAATCATCAAGATTCGCCGGACATCCTCAGCATATAGTCTGTCGATGCTGCACAGGATTCGCTCATATGTTTCATCCAGATCACGAGGCAAGGAACGTAAACAACCATCCAGCTGATTGCGGTTCTTAGCCCTCTTGAGCGCCATCAATTGACATTCAACATATCGAAACCTGTACATCCATCAGTGGAACTTTTCAATGTCTTATGTTTCCTGTCAGACATACACTCCTTGTGCTTTTTGGCTTAGGCTTTCTTGAATTTCTCCATGGCGTACCTTCCATTTCTGAAACCCCGGGTCGTGGCTTAGTCGGTATGAAACAAAGTTTGTTATGTCCTTATCAGTCTCAGCATTTCGCATCTTGACCTCTGCGGTGGAAGGAGCTTGCAGCGACTGACGAATATCGAGCTCATTACGGCTGGTAACCAAAAGGTGGAAACCCGGCAAATTCCAGTCCCTCATTGTCTTGATTGTTTGCAAAACGTCCCCCCTTTCACGATCACGCGGACATTCATCCAACGCATCCAGCAGAATGTAGCTGTCGTGGAATCTGCAGATAACGTTTTTCAAATAGCTGAGGAGGGCGTTCATGGGCGGAGTGCCTGGCTTGTATGATTCATACAGTTGCTGTAAATCTTTTTCATTGTCTTCAAGTTGCACCGAAAGTTGTAGTAACAAAGCGCGCAGCATGCCGGAATTCCTGATCTTCGACTCATCATTAAAGGAAAAGTAGAAGAACCCAACCCCTACTTCATGGCGATGCTGAGTCTCAGACAAGGTAGACTGGATAGCAGTCGAGCATAGAATCGACTTGCCACACCCCGCAAAGCCATGAACCCAGAGAAAGGAATTCCGTTCCACAAGCCAGTTCTTGAAGGAAGAGCCGTTAACGAACCATAGTCCCGTGCCTATATGATGTTTGTCGCAGGCACTGTGGTGGTTACTGGTCGCATCTGGCGCCGCAAGCCAATCACGAACCTTGGAAGAGACATGATTCGCATCTATGCGTTTCAGGAGTGATGTGATTTCCACAGCTTCCTCTTGAAGTATGCTATTGCTATTGAGATGTAGCACATTCAGCGCAAGAGACAGGTTCTCCCGGATCTCACGGATGTCTTCTTCCAGCTTCTGTAGAGTACTCTTTCGAAAAGGATAAGCCGCCTGACGCCCGGCAACCTGAATCCGACCCTTGAATCCTGTGCTCGATTTTTCTTGAAATTTACGACATTCAGCTTGTAATTCTTCGATGACTTCATTGCAATCCCCAATTGCTTTGCTGATCCTTTTGAACAATTCATCTTCATTCATCTGAGGTTGGCGAACTTTCAGTGCGTTACCAAGGGTGTCAAAGATAACTAAGAGATTTTCAAGATTGCGGGTGATCTGAACCAGATCGGAAGCCTGGTCCTTATACGCGGAATAGAAGTTAATTAGATTCTGAGTGACTTGAATACCAAGAGAAAGCAAACCCGCAACTCCAGACGCAATCGAGAGCGGATCAGCCATGGCGAGAGGGCAGGCCTGAGTAGCAGTAAGTGAATTCAAGCTTCTACACTGTGGAGCATATGACAGTTCTGAGGAAGTAATAGATAGTGTCAAGATTGCGATTAAGCGATGGGCCTGGATGAGGGGCAGAAACAGATGGTCAGCAAGATTGACCCTGTTTGTCGCTACTCGCTACCCCGCTCATTGATGACCTAGCGCAGCTGAACAGGGATATGGCGACCTACATTGACCAGTCAAATACACACTGGTTATGGTAGGGTCACGTACTTTCTAATACGGCTACAAATAAATAGATATTCCCTCTGTTTCTCGAAGCGGCTCAGTGCCTTTTAGAGTTAGGGTAACGGAAACAATCAAAAGAGAAAAATGGTGACATCAGTTTCCGGAAGCCCTGTAGGATACAAATACAGATTCAAGTTGATGGCCGCTAACAGGAGACGTTTCACCGCAGTGCTTGATTAAAAGGAAACAAGATGGACAGCATAACCGCAAAGACCAGGAACAAATACAGGCTCGCTGTGACTTGCCACTTCACACATTCTTCTCACTCTCTTGGCTTATGACCTGTTTTACCAGAATGAAATCTTTTCTGGTAGAAGTATCGTACTCGTTGCTGCTGCGGCTGGTATTTGCTCCGGCCCAAGCATTGGTAGCAACCGTGCTGGAAGGACCGGTCAGGTTGTGAAGCGACACCGTTTCGTCACAGCATGGGGAGCGGCGATAGAGAAATGGAGACAAACGTCTGACCCACGATTCCTTGTGCATGTGTCTGTGCGTCTTGGATGTCGTCGTGCTGTTTTCAAGATCCACATAGCTGTGGTCAGTGGGATTGGCCGAAGCAAGGTTGCTCGCATGTACTCTAAGAATATGTCAGTTCAAGGCTCCTCCCGCGCCATCGAGAGATATGAGAAAGCACACTAACCTTGTGGCAGATGCGCTCTTCTTACGAAATAAAAGTTTGACCCGGCTATTCATAGACCCCCCGCCGGTTGACGAAGTGGTTTCCATCTGAGATGCTTGTCCGCCGACAAGACAACAGTCCAAACCAAGATAGCGGGCGATTGAGGTATACATCTTCGAGGCGTCGTTACCACACCCAAAGAAGATAACGAACATGAATCCCGACGCTATAGGTATCCACCGATCAAAGAAAACCGCCCCACCCGTTGGGACCTTAACAATTTCATGCCACTTGGGTCCGTGAAGGGTACTCCAGGAATACTTATGCCATGGTTGCGACAGCGTCACGTTCCTCCATACCACGAAAGCCTGGGTCGGTATGATGCCTATGAACATTGTAAAGGCCAGCAGGAAAAGCCGAAGGAATCTGGACTTGTTGATGTTGCTATTGGAAGACTGGAGTATGTCTCCAAACTGGCTGCGATACTTGTGGAGGCGATACAGGACTAGCCCTATATTGTAGAGAAAGGTCAGTACCGTGCACGTATTGGGCTGGCATTCGGATCAACATACCACAATAGTAACCAGCGATTATGCAGATGATTGGAGGCCACATGAAAGACATAACGAAGCTCACCCAGCTCTCGTCGAAGCTGTTGACGCACCCTGAAATGGCGAACAGCATGTATCGGTTTGCCTGATAGACGATCTGAGTGATCATGGCAATGATTGGAACAATGACACAGAACAGGATATCCATGAAATGGTTCTGCCAACGTTGCTTCTTGCTGGGAACGAGACTTGCACGACTGGTGTCCAGCACACTGGCCAAGCCACGGAATATGCCCAGCAGATCACCCGGCACGGCAACGTAACTAGCGATCATGACCTTGACTTCGACATCACAAAGGCCCACGCCGCTGAACCAGGAATCAACATCATCATTGGGCCAAATGGTTGCATTGATGATATTGAAGAAATTGAGAACCAAGAACCAGCCAATCAGGCACGTCGCAGGAAAGTTCCGATTCTTCCAGTGCAGAGCCACCGGAACCAGGCTGACAATGATGGACAGGATAGAGAGAATAGGAATGACCACTGCATTAGTCACATTGTGGTAACGAGGTGCCGAATCTGAATCCATACTGAGTAGGCAAAGATTCTTCGACTTTTCAAAGATAGACCGTTTGCTTTAGAGGATCCTTAGGCTTCTCCGTGTGGTCTTTCGGTGGTTTCCAGGTTCGCCTTTTTCGGGAGGGAGGGAAAGTGTTGTTCAAGATTTGAAGAGCAACGAGCCAGCATCGCCGATATAAGAGGGGAAAGGCAAGGAACGGGGAAACGTGATATGAGACGTTATTCAGAAACCGGAGTCCTCTAGATATCTTATTGAGAGTGGGAATGCACCCCCGACCCAAGAAGCATTCCCTTTTGAATAGCAGAGACAGGCTTTTTCACTGTTCCTGTGGAAGTACAGACAAGAACCCACGCATGGTGCCGGTGTCAATTGGTGATACTGAGACGGGTGGCAGCATGGTGGTCTAACCAGGGCACGCCTGGGTGGCCCCGGCAGCGCGAACGTGTCTTTAGGGAATGAACGGGGAGCTACCCCGGGTGGACCGGACTGCATCACGGATCTATTGAGATAGGACATTCTCAATACCGAAGAAGAAGCAGTGAAGACAAGGGATCAGAGACAGCAAGCAGGATTGCGAAACCGGCAGGGTGGAAGGTTGAGTATAAGGCAGGCCCAGCGAGCAGACCATTCCTGATTGGGGTATCAATGGACTCATCGTCAATACCCCCGGGGTGCGCCCGTATTGAAATGCGGTCGGCGATGCTGCTCGTCTTCACTGACCCGGTGCGCCTCTCTCATCGTATGGAGAAACATAGTAATTTCAATTAAGTGGGATGCGAGTTGACTAGCGGGATTGAGGGTTCACCACCTGGTGCTTGGTGGTCAGCCGTGGAGGGCACTAGGGCTAGTCCTGGGATACCTATACTTACTCCGTAGGGAGGTGGTTGGTGTAGGGAGTACAGTACGTCGAGTCTTCGCCGCGGCCTGAACCGTCAGGCCTGCGTTGCACGTGCTTCGTGTCGCGTGACGTCGAGGTACTAAGGACATGTCTGGCCAGAAACATAGATGGAATTCCAAACTATAGCATAGTAAACAGGCATTGTGGAACCATTCCAAGAATGTATTTATGCAAAACAATTCGGAGAAACCTCATAAATGGACCGAGGTAAAGGTACTACGGAGTAGTAGTACATACAATACAGACCTAGGTTAGGGGGGCACAAAGTCGCCCGACGAAGAAAGAAAAAAGAAAGAAGAAAGGAAATCCAATCAAAAGTCAGTGCGACTCAAGCGGAGATGAAGCCGACAAGCCGGGGGCTGGATGGGTGCAGAAACTGAGGCATTGTGGTTGCCCACCTGAGCTGCTCCGTTGCACATGGCGTCATGGTTTATTGGGCGGGAGAAAGACTCCCCTGTTCTCTCTCTCCTTCCTTCTTCCTTCTCTCTTCTCTCTTCTCCCTTTCCAATCTCCCCCTCTCCTTATCCCTTTCGATCACGTCCACACCTGTTCTCTACTTGGTCACCCTCCCCTACCTCCACACCTCTTCAAGGCCCTCCTTGATCGCGTGCCACCCCCCGCCCCAATTGTGATCCGATCGATCTACGATCCGCCTATGGCGAGATTGCTTGGTTACCTAGGTCCTGACTAGCTGACCCTAGTTCCTAGCATGGTCGAGTCTCCTCCCTTAGGTTGCCATGCCCCGACCTGCGACTTCTCCCCTCCAAAGTCCTTCCGTTAGCACCGAAAGTGACCCCCGCGCTAGCTCCCCGATTCCCATGACTCTCCGCCATCGTGGTCCGACCCGCTCGGCCACTTTCGCCGAGGGTTCGTCGAACCTGCGGAATGAACGACGGAACTCGACCTTGTCTGATTCTGTATCCGAGGCCCGAAATTCAATTCGTTCCTCGACCGATGTTTTGTTATTCCCCCGCGCGCCAAAACAGACCGATGTCGATCTTCCCAACGACGAGTCGCATTGGCATTCAGCCCCCTTGGGCCTGGCACTTCTGCCTGCTATCGCCGGAGTCTTTTTCCAGAACGGAAGTGCCGTCGTGACGGATGTCACTTTGCTGGTTCTCGCCGCCATCTTCCTCAATTGGTCGGTTCGATTGCCATGGTACGGTCTCGCCCTCTTCCCGCCGTCCGCACCTGCACGTGATCTTTCTATATTTCCAATGTGGTTGCATTTATTCCTTGCCTTCTGATGATGATCCTAGGGACTGGTATCGTTCTGCGCAAGCTGTCCGACAGCCCGATAGATTTTACGACGCTTCGGAAATCTCCCCGGTATCAGATCTCAACGAACCTTCTACGACACCCAAGTCCCATGAATCTCTTGCAACGCCGGACTCAAAGAAGGCGTCGCGCCCTTCAGATGCAACCGGTGCAGCCTGTAGAGAACTGCAAATTTATGAGCTTGCTGCCCTCGTATCCTGTTTCTTGTTTCCCATTGTCGGAACATGGCTCTTGCACACGATTCGGTCTAAGCTTTCGCGGCCTTCTGAAGGGTTGGTGTCCAACTACAACCTAACCATCTTTCTTTTGGCCGCTGAAATCCGACCATTCTCCCATCTTCTGAAGATGGTGCAAGCAAGAACGCTTCATCTTCAGCGCATCGTCTCTTTGGCGTCGGAGGAGGACAAGCTTGATATAAGTAAGATCATCGACCTCACCAAACGCCTCGAAGACCTGGAAGCCCACGTTTCGGAGACCGCGGCGGAGCGTCTTGCATCCGAGTCCTCGTCTCAATCACAGGACAATACCTCATCCGTCATTTCTCAGGCAACCACGGAAGTACGAAAAGGGTTCCAACCAGAGATTGATGCTCTGACTCGGGCGGTTCGACGATACGAGAAACGCACGGCAAATACAAATTTCCAAACGGAATCACGGCTTCAGGCATTGGAGAACCAGATCAATCAAGCCATCTCTCTCATCACTGCGGTCCATCGTACGGATCGTCAACGTCGTAACGGCCTAATTCCCATGTTATTTGACTGGATATATGCGGCTGCTTTATTCCCGATTCAGATTTTCGTGTCGCTGACATCCTTGCCTTGGCAAGGAGCAAGGTGGTGCTTGCAAACTTGCAAAGGTCTCCTGAACTTGCGGCATCCCGAACGAACTATGAAGGGGAAAACACCGTATGATCGAATATCTCGGTCGCCTAGACAAACGAGACGATATATTCCGCAAGATCCCGCAGGGCCCAAAGGACTTAAATCTATTCGTGAAAATAGTCTTTAATTTGCAGAAAACTTGCTTTCCTTTGTCTTTCTTCTCAATGCTTCTCTTCCCTTTCTTGCTTTTTCTACGGGCCACTATACGAGAGGGGGGGAGTTCTGTGATATCGCCCAAAATTACCACGAATTAGAGAGTCGTCGTAATGTCGATACTTGGGGTTCTTTTCAACCGCAGATAGTGGATGGGAGTCTTCTCTTTTGGTGGGTCTTTCGGCAGATTTAGCATTGTGTGGTGGCCTTGCTGGGTTCCTGCAAGGAAGTCTGAATATCGAGGGCTGAACTATAGGGCTCTCGAAGGTGTTTTATGTATAGGGTGATGACAAGAAAAGAAACGAGCATTTTAGCACAGTTTTCGTGTTGCGAACAGAGGGCGGACGGAACAATGATAGTAAGCTCTTCGGCATTCTTATCTTACCGTCCAACTTTGTTGCTAGCATGGAGTGCTGCCCATATTGTATATTATCAATGAATAATGACTCCACTGGTTCGAGGTGGCTTGTTGATTAGCGCCGACTCCTGCCAGGGTCCATCAAGTGGGCATGCGCTAGGAGAATCACCATTCACGAAGACCTGCTTTGGTATGCATACGGTGCAGGTGTACTCCGTAAGCCAATGCCACATATGGCCTTTATTGATTCGACTCGCCTGCATGAAAGAGAGGCGGAGACTAGTGCCTGACAGTACTAAATAGTAACGGTGAGGTCATAGCTGTCATGATTTTTGCCAACATACAAAGCGGCTGTCAAAAGTCCGAACAGCACTGCGGATCACCCAGAACGGGAACCGAGGTTCGAAACCATCCTTGGATAAGTAGGCATAGAGTATCCCATGGATGATGATCGGTTGATGTATTCAGGATTCACTCTCCCCGTCGGCATCGTTTCCAGTAGGACGCGTGGACATGGTTCAAGCACCCCCCTCCCCTAGTAACCGCGCAGTCATACAATCCTAATATACTCCGTAGGTAAAAGGTATCTCGTTCCAGCCAACAGCAAACGCCATCCACGTCGGCCGAATGTCGGATCCCGAGGGTCTGATTGGGCGGATGTCCATCCGGCTGCAAAAGTCCGCACGGCAGCCTGAGGCCGCCACTTTCGTTCCCTTCGTTCTTCGTTCTTCCTTCCTTCTTCCTTCCTTCTTCCTTTTTCTACTCGCCTTCTCCTCTCGACGGTGGAGTATTCTAGACTGAGGGATCGCCACGTCCAGACCTCTTTTGTTCTTAATGCGATGGGCCTCCTCCCATTAGTGTCTGCCCCGTCTCCTGCAATACACCCTAATCAGTTAGGTGCTCCTTAGTGACACGGCCCCTGTCATGGGTGGGTTCTTCAACTCAAAGGTGATGTTAGAAATGTACCAAGTTTTTGCCACGCTCTCCATATCTCCTACCCTAGTGCAACTGAGTGGTCCGATCTGAGTTGAAACAATTTTTTTCTCTGATTTCTTTCGCGTTCAGCATGACATCATTTCGGCCTGGTGTTAGTGAACCATGGAAAACCTGGTGGCCATATGGCCCAGATTGGACCGCAGTTGACCGAATGAAGTAGTCCACGGAAATCATAGCCAAGGGTGGCCTTTGGACTACCTGCTCGAAAGAGTAGGTGGTCCACACGCTGAATACTGGCGGGTCTGTGAGGGCCATGCTTATCTGAGCTTATAAAAAGTCTTGTGCCTCGGAGGAGGCCTGCACGTCTTTCTATCCATCCAATTCACCAGTCCAGCTTTCTAGCAGAAAACACGCCTCCTCCGGGGATTTGGCGAAATCAATACCATGTCGGGAGAACAGGACCTAGGAGACAGCCGCCCTCCCGGAGCGGAGGACTTGCCTCCAATCGACGAAGAACCCGGCTATTTTCAACGAAGACCCCCCAATGAACAGCCTAATGCTTCTCAATCAGAGCAACAACGTCCGACCCCTCAATCAAGCCAAATGTCACAGCGAAAGGAGCGGTCGCAAGATCAGTCGAACAACCCGCGAGAAACATTCATGCGGCAACCGACCGAACAATCCAGCGTGCATTCTATGAGCATGCCGCAGCAGCTGACCCGAAACTTGAAATCCAAGCTGGCTCCCCGTCAGCCATCTCAAATGACTCAAGGGACGGACAATTCTAGATTTCACAACATGGCGGGCCCGCAAGAAGCCAACTCGAACGATATTTACGTCCATCCCGAGTACCGCGAGATGAATCCCGATTACATGAAGAACCACGAGGCTCCTATCTGGGGCTTAGCCAAACCGCTCCCCCGCGTCGTTCGACCGGGCATGCGCCGTGATCCCTCTAGAGGAGACACGGGAGCCTACCAGACAGAACCCAAGGGAGAATCAGAAGCCGTCCCCGAGATGAAAGTGACCCCTAGTCGACATGAAGATAGCCCGAATACCCCGGCCACACCTTCAGCTCAGAAGATTTCCAGCCGTGGGACCTACCCGGGCGGTGCTCACGTCGATACCCCCGTTGAGCAAGGAATCATGAGCCCCGACTCAAGTGATCGAGTCAGTCGGCCTGTTGAAAACGAAGTTGTAGGACAGTGGGATCAACCGCAGCCCGACGACCATGAGTTTGTGAACACATGGGCATTGATTCGGCATTGGCTTCGTGAGCCACTGGCTGAATATCTGGGGGTAAGCATTCTCTCTTCGGAGTAACTTGTGATTGCCCGCTTTGCTAATCCCTGAACAGACCACGGTTTCTATGCTTTTTGGTTTGTGCGGCACTCTTGCGATTACTAGCAGTAATTACCAGGCTGGCGAGCGCCTAGCCATGTACTGGTCCTGGGGACTAGGCATCATGGTGGGTATCTACCTTGCTGGTGGTGTTAGTGGTGGGCACTTGAATCCGGCTATTTCAATCGCACTTTGGGTTTTCCGCGGCTTTCCTGGGCGACACTGCAGTTACTATGTGATTGCACAGATTCTTGGTTCTCTCACGGCCGCGGGACTGGCGTATTGCATCTATCGTGATTCTATCATCAACCTAGCGCCCACGACCACCATGGGAGCAACCGGACTTGGGTTCTATACTGAGCCGCTAGATTATGTCCGCAACGTAACGGCATTCTTCAATGAGTTCATCTCGGCCGCTATTTTGATTTGTACAATCTTTGCTATGGGTGATGACGGTAATGCGCCACCCGGAGCGGGTATGCACTCCTTCATTATCGGCTTACTGATCCTCGTGCTATGTATTGCCTTTGGCTACAATACTGGGGGGTGAGTGCGACCTCCTACTATCATCTGCGCGTTCATCCTTTGCTAACTTAAAGCCCAGGGTCTTCAATCCCGCCCGAGACTTTGGACCTAGGCTTGTTGCCTTGATGGCTGGTTATGGCGGAAGCATATTCACTGAACGCGATGGTTGGTGGTTCTGGGGTGCCTGGCTCGCAACCACTACCGGTGCCCTGGCTGGTGCTGCTGTGTACGATGTGTTCGTCTTCATAGGCGGGGAATCGCCTGTTAATTATCCTCCGGCTCGACGTAAGAGAGCCGCGCTAAAGAAGGCGTTCAAATGGAGGAAGAGGCTCGGTCTGGGTAAAAAGAAGCTCCCACAAATCGAAGAGGGACTCAATGATTTGGAGGCTTAGATCAATGAGATCCTTCTGGGTCTTGTACTGCTTCTCCAAGTTCATCGCGAATATAACCATTTCTACCAATACACGGAGATCGAATGCGGAGGTCGTCCGTACACGAAGTGATGAAAACGACGCATTATGATTGAGGATGACGAAAAGTTTTGCATCCAGCGTTTCTTGACCGCACGTTTCTGAATTTCTATTTAACATACTATAGCCTCGAATGTATAATAATTCTCATCTAATTTTGGCTTATCAACTCGAATTTGGAAGTTCGTCTTACTAACCAGGTGATCAGAGCCTAAGTTGGCATCCAACATCGATTCGACATCCAACAGACCTCATCTTTCTTTGGTCCTCACCAGGAGGGACAAATAGCTTTCCAAGCCAAGGAAAGCTGATAGCCATTTTACCTTATTATTATTCAGCTTCTGTTTACTTAGATACCACATACTACACCTACGATCGTGTCGCAACGAGTGCATGAGCTCCGTCATCGGAAACAACCATATGGGGGGAAGAAGGCTCATTTTATGGCTGGGTTGGGATACTAGAAATGTCATGATCTTTTGGCGAGCCCTGCTAATGCCAACAACCAGCGAATGAGCAGTATAACATGGGCTAGAGCCTTGGAGGTTCTCTCACAATTATGCACCTATTACCATCTGGTCTAGTGTGAATGAACCCAGGGGCAACCTGAAGATTCAACGGTCACTGTCACTGGAAACGGACCGAGATTCGGAACTTAATATTAAAAGGGAGAAATTTCTTTCTTCTTCTTTGTTAGTTTTTGGGCTTTTTGTTCGCTTTTCTTGCCTGGAATACCGGTTTTATTTGATATCATTTCATGAAGTGAACACTAAACATGGTACAGCTTTCCTGTTGCAAATGGCATTCTCTATGTAGAATCACCGATTTCTACCATGATCATCTCTCATTGAATGATTCCAATAATGGATGTGATGAAAACACCGGATTGCCCGTTATCATTGGTCATCTCTTTGTCTCATCACGCAAAAGATCTCAAACCCAACAAAGACCCTCCAACCCATTTCATGCAATAACCATTGTACATTTGACATACACTAGGTTTCAGTCAAAGGTTCAATGTGTTTGCTTACAACCAACCCGTCTGTGAATGGCATCCTTTATACCTAGAATAGCATTCCGGCAGCTGTTGATTGTCTACAGCCGTTTTCGCGCATCCTTTCAGTTCACAATGACCTCAGTCAGATAAAAGATAAATAGAGGAATCTTCCACCTTCTTCATTCATTTTTCTCCGCTGCGAGACTACCACGCGATCGACGACATTTGGCCTCCTTTCCGTCAGGGTAAAGCATCCATTTTGCTTTCCTTACTTCCCTTTTCTTAGATAAGGAATCCCTCCCTGTCAAGTTGCCTTGGTCATACATCCTCAAGCCATCCATTCCAACATCCTACCTACGGACTAAGCCATCCACGCCAGAATGGTCCGCCGACGACTCAACAAGCCTAAGGCGGTCATGGCCAGGGACCGCCAATTCTGGTCCTGGGCCAGGATCAGGCTCCCCCGGGATCAGAAGGACGATGTGATATCGCGTCTGATGGATCGGCTCTATGCCGAGGGTCTGCTCAGCGTGGATATGAGATTGGCTCGTATCCGGGCCCGGGTAGATGAGAGTATTGCGAGGCAAATCGAGCTGATGCCTGCCGCTTTCCATGCTCTGCATGCCCGTTGGGGGGCGGAAATGCAGCGTCGGTTTCGACTGATGGTCACAGCGAGAAAGAGATATTATCTAGCTGCCAGGGAAGGAAGTCCTCGCAGGGGAGGCACTTCTCAGAGAGGTCAAGCCAGCGAGAGAGGAGGAAATCGGGGTGCGCAACAACAACAACAACAACAACAACAACAACAACAACAACAACAACAACAACAACAGCAGCAGCAGCAGCAGCAGCAGGAGTCTCAACAACGGGAATCTCAGCAACAAGAAGACGAACAAATGGAAGAAGAAGAAGAAGAGTTCTCAGAGGCACGTTCGGTGCCATGGTCCGATAGCTCGTCATCTTCTGATGACGCACCACCGAGAGAGCAACTATCTCCCATCCTGGGATCATCAACTCCCGAAGATCCCAGGCCGATGGACGTAGACCTACCAGCGCCAGCGTTGAAAACACCTCACAGAGCCTCAGCGGGCAAGATCCAGCTATTTTCCCCCAACTACGAAACACCAAGATCTCCAGTCGATAGTCACGTCTCGGAGTCCTTACGGGCCTCACCAGCCTCGCCTCCCCCCGAGCAAGAACCGGCAGGAATTTCCGCCACGAATGAGATCCAGAACACTCAACCGGAAATCCAATCGACGGCGACGCCTAGTCGGGGGGGAGACGAGGTATCAGAGGTTTCCACGGAGCCGAAGTCTCCTCCAGAAGATGCAATGCGTAAGGACCTTGTTTTGGATGAGGATTATGATGATATATCTACCGAATCTTCTGCGAAGGAGGTTCCGGGAGCTAGCCAGGTTGAAGAAACCCCTCGTGAAACAGGTCAATCTAGCGGAGATCTTGCTGAAGAGCATCCCGAAGAGCACCCCGAAGAGGTACGACCTGAAGAGCACCCTGAAGAGGAGCCATCCCAAGAAGCGCAATCACAGCATCGACACCCCCCTAAAGATGATCTTCCAGATTATACCTCAGACGACTATGAGGCCGAGCAGAAGCGTAACCCAATTACACCACGATCCCAAGGACAAATTGATCAAATGCCATCTTCCTCGTATAGCCAAGAACAATTCACCCAGTATCGCCAATCTGGATACAGATCACCATCCAGCGGTTCGATCACCGAGAAAGATATTCCCTCAGAAGACTCTGAGGACGATATACCATCAGCTCACCTACCCTCTGCCGGTCCCGGGTTCCATATCCCAAACCTCTACGACTCATTCTCGGAAGATTTCCTGGACGATGAACCCCCAGTCAACGTACCTTCCACTGGTTCAGCGCTCCCTAGCCCGAGCACCGTTCCCCGCGATTCCACCACTGCCACCTACAATCCATCCTCGGAAGCCTCTCATACCGATAGACCACCAGCTCACGTACCCTCCACTGGCCCGGCATCCTTTGACCCGAACGCCTTCCGTGACGAGCTCATCATCGTCGAGAACAGCTCAGGAGAAAGGACCAAGTTCATGGTCCGCGAGATTGCCTCCCTGGCACCTAACCATATCGACGACAGCCCCGTCCCCATTCAAAGTATCCGCTTCAATCTGTTCCTGGAAATGCTGCGATCTCTGAACTATGACCCGGAGCGTCATCAGATCTACTGGAATGGCTCGAAGAATGAAGAGATCGTCCGTTCAGGGAGTGGTGTCGTCGCTGCGATGCTGGTGGCGCAGCTTCACGAAATGCAAATCAGGTTCTTCCTGAGGGAGAAACGTCAATAGACTCTGTAACGGAGGGAAGGATGATGTGAATTATGATCAACTTTAGCGTTTTTAGACGATATGTCCATCTGCTGGTATTGATCTTCTGCCACCGCTGATGAAGGTTCTGTATGCATGTACAATTAGTTAGACCCTGTCTTGTTATCTGCTTAGAGCTTGAGCTTGAGATTCGTGGGTTTTCGCTTCAGTGATTGGTTTTTATATCTTATCCGTTATGTGCTCGGTTCGACGATATCTTTTTGGACTTTTGGTTCTATACTGGTTTTTTTTTTTTTTTCAATATATTCCCCTGTCCTGTCCTGTCCTTCAATCACCTATTAGACGAAATAATCTTCCAGAACCATATCCCAGCATATCACACTTTTTGAAAATGTATCTAGTATTGATGGATATCATTACAGTTAGAATCAGAGAACCATTGCAAATAAAGTAAAGAGTGACACTGTATCATACTCACTTACGGCCGTCATGTCTTCCCATAAACTCCCATAAAACCTATCCAAATCCTCTCATCCATCATTATGAACTCCGGTTTCATGCAACACCTAGCACCGCCAGCAAAAAAAAAAAAAAAAAGTAACGTAACCCGAGCAGACCTCCAAACTTTACCCTTAGCTTCTCTTCGAGAGTCACCTCCTTAGATTGAACTCGACAGCCAATCCAACAGTATTATCCCACCCAGCTAATTATACTCTTGCCATCTAGCAAAGTAATTGAGTGTTAGCTCCTAAGATCAGACAGAAACCCAGTCATGAGTACCCACCTGTGTCCGCATCCAACGCAGGTATAAAAACTCGTACTCCCCTCATCAGCGCTCCTTAGTTGCATCTGGGCATAGTACACCTCCTTGGACGGGCATTTTGGACACTCGATGTCCATGGTAGGACCAGATGGCGCTTTCTGAGGTGTCTTGGGTATGTGATTTCAGTCTGTCTCTGAGCTTTGAGGGGAAGTTCTCGGAGGTCGATGTGTTTGTTTGGTGGAGTGTTTTATCTGGTCATTTGGATTCGATGGGTGAGATTGGGGTATGTTAGGTTATGCTAAGTTATCACCTACTCTGCTCGGTTTTTCCACACTGATCGCATTCTAGAATGACCTTTGGGAGTCTTCGAGAAGGTTGCCGCAGGCGCTGCAGAATTGTACACCCATTTCTTTAGTGCAAAGGCTAGACTTTAGACCATTGACGAGGATTGGCGGGCAAGTCTGGAGGATATTCGTCGCGTGGGTGTTTGGTTCGGATTTGTGTCCAGAGGCAGGTTTATCTCGTGACTAGGTCTTCTTTCGTCGGATGAAAATAGAAATGGAGAGTTGTTAACGGATGAAGTGAATAGGAAAGGGAACTTCTCAGGTTGCGCCAAAGAAGGGGCTCCCCATAACCGTCAGCAGCAGACATTGGCGGACCAAGTCGCTGGGACACGCTCGAGCCGCTTCTTTGTTTGAGATATTCACTTGAGAGGGGGTTTTGTTAGGAAGAGGATAGAAAACAGAGGCTGGGAACAGTGAGAACAGTGAAAGAACCGGTCTTATATAGTTGGATATATACGCATTCTAAATATAACCAAACCCCGCCGAGAGCAAAATACAATACATAATATACAGAAAATCCCAAGTCTATGAGAAAGAATGATTCCAAGATGTGCGTGGTCTTCAACCCTTTTCCAAGGGTCAACAGAAAACAGACGCATGTACAGATGGATATTTTCACGCCGGAACTCCTCCAGAGGGTCCCTTGTTATCGATCCCCATGGCCTTTAAGAATGGCTCCACAATGCTTCGTTTGCGGTCATCTAGTGCTCTTCGTTCTTTATCTTTTGTTGGGACCGGGATATCAGAGGAGATTAGAAGCGAGGAGAAGATCCCCGAAAGCATGGTTTCGACGGTTTGGCGACGGAGAGCAAGGGGGTGGATTTTGGTCTCGGTAGTACTAGATGTGGTGAACGTACGGGTTCTCCGGCGGAGACTACCGCCTGAGATGAAAGATGCGGCGGATGGTGATGTTGGGGTTACTGGTTGCGTGTTGTTATCGGAAGCTTGGGTGTTGGGCTTCGATTCTTCTTCGGTCGGTTTGTTAGGCGAGTCTCGAGAAGGTATTGACGTTGCTGGTGCCACTTCGTTGGCAATGCGAGCAAGCATGAACGTGACGAAGGTAAACGAGACACTGTGGGCAGGGGAATATGCCAGGCTTTCTAAGACCCAAGCTTGGGATTCTTCCCAGGTCAACGGGAATGCTTTGGATTTCTCCCGCGTCAGAATCTGCTGGTCTAAGTCTTGCCAGACCGACTTTGTCACAATGCCATCTTGCAAAGAACCCAGGAACACTATCAAAGTCTCGCTCAAGATTTCCAGGCGATGGAGAGAGGACACCTCCGCGGCAAACACGTCATTGAACGGTTGGCTGGTGTCTAACGCCTCGCGGGCGGATGCGAGCAGAGGCAGCCGCTCATCTTTGTCTTTCATAGTCCAAGTCTCCGGTGCGAAAGGCCAACCAGCCCCATGGGGCTCTCTGAGCCAGGGGGGCGTATCCTCGTCTGAATCATCCCTCGTCATGCTCCATTCTGCCACGGCACGCTCTGTCAACTCCGATATCGCCTCGGTCAGCCGAAAGAGCTCCCGAGGGGCGGAGAGAGGAACGTCCTTGTTTTGCTTGCCACGTTCCGCAGCTGACATCCCAGCAGGCGACATCGTACGCGCTCCTGCCTCGGGCATTAGAGTGAGGTCCGCCAAGCTGCGACCGAAACAAGTAGGTAGCCATTTGCCATAGGCCGAGATGAAATGATCACGGCCACTGACCACCCGGAGTACTAGAATCTCTTCGAGTTGTGTTTTGCCATCGTTCAAAGCACGAGCCAGCTCGATATCACGAACATAAGCTGTGAGTTCAACGTTGGCAAGCTCTCCTGGGTGTAAAATGCATTCCTGCCCTGCTGCCACATACTTCCCTTCCTCGGAATCATCCCGGTGCGGCATTTCAACTTGGTACTCAAGCCACGGCACCATCCACACGTCGGAACCTTCTGGCTTTTCAAGCGTAAATTTTGCAGGGACGCCACTGGTGTTAGCCACTGTCAGAGATCGCCTGACTGGCACGTCGAAAGGAATGTCCCCAAAGTTGACTGCGTTGGGATCTCCATCCTCAGCTGATTCGACCCCGTGTCTATCCACAACGACTGTTAGACCTGGTCTAGATTCATTCTCGGCCCTGTCTAACTCGCGAACCACCTCTTGGTGTACCTTCGCTTTCAGGTGCGGGATGACTGATTCAAAAGTCAAGGTGAACCCAGCAGCCAGGGGCTTGTGGTCAGACGAGAGAATTCTTTGGTGGGATGCGTAATACTCAAGTCGCAGAGGGTCCTCGGAATCCGTCTGTGACTCGAATGAAGCACCATCGCTGGTCTGATCCTTAGTTGGGTCATAATCCTCGGCATCATCAGCACCATCAACGTCGGGGTCATAGTCAAACAGAACGTTGTCATCAGCGGCGGCTGTATCGAGGCCTCGGGCCTTCATCTCATCGTCTCGTTTTCTAGAATCGGCGGTCTCGGCGACCAATCTCTGGTACCGTTCTCTGTCCTGTTGCGACCGATAGAGAATGCGGTCACACCAACTAGGGCCTCGCTGTTTTTCGCTCGAATCAAACCTGGCCACACTACCGACATCGTACTTGTATGTCGGCAAGAATGATATGTCGCCCTCACGCCATCCTTCATGAAAGGCCTTTTCCTTGGCCTGTTGCAAGCGAAGTTGATCATGAGGCAGAAGAGAAGAGATAGTGGTTTGGAGAGACGCAGGGTCGGAATGAGGATCAGCATCCTCATAAGGGTCCGCCGAGGATGTATTGGACTGTTGACCCTTGCTATTTTCGTCTTCTGCATGTCTGGCAAGCACCTGTCGCACGTCGTCGCCCGGTATATCCTCCAGTCGATAATTGAGATCGCCGAACCAGAACGCATAGTCTTCTTTACCAATGCTTTCCGTTGGCTCATCCCGGAGCGTAAGTTCTGAGTCAATTGCATCAAACTTGGTTCGTCCAACGATCTGAGACGCATCCCAATTTCGTCGGTCCAGGCTGCCCTTGTCGGCCCCGGCCGCTAGATGGCAGTTGACAAACACTAAACTTGTTGTTTCTCCCAACAACAGGCGCGCCGCCACGCCGCCTTTATTGCCCATATATCCCAGCAGCCCCGTACCTACATTGGTGCAGCTGACCGACGACACACTGTCAACAACCGAGGGTGCGGCGTATATCAACAACAGTAGCCCAACCAGCTGGGTCTCTGCCACTAGCTGATAGCCCGATGGAAGAGCCTTCTCCACGGCAGCTTTCCATTTATTGGCCGGGGCTGGGTCCACGTATGGTCGCAACGCTTCTGCGGGAGAAGACACATCGACAATTTCCTGCAACCCTAATACATAAAGTCCGATCTCGTTCGGCTGGGTCTCAGAAGATGCCATCGTCTCGGTGTCCTCATCTCCATCCCTTCCAGAATCTGGTTCGGGGTCCGAGGCCCGTACTTCGGACAGCTCTTCACTTATACCTTTCCGATCCGTGAACCAATTCCCAATGTCCTGTTCGGTGCCAGGGATGGCGGCCACATTCCACGTTCCGACTTTAATACGAATCGAGCGCTGACGAGTATATTCCGATTTCCTCGCTTTAATGGCTCGGGGGAGCGACGACGGGTCGAGGGGGGCATCCGGGGAGGGTTCGCGATTATCGTCATCACTTGGAAAATCGCCTGGAGTTGCCGGGTGTTGAGCCTGCGACGCGGGCCGATCGGCGTTGGAGCTCATTTTGAGATGACGTGTGTATAGATGAGACGACTGACTGTATATACTATTGTCCATAAGTTCTTGTTCGAATGTGGTTCGACTTGCTGGCAGTTCAGAGCTCACCCCCGGAGCACCGGAACAAGCAGCATCGATGAAGAAAGCAAGGGGAGCGACTGACGAGATTCACCACTACCAGAGTGGTCACGAGAAAGAGAGAAAATAGGCTGCGATCACTCAGACGCCAAGCGACGGACCAAGCATCACGCGCAGCACTGGCCAGGAAGTATAAAAGACAGCAGGTGAATGGAAGCTAATGAGGGCCCGACGTAAGTGGCACCAATTGATGGCAAGGATGACCCCACCGTAAAGTCCGACTCGACTGAAGTGAGAACGGTCGAGCCAGAAACTTAGACAAGGAACGAGGGGTGGTAAGGAGGGGTGAGAGAGGAGGATGAGAAGAGAAGGAGGTTGAGGCTATTCCGAAGCTTCGACAGGCGGGGTCTCCGACCGCTTCCCGGAATGGAGAGCTTGCATCACCTGAGAGGCCGCCCTCCTCCGCATACAACTTCATCTCTCGGCCTGATCCTCAAGCCCTTCTCTTTCGCTCCTTCTACATTCACTGGACATTCCACCCTCCGGTCTCTCCTTCCCTCATTCCCCTCCACAATGGCGTCCCGAAAACCCCGACGACCGAACAACAACAACAACAACAACAACAACAACAACAACAACAACAACAACCATCACCGGCACAACAATCACAACAACGTCATCCAGCCCTCCGACTACGAATCAGACTTCCAAACCTACCTGTCCGATACGCAGCAACTCCAACAAGAAGTATCCATGCCTACCCCGCCCCTGCGCACCAACGAGGAGCTGAATCTCGCCGTTCTCCGCCGCCACAATCCCTCCGTGCAAACGATCCTGTCGCTGGCGCCTTACGCCGTCGTCTACATATTCAGTCCGACCACGCGCCAGTGGGAAAAGAACGGAGTCGAGGGGACCCTGTTTGTCTGCCAACTCACGCAAGGCAGTCTCGGCGAGGAACGATACAGCGCCTTCGTTCTCAATCGGCGCGGCCTGAATAACTTCAACCTCCAACTGACCGACGGCGAGAATGTCGAGCTTACGGAGGAATACGTCATCCTAAAGGCTGACTATAATGCCGACACGGAGGTCACGAGTAACACCCACGTCCCCGGCGCCAATCCGCCCGGCACCTCGAACGCCAATGGTCCCGGCAAGAGCCCTGACGGCACCGACCTTCGAATCTACGGTCTTTGGATCTATTCCGAGCCTCCGCCGAATTCAACGGCCGAAACGCGCAGCATCAATGCACAGATGATTCGCGAGTGCGCCGTACATGCCGGTCACAGTCTTAAGTTGGCGCGCGAGCGTCTGGAAGCCACACGCCAGAATGGATTGCATGTCGCGGCTGCTACTGCCGCCGCCACTACCGCCGGAGCTCCCCTGGATGATGAGCCGTCGAGTGTTCCCATGGGCCGTCAAATATCGCTTAAGGATCTCTTCGGGCAACAGAGGGCACAAGATGATGGCTGGAGTGTCAGGGCGCACAGCCTGGGTCCTGAAGAATGGCAGCAGCAGCAGCATCCGGGGATGGGGGGAGCGTCGGTGCCACCCATGCAAGCACCACCGCAGCCGGACGTATTGGGAGATCTGTTCAGGAGGGCTGGGTTTGCTTACCAGAATGAAGCTCCTTGAATGGTGTCGACCGAGCTAGATTTTGGCTTTTTTCCCCTTTCCAATGTGCATCTGCTAAAGGCGTAATATGATGACGTTAAGATACCCATGACCTCTACATAGTTCTGGCAGCATGGTGAATTGAAGCAGGAGTAACGATTGTGAACACTATACTAAAGGACCGTTTATCTTTACGTAGGTCATTTATCGTATACGGAGTACACGCAGGTATGTCAAGTATCAAGTATTAGTCTATGTAAGTGGCCATTCTATATCTCAGAGCCTACAAACTCCAATATCCAATCTCCCCAAACTTCAAGCTCTAGCCATCTCCAAAATCATATCTGCCACCTTGCTCGCCATGGAATCGCTATGTCCTGCGGGGATATCATCAGAATTGGTACAAATCCTCCAGGTTAAAGAAAAGAGAGACAACAAAATCAAAGGAACACTCACTCAGACAAAACGCATGCGGCACTCCCTCCTCACACACACTCATCTTCGGTCCCCGGGGCTTTTGCCCTCGAAGCTCAATGATCTCATCTCTCGTGCGCTCCGCGACCCAGTGGTCGTTGCGTCCGAAGTAGAAGAATAGTCGCGCCACGGGGTCTTGACTGGTCGAGATGCCCCAGACGTCGTCACTCCATTTATCAGCCGTGATGGTTTCCATCTCGTCGGATGCCATGTGTCTAAGGGGGAGTATTTTTATTAGCTCTCTCTCCCTTCCCAGTACCTTTCAGTGGTGGGTTGGCAATACTGCCCATGAAAAGTTGGGACATACAATGCTTGCTGCACGCCTCGCTTGCTCTTGAGAAACCCGGTCGTGGTTTCGACCATGGTACCCGGTGCCGACGGCATGTAGATCCGGATCAGGGACCGCATGATAGAGGCGGGCACCAAAGCAGTGAGAATACGGACTAGGATGCCAGCGACCAGGGCAAGTTGTGGGATGATCGAGAGCAGCCTCTAGTCTCCCAGGATAGGGACTCATTAGCGCACCGCGTATATCGGACACAGGGGGGCAGAAAAAAGGGGAGAAACACACGGTCAGCTTCTGCCCCGACGGAGACTTTGCGATATCCACAACAGTAGGGAAGAGTAAGGCGCCTCCGATGATATCAAAGTCGACGGGACGATCACCTTGCGAGCCTTCGCGGTGCCGTCGCAGGACCTCCATTGCGATGTAGGCGCCTACGGAATGACCGATGAGAATGACCTTGGGGCGTGTGCCGGTAGAGGGCGTGGTGTTGGATTGAGACGATAGCTGGTCGACACCATCTGGTTTATCGGCGGTGAAGTTGTACAGCTTTCTTTGGACAAAACGAATCTGCTCTTCCAGGCCATAGTAGTGTGTTGCGGACTGGGGCTCTTGTTTCTTCTGTCCTGGTTCGGGGAGCTCAAATCCGGCAAGGCTGTGTCCGTAGATCTGAAATGATCGATTTTGATCTTCTGTTTTAGTTAATATTTTGATTTTCTCTGATAGAACGGAGAGAAATGTGTGGTAGTAGCCGATCAGTCCCGGGTTTCCCGTAATGAAGTAAATGGTTAAAGGAGTTTCCGACGGCTCGGACGGAGTGGTGAACGAGTGGAAGAAGCTATTGGGGGTTATATGTGGTCGTTTATCGGTCGACATGTTGAGTATAACTTGCGACGAAACCGAGTTTTGTCTTGAGAACAGCCTCTGTGTCTGGCACTCCTAAGGAACGAGAACTTGCTGCAGGAGGTTGGAGTGTTGAAAGCCGGCGTCGTGGTTGGAGCGGACGAAGTTCCTCGGTCCAGACTCAGCAACTCTCACTAGGGCAAGGAAAGTCACGATATTCCTCATTCGGCCTGTCTTTCATTGAGTAGTGTTTCTACTGTGGTTAAAACTATACAATGGGTCCAACTGTCAATTAAACAGTCCAGGTTGTACGCTTCAATCTACTCAGGTCCGTCTAAGTCTACCAAAGACTTGGATTTACTATACCAGCACGCATACGGGGTCAATTCATACAAGCATTAGGCAGCTCAGCTGGAAATTGAAAGAAAAAAAACAAGTTCGGTCAAGCAAGGTCCCTGAAAATATAGGCAAATATAGCTTCATCATATTGCGTCTCATCCTACCCGACTCCGTTCCTGTCAACCAAAGCTCCTCAAACCCCGAGGCGAATAATAGAAAAAGCAAATAGCATAACAGGCCACTCGATGCAAAAGATCCAGGCAAAGCCACGCCAATAACCATGTGGAAGGCATGCATCGCACAGGCCATAACATCCCATCCTGGTTTCTGTTAAACCCCCTTTTTCGCCAGACATTGAACAATGTAATCACTCCCTTGGTCTTGCAGTAGAAAAGAGATGAAATGAAAGATAAGACAACAGAAGGCAAATGAGAGGCGAGAAAAAATAGATATACACCAGTGACCCCCAATTCAAAGACTCATCGGGAAGACAAGAAACAGGAAAACACGGTCCCTAGAGACCAGGCTCCCAATACATGATTTCTAAAAGAAAAAGAAAAAGAAAAAGAGGCCAGAAACAGCGATCAGATGTGTGAATGTATAGAAGAACACGAAGGGAATCGTACAGGGAAATACTGTAAATTCGAAAGACAGAAATAGAAAAAGAGAAAGTCACTTCATCTGGTATCTAGGAAGCTGTCATAGCAAAGAAAAAAACACAGAAGCGCTCCTGGTACTCTGACAAGAGATCGATGCACGCAGAAAGAAAGAAGGGGGGAAAGAAACTTATGCGACCAGTACAATCAATGCATGAACGGAAAGGTATAAGGGGTGTAATCATCAACCATTATTACCATGGTCGTCGCTGCGATTCTCCTTTTCGCTGCTCTCGTTTGTCGTCGAAGTCGAAAGATCAGCAGCCGGTTGCGACGATTTGTTCGTTGAGGAGCCAAGATTGATGGCGATCTTTTTGGGCGCCGTGCCGCCAGCCAGACTTCCTAGGGCACCCTGAGCATTTGCTTTGTCAGTGGATGACATTGATCCGATAGAAGTACTCCTCTTCTTCCGCAAGAGCCCGGCACTTCCGGGCCCGCTGCTAGTAGAACTTCTTCGTTTGGGTCCAGATGTGAGTTTGACAAGCTCGTCGTCGTCCTCTTCCTCGCGTCGGCGCTTCTCCGATAGTCGCTCTGGGGGTGTTTGTATCGTCAGGGAAACTGGGGTAGACGGAGCCTCCTCGTCAGAGTTTGCACCAGATCCCTGCTGGGGAGGATCTTCATGTTGCAACTGCTGTGGTTCAGGGCCCGACTCCGATTTCGTATCCATGGCATCGTCATCCTCGTCATCGTCCGGGTAGTCGACCAATGGCTTAACAACCGGGGAAACGCCGCCGTTTTGCGCTTGAATAGCCGTCGTTTGAATTGTTGCAGTACCTTGCTGTTGCCACTGAAGACCAGTATCAGTATACGGAGCGGGTGCATTATGCATAACTGGGCTATTCACCTCTTCCTCGTCATCGGATGTGTTGAAATATTCCTCTTCGGCCGCATCCATCTCCTTAACTCCTTGCCAACGCTGGCCGTTGGCTTGCATTCTCCGAGCGGAGGTCCCGTCATCTTGCGAGAAGAGAGTGGAGTCGACCGCTGTCCCGTAGCCCTGCATCTGTTCATAACGGATGACCAGGTCACGGAATGTGTCGACGTAAGTAATGGTTTTAAGCTTCTCGCCGTACTTTTCCACGATATGCAGAACGATCGATTTGATGTTTTCCCGTTTGATGAACTCAAAAAGTTCAAGGCAAGCTGAATTGAGAAGGTTGTCGCGCGGCATCGTTTCATAGACAATATCAAGAATCAACCCAAAAGTGTTATTATGTGTCATTAGAGCTTGGTAGAAGGTGTCTTGGAGGCTAATCAGGGTGCGGAAGAATTTCAGGGCAGCTAAAACCAGGGTTAGTGACAAGTCGCCAGGTTTACCAAGCACGCAACGGTGATACTCACTAAGTTTGAGGTGTTTTTGAGGCACTTTGAGGAGCTGGGCGATCCGGGGGGCAAGGGCCTCGTTGTGGATGACATTCCGGCTCCTATATAGATGCTGGCGAACGAAAAAGGTAAGAATGTCCACGAGATGCGAATGGAGAGCAACCTCTTGGAAGGTCAGGTCGTTCACTTTCAAGACAGGTTAGTTGGAGACCATAGCATGCTGGGCACGAGGCACTTACGGCTGGCCCGGTTTTCCAACCGCTTTAGCGGCTGGAACAGCCTTCTGGCGGATTCGTCGAAGTGGTTCTGGACGAAGGCATCGGAGAGAATGTTTGGACGCAATTTCGAATAGTGTTCGGGTCCAGCCCGACCCATCGTGTCCGGCAACGGGATTTGGGGATCCAGCAAGACTTTAACCGCATCTGCTAGCTGATTCTTCACACCTAGATCGGACTCGGTGTGGAGCAAATCGATAAGCGTGTCGGTAAGCGGCGTCTTCTTTTCGTTTACGGCCTTGAGCATATAGCTCCGCATCATGATCGGGTCGTGATCCAGTAGGGCGACTAGGATATCGATACCGGTCGTGCGCAGGGCGGGGTTTGGGTGTTTGATGGCGAAGGCGATCACGGCGAACAGTCCGTGGCTGATGAAATTCGCAAAGAGATTGGCGCGCGCCGGGGCCTGCAGATTCTTCGCAATCGCAGCACACTGGTGGAGGAACTGCACTGCATCCTCCTTGCGTTTCGCATCCGCGTTCCTCGGGTCGAAGACCAGGAACAGGTCCTTGAGAAAGGCGGCATTCGATTGAATATGGTTTACAATCTCAACCTGGTTGTAGAAAATCAATGAGTTCAGCACCGAGAATGTGGGATCATCCAAGATTCTAGCCAAAACAACGTCCTTCAGGTATTGTAGGCGCCATGTGTAGCGGATCTTGCGTCGGATAAGGGCATCCTTGATGGGAACAACTTCTTTGTAGCGCGACTGGTCCGCGAGGTATTGACGATGGTTCGCTTTATGTGTAGGAAATTCAGGATCATCTAGAATCCGTCAGTACTCCCATTTTCTCAGAAGATATGCACCAGGCCACGCACATTCCAAAGCTCCGACAACTCCGAGGATGATCGGATCTGTGACGACGGTCTCGATGATGGTATTATCGTTGAGCAAGATTAGGGATTTCATGATGTTGCAGAGTCGGTGTAGATCGACCAGGCTTTCAAGATCCTCTGCCATGGTGACTAACGGGATAAGTTTCGGTATGTACTCGTCTCGAATGACAAATTTCGACAAGGCGTCTCGACCGGCCTGGGTTATACTCGCGGCTCGCATGATATGGTCAATTTCGGGCAGGTTCCGAAGTTCGGGCGGAGGGAGCATAATTGACTGGAAGCTTTCGAGGTCGTCCGACAACGCATCATCTGGAGAGAAGCAAAGACAGCTCGATCAGTACCGAAACGCGAGAGCAGGGGATAACGGGGGAGAATCCTCACCTGCCGTCGCCAGGTTCAGCAGGTGTTGCTGCACAGTACTGACGAAATTCCTTCGCATCGCGTCAGTATGAAACGGTTGATGACTCTCGAGCAGAAATGCACAAAGGAAAAAGGGACCGAGTGCGATCGCAGAGATTTGAGCTCACCAGATAACCGCGCATCCCTCCGCTTCCTGAAAGCTCAATGCCATATCCGTTCCATTGGGCTCGGTCCAGACGATCAAAGTTTCTAGCGAGTCGCACATGCGTTAGCCAATTCCTGCTCCTGAAAATGCGATGCGACCGGGGCGGGCGGCGGCACCTTGTTGTTTCTGGTATCCATCATCCTTGGAGATTTTCGTCTCCAGCAGCACCCGATCGGGTTCATCTTCAGATTCGACGAAAATTCGCGGTTCATCCTGGGAGAGGGAATTGGGGCGTTAGCGACACCAAATCGAAGACAAATAAGCGCATCCGCGGGACCGTTGAGGTTTGCGCCCGAGCAGAGTCGCGCCGAGGGAGGGCGACGAAAGACAGCTTGCGCGGCGAGACTTACATCGAGGATCTGGCCCGTACAGAAACCAGTACCGCGATCGAACCAGTCGTTATCCTTCAGTTCGTAGACTTTCACCCGCTTGCGGTCGCTAGGTGGTGGCACCTCCAACGCCATGATCCGGCAGTCAGGAGAGGTGGCGTCTCGTCACTCCGGGACAACTCAGGAACGAGTGAACCGGCGCGCGGAGAGCCCCAAGACGTCGGGAAAGATCAAGGGTGGCCACGGCCTTGTCCGGGACGGAGGGAGGGAGAGAATCCGACAGGGCGGAGGGAGGGGGCGAGGAGGCGTTGTAGGATGAGGCGGGAATGGCGGGTTGATAAGAGGAGAGGGAGGAAGAGGAAGCAGAGAAAGCCAGCGATGATGGAATGGGAGGGAGAGTTTGCGGACGATAACTTATGAATAATGAATAATAATGAACGATAGATGATCCTGACTTTTGGGGGTCGGGCCACCTGATGGCCTCGGCAGCGGTCGGCGCTAAGGGGATTTTTTTCCCTTTTTTTTTCTTCTTTTCTTCTTTCTGTTTTTCTTCTATTTTGCTGGGGGTTCGTTTGTTCTTCGAATGTTCTGCGCGCAATGCAAAGGCAGTTCGAGGCACACGCGACCGGCCGAAGAGAAAAGGGAAAGGAACAGTAAACTAAGTCTTGGGCGCCAAATCAATATCAATTACCAGGTCTCACAACACTTGGGACTAGTTTGGCGCGGGGTCAAACTCAGTGCTGCTTAATTCGAAATATCATTCTCATGCTCATGGTTATTACTGTAATTGTAATTGTAATTATCAAAGAAGAGCCGGCATTCTTATGGTCGAAGAAATCGGCTCCGACCGTGGAATGACGTGCACCGGTAGGGAAAGGGTGCTTATTGTTGTTGTTATTATTATTATCATTATTCTGAGAAGTTCCGGCGCATGGAATGGAAGCTTCGACCTTACCGAGTACACCCGGGGCTGGAAGCCAGGGAGAGAGAGAGACCTGGGACGAACTACGTACACCGGAGTAGTCACCAGCGTCCTTGCCTGAATCCGCCCTCCGAGAAGGAATCCTGCAGATCTAAGAATAGCCAGGCATCGGTCAGCTTTAAAACGCTTAGAGTTCCCCAACCTAATCCTGTCCCCCCGCGAAAATCCATGGAACGGCGGATGGACTCCCTGAAGCTTGGTCCCTTGTTTCCTCCCCATTGTTTGAACTCTCTGGCACGGACGTTGGGCATCCATTCAGTCATGCCGAATCTGTGACTACTTCTGGGCTGAGGTCAACACGTCACAGTTACCAGCGCAAGTCGCACTCATTCAATTTCCAACCGGTATATATCAGCAAATCTATCGGTGTACTACTCCGTATACACAACAAGAGTAGAATTTATTTCCGATTTCAAACGGGCGGTAAAACCCAACGCTTGTCATGCGCCATCCTGGGGCATGAACGGCGAATGCAGCGTCGGCCAGAGATCGGTCGTTCAGCGTTGTTCCAGAAAGATCAGATTGCAGGCGATGATATCATCGGCATCGAGACTTGGGAGCCTGGGGCAGCGAGGGCGCAGGTCAGGTGATGCCGTCGTCGTCGACAGTCCGGTGGATATCTGCCCTGTTGCACGGAGTACGGAGTAGAGAACGCTCACTACTGTGTACTCTGAAGCTCAATTTATTTGATATATAAACCGACGCGCTGCCAAGACAGCTTGATTCTCTGCGGAGCAAGTAGCCGTGAGCATTGAGGAATCGTGGGCTGTACAAGATACATACTGTACGTGCAGGGCTCTCCAGATAAACTAGAAGCGTGTCAGGTGAGACCCCCATCCTTGTTCCCGCTACCAGCACCAGCTGTAGAGTGTAGAGTGTACGGAGTACGCCGTAAGGTGTCTAGACTCTTGACACCTGGGCTGTTATCGTTATCGCTGGATCGGGAGGTGGGCCCGAGGGTGAGGCATTCCCGACTCTGGTTGGCTTTCCGGGGACAGCTCTGGCGGGCACTTCCGATGCCGATGGGATTATGTAAAACCTATCGGGTCATGTGATTGGCACGATGGCCCCACGAGGCGAAAAAAAAGCTCAAACAGGAAAGGTCTCGCCCTCCGCCCGCCTTGGACTGGTTTCTTGCTTTTTTTTTTCTGGTTCGACTTTCTTTATCGCATCGCTTTCTCTCTCTCCTCAGAGTTGATTCCTTCTCAGACCTCAGGCGAGCGACTTCAGGGAGTTTTGCGCTCGTTCAGGTCATAAAACTCCCATTTGCCGTTTCCTCGATCTATAGAGATATAGAGTTCTAGCTACACACCGCAGATCGCTTCCCCGCTTTCAGCTGTCGTCGTACTCGACTCCCTCGAAGATCTTCTCGAGAATCCCAGCTTCGCCGTCATGTCAGATACCAAAGATCAGGTCGCCGTGCAAACGGCTGTCAACCCCAACGACCACGGACCGTCGTCCGAGTCCGCCAAGCAGTATACCGTGACCGTTGATGCGAACAACCAAGATGCGGACTCCGGCTCCGAGGTGCCCGCCGATCAACTCGATCAACAGAAAAAGGGTCACTTTGCCTTTCTCAGGACTAAGGAGTTCTACATCATCCTGGTTCTTGGGTAAGTGGCCTCGTGGAAATGGGGTGGTGTGTTGCAGCCCCGCGGGCAGTCGCTAACTCGAATCTTGTCGGCAGTCAGGTGCTCGCGATCACGAACACGGCCACCAGTACCTTCAGCACCCTTCTCTCGGATGAGGGAACGTCCATCCCGGCTTTCCAGACTTTCTTCAACTATGTGTTGCTGAACCTGATCTTCACGCCGTATACGATGTACCGGTACGGCTTCAAGGGTTGGGGCAAAATGGTGTTGCGCAACGGCTGGAAATGTGAGTGCTCCCTGATCGTTCGGTGGCTATTGTTTCTGCTTATATGAACGTAATCGCTGACCGGTGGTACGGGAACCAGATATTATATTGGCCTTTTGTGACGTGGAGGGCAACTACTTCATCGTGCTGGCTTACCGTTATACAACCATGCTGAGCGCCCAGCTGATCAACTTCTGGGCCATCGCTGTCGTCGTTGTCATTTCCTTCCTCTTCCTGCGCGTCCGGTATCACATCACGCAGGTCCTCGGTATCCTGATCTGTATCGGTGGCATGGGCGTTCTGATTGGGTCCGATCACCTCACCGGCACCAACGGCGGGGACATCTCGCGCGGCAACCAGATCAAAGGCGACCTCTTTGCCCTGTTGGGTGCTACCTTCTACGGTCTCGCCAACACCGGTGAGGAATACTTCGTCAGCGTGCAACCCATGTACGAAGTCCTGGGCCAGATGGCTTTCTGGGCCATGATCATCAACGGTACCCAGGCCGGTATCTTCGACCGGCACTCTTTCAAAATCGCCGTCTGGAACGGCAAGGTCGGCGGGTACCTGACCGGATATACGCTGTGTCTCTCTTTTTTCTACTGCCTGGCGCCGCTCCTGTTCCGTCTGTCGTCGGCCGCGTTCTTCAACATCTCCATGTTGACCATGAACTTCTGGGGTGTCATCATCGGCGTCAAGGTCTTCCACTACAGCATCCACTACCTGTACCCCATCGCCTTCGTGCTCATCATCATCGGCCAGCTCATCTACTTCCTGGGCCGGCGGGTGCTAGGCGAGGCGCGGAAGCCCTGGCTCGGCCGGAACCAGGAACGCGGCGTCTCCGGCTTCGCGACTGCGAAGAAGAAGATCGACTCCACCACCGTCGCCTCTTCCCATAATCCTAATCCCACCGCTCATGACGATGCCGCTGCTGCGGTAGATAACGACCCTCGACGAACCAATACCAGTGTCGTTTAGCGTTATGGCGTTAGGGAAATCTTCTTTTATTTGGAGCCATTTTGCCTGATCTTTTCAAGTTCCGTTTCATTTTATAATATTTGCTGTTTTTCACACCTACTAATGATTGATTACGTGGAGGTTGATTTAATCATATATATACATACACGGATGACATGTGGACGGTAGAGATGATGATCTTTTTTTACGTGCATGATTCTTGAAAAAGTTCTTGATGTTTTGATAATGATGCTTAATACTAGTTTTCCATATATATATACTGAGTTGTTTATCTCTTGAAACCCATGTTATAATCTACCAGTTTAATCTTGTATTTACCAATCCTGATTGTAAACCTGGACGGGATAAATCAGTGCGATACATTGCCACCAGATTACTTCAAATTACAAAAGACAGTCAGTCATAAACCAGGCAAGATAGCCGTAATACCATGATAGACTATACACAAGCAGTATAGGACAAAAGGAAGCCAATAAATTTAGGGAAAAAAAGAAAAGAGAAAAAGAAAAAAGCATATGTAAATAACAGAAGCGAAGAAATGATCATAGACAAGAAGATTCAAGACCAATCCATATCCAAATCCATATCCAAACCTGATGTGCCGGAAATTCAGTGCAAATCAGACTCCAAGAACTCTTTTATGTTTACCTTCTGCTCCTGGTGTTCCGTTGCCAAATGTCCCCGGATGAAAAGAAAAACAAAGAAAGATGAAAAAAAAAAACCAACATGTCAACCTTTTGGTGCCCCGAACCGTAGCTGAACCAGAAACCGCATGCCTCAGCCAAAATCACAACCTGACCCGAACAAACAGAAAAACACCTGAAACTCTCCCTGGATAAGGCGAAAACAAGAGCCCGAGACATACACCGACAAGCATGTAAATACAACCCCTTCCCCCAAATCAACAAAAGATGACAGGCAGTGCAAAGCCCCAAAAAAGTTTGTAGACACAACAAGCGTGAAGGAACAAAGTCACGGAGATGGAGTAACCCAACACCGAAAATAAGATAAAAACACCACAGGCACAAGATGCAAAACGCAGGTGAGCCAAAAAAAAAAAAAAACCAAATTCAAATGAAAGAGGGGAATACCGACTCCAGAAACCAACAGGCCAACCAAGTTCCCCAGCCAGTAAACCAACCATGTACCAATTAACTGTCCACATATGACGGAGCGCTAAACAGAGCATATTCTTGCACCACTTTCCCATATATGTACCATGCTCTTTCCCAATATTTGAAAGAAAAAAAAAAAAAAAAAAAGGGAAAACCTTTTCTGAAACGCCACAGTGTAGAAGCGAACGCGCGTTGAATGTTAATCGAAGCAATCAAAGGTTATAAGTGTTGTTTTGTTAACCCCAGACGGAAGCCTGCACACCCAGTCCATTCTTGGAGCCCCAGACACCACTTCCGTTGCCCCACCCAAGGCCAACTCCACCGGTGGAGTCCTTGACGCCGGGGTTCAGCGAGGAAGCGGTGCTGGCAGGGTTTGAAGTTGTCGAAGCCGAGCGCTCGTTGCCTACTCCAGGGGCCACTCCTTCACCGGTGGTGAAGCCAAATCCCAAGGGAGAGGGCAAAGGGGTGGTGGAGCGCTTGTTCAGAGCCGGGTTGGGCATCTGCACGGGACCGGCTTGCTGGATGGGACGAGAGCCAATAGGTCCCACAGAGCCAATGAATCCGGCAGCGGACTTGGACGGGGCAGACCGGGAGGACGGAGAGTCAGCTCCGCCGGGAGAAGAGGTGGAGGTCACCGGCTGGTCGGCGCCGAATACGGGGTTGATGCCGGAGCTAGGGGAGGAGGCACTGTTGGCGCGGGTCGGAGACTGCAGGGTCGAGGCGTTGGCAGCAGCCTGGACAGCCCCGTCGCTGCTAGCTTGGACCGGGGTTTGGGCGAGACCGAAAGGATCAACGCCGCGGGGAGATGGGCCGCGGACGCCAGTCGCAGTGGGAGTGCCCCCGGCCTGGCTCTCTGGTCGCGAGTGATCATCCAGGGTGCCGGGAGGGAAAAACGCCGGGCTTTCGTTTCCGTATAGAGCCCTGTGTTGACGGGCCAAGAGATCGCGACGGCTTTCCTCACTCATGGCGGCAGGGCTGAGCGAACGGTCGGATTTGTTTCCAGACATCTCGGCAAGGAGGCCTTTCAGAATGAAGAATATTAAAACCCATGTTCAACAAAAGAACAGACAACAAAGGGAAAGGAAAAAATGAGAGAAAAAAAAAAAAAACTGGAACGATGTCCCAATGTATTATACAATGCAACAGATACAGGTGGGCAAAAAAGATCACGGGGAATCTTGGCAAAAAAGATTGCAAAAACAGAAAAGAAAAAAAGATATCCGGAGACAAATGCTACCACGTACTTCGGTTGTACTGTTGCTCCTGGTGATAGTTGCGGAGCTCCCTCTCACGCTGCGCTGCCATCCGACGCTTTGCTTGCATCATCTGCTCTACTTCATTTGGGCGGCCCTGAAAACGCTGGGAGGCATAGAAGCCCTGCACGTTCGGGTTCGGGTGCATACGAGATCCATCGAAGTCGCTAATCGAATGGTGACGTTGGTTTGCACTTCCCATGGCGCGAGGATCGGCTAAAGAGGACCTTGTTAGAGTTTGACCCGGTTAACGAAAGAGACCCGGAAAGTTCATACCGTAGTCGGGGTAGGGGCGACCCATCATCATAGGCATCGAGTCCCTTCGCGGAGTGGTCCACAGTTTTCCACTCTTGACCAAGTTATCAATTGCGCGGTCGACCTCTGTAGTAGAACGTCAGCGGTTGTTCAGTACCAGCCCATGGACGGCACCGGGCTAGATCAATCGTCGAGAACGCAGGCCGCTTCAATTCTCCGCATCACAGAAATTATGATTATGAATTTTCAAAGTCCGGCGAATGAAGAAATCGGCGAGATCCATAGACGAATGAACGTGAATTGGGGCAGTCAAGATATCCATACCGTCGAACTGGGAGGAAAAGGCCGGGATATCGTCGCGCTGAGAGACGGAGCTGGATCCTACAGAGATAACATCAGCTCAACTGCACCAATTGACCAGTAATCCGAAAGATTATGTTGTGACCATACCGGATCGTGACGGGGGAGCAGGCTGTTCCCACGACACCTGGCGCGCAGCAGGCGCTTGCCAGCCCTGGGGCTCGTAGTAAGACATTTTCACCGACTGAGAAATGTGATTGAGCGGACCGAAGGAGACTCTAACGAACTTGGTTCCGATCGCAAGGTATTAGGGGAGACCTGTTGGTGTCCAAAAAGAGAGAGCGTAAGTTGCTTATTCCAAGAAGGTTAAGAAATAAAAGAAGAATAGCACAGCCAAAAAAAAGTCTATGTCAAATTCGACAGACAAAGGCGGAAGGTCGCAGTAGGTTAGGTGTCCAAGTGAGCAGAATACCGACGTCGACTAGCGACATCAACCGGTGAACCCCGAATTGTCCGAATTGACACTTCAAATGGCAGTAAAACTCGAGGAGAGACCAGTCTCTCTCGTCCGAAGATTGCGGGCACGGGGGGAGGGGGGGTTGCTCCAGCAGAGAATCGAATTGGAATTATGATCTCCAAACAGAAAGAGAAAACAAGACTAAGGGAACGGACAAGACCATTTGACAACCGTCCTTATTTCTTTTTTTTTATGTTTTATTCTTGTTTTATTTTTTTTTCTCCTTCGGAAGTGGGTCGAGTGCGCAGACAGAAAGTAATGTGTTGTTCGGTAATGGAGGTAACTTACAAGAAAAGGAGTGATTGCCTTCCCAACAAAAAATTCCTGGCGGCTCTACCCACGAGCGAACGAGGCAGATATCAGGGGAAAGAACAGTAACTTCTCACCCTCGAGGCACGACAGACGGGGTCTGACGTGTGAAAATTAAATGGGGACGGAGAAGGCGGGATGAGGGAAGGATGGCAGCAACAGGGGAGAGAGAGAGAGAGAGAGAGAGAGAGGAGGGGTGTGAAAGGGAAGAAGAGAGAGGGCGAGGGAAGAGGGAGGGTAAAAGGGTCGGGTAGCAGAGGTGCAACCGTCGAGAGACCGGACTGGACTGGACTGAACGGACCGGGGGGTGTGAGGGGAGAAGGGAAGAGGGAGGGAGGAGGAGGGGGGGCGAGAGGAGGGAAGCGAGAAGAAGCGTGGATTATTATTTTTTGACCGGGGATAAGAAAGTAGAAGACGAAAAAGAAAGTGAGTGTCTATAGCACTGGACTGGGTCCCGTTAAGGTAATAAATGGAGTACTTCGGCCGGTCTGAAGAAAAAAAAGTCTTGGGGCGACGAAATCTACAACCAGATCAATGAACAGGTTCACGAGAATCTACAGACAGACAGACAGACAGTCTACCGAGTACAGATCAAGATAGAATCTAAAATGATTCTGGCTATGATTTATAAATACCATGTACCTAATAATATTAATCAGAACACACAATGTACCTGTACACCGAAAGGCAAAATTAAAGAGGGTGAAAAAAAAAGAAATGAGAAAAAAAGGTGGGCAGCAGATGGATTCTGCCTCTTCTGGTTGGCGGTGGCCTTGTCGCTGCTCAACTTTCGCTTCCTTCCGGCCCGTTTTTTTTTTAATTTTTATTTTTTTAAAACCCTCTGGATGAATAATAATCATCATCTCAAATCTCCTTTTTTATTTTTTATTTTTATTTTAATAATTTTACCTCATGGGGCTTTCCATCTCCCGGTAATTTCGAATTAAATAGTCATGGATATATAATTTATCCCATCGAATCAAATCATCGCGAAGAACGTTCCACGTCCGAAGCAATAAAGTATCTCAATATCCACCTTTTAGGGAGGGGAGATGGAAATAGCATCCAAAGCAGCATAGCCGACTCCAGCACCTCGCGATACTCCAACTACGGAGTACCACTAACCAAGTCATCACCCAGTACTAACTTATCCTTGATTCCTCGTACAGTATGGTCAGGGGCCCCACTCCAAGTATGGACTTGCTCCGTGTTCTTATGCCGCAGTGTCTCCAGAGTGACCGTGGTAGGTCCTGCGCACCGAAGTGAAAAGGGGGACAAATCGAACCATCTGGGTGGGCGGTTGGATTGTTTATTAACCATTGCGACCCTGGTCCCGGCGCATTCAATGCGCAATGGCGTATGATTACTGCCTCTGGCTGACTACTACGGTGTACTTCTCTACTCCTAGGAGGACGGAGCACTTCCTTAACCGCTACCCGGAGATTTGAAGAGCACTGGGCAGAGTGAGCATTGACCTGATCCAATCATAATCCCTATTCCAGTGCTCTGTAGAAGGTAGTCCTCCATATGGAGTACTCCTAATATTATTATGATCATGATTAATGAATGTCTCCTACACCGTAGATTTCCTAGCGCGGCGCATCCACCTTGGACTGTATACACTATACAGAGTGTTTACGGAGTACTGAATACTACCGTTTATTTTTATTTTTTTCATTTTTTTTCTGCCACTCCCGGCATCGGTCCGGGTTTCCTTCGCTCGTTCTGCGGGTACGAGACCATACCAAAATGACGCCCCTCTGGGCCACGGAAAAGCGGGTAATCTAACAGCGAGGGTAAGGGTACCGTACGCGGCGACCCTCGTGGGGTCTCCATCCGCCGTCGCTCGTTCGGGGTTAGCGTCATGCCGCCGTCGTCTCCCGGCGGGTCGCAGACACCGAAGAGGAAGAATCCTCAATACGGAGTAAAACAGGTTAATAATAGACTGTTCTGTTGTTGGATGTGTATCTTAATCTGACTGATGACCATCACAATTATATCTTAAGGTGCTGCAGGCACGCCGGTGCGCTGGACTTGGCTCGGACTGTCCGGCCTACGGAGTGGCGTCGCTGCCATTGCTCTAGTTTGGCCTCCTATCCAATATGAGGCATATTTATGTCCTGACCTACCGAGTACTATCGAGTTACTCCGTAGAAGTAGGAATTGGTCTATTCAACTATCCTAGCCAGCAGAGTCCTTCTGACGTCGTCCTTCAAGTACCTTAGGGCTAGTTACCTACTCCGGAGTACAGCACTATTATTGAATGTCTACGGAGTATGCTCCATCTCGTTCTAGTATTTTCTATGGAGTAATGAGTGTGCTGACTTTCGCATTGGAAATTGCACCGCTAAGCAGGTTTTCCCCCACCCACTCGAGCCTCGTATGGATAAAGACAATGGCGCCTTGGCCACGCAGGCGCACACACCACCACCGACACTGACAGTTCTAGTGTGCTCCTGTGTGATATTCATGTACACCTCGGCACAGAAAACTTATTATCTACTTCATTGTTACCCATAATAATGATATGAGATGATCACACTGGTTCACCGGGATCAACTAATGATCCGGCGTGACCTGCAACCGCCGTTCACCAAGGAGGTGGGGCATGGCTGCCCAGTGGAGAGAATCATCGAGATGACCGGGATGGCACTCGGACCTTTCACATCACAAGGTGTTTCTCCCCGTCGTCATTGTGCTGCCAGTGGGCTTGCGCCCGCATCCCTTCGTGGTGGCTTTCAGCAAGTCATCGGGCAGACGGTCTAGGCTGGGACGTGACTGGACGATACCTGCGTGCATATTATGTATGTACACCCCATACGAGCGAGTACCTTGTCGTTACTATTTACATAGTACCAGCCTGTTCCTCGGAAACCGGATCGACATTGGTTCGCTGGAGGAGCGCCGCTCAGCCCGAGTGCTTTGGACGTGATACAATCGATGCAGTGGGCGTACCCAACCACGGCAGATGCAGCACATCCATCACTGCTAGCATGCACCGGACATGTAGACTGACGGGATACGTCATTTCACCCGGGACCTATTTTGAATCATGAAAGAGATCTCGTTTCCCCGAGCTTGATTCTCGCGGGAATGGGGAATAGGCAACCGTCGGCGCCAGTGGCTTGATTCCCCAGTCGATTGTTTATTCGGAACCGCTCTTGCAACCGTTGTCCGTTTCCCCCGGATTTGGCTAGAGTTTACGCGATGTCCATGGTTCGACGAGGAGTGACAGGTCCGAGGAGATCAAACGAGTCTAGTTTACAGGGAACAGTATCAAAGAGAAAAAGTGTGTCGAGGGGTGGGTTCGGGAGAATTCTTCCAGTCGTGCTTTCAGGCAAGGGGGAGAGGCAATCTGTACGGTGTAGATGCCATCGTAGATGACATGAAGCGGTCTGGACAGTAGACACCAGGCCTCTTCAACTCCAAGAAGCTGGAGAAGGGAAGAATGATTGTGACTGCGGAAAGCGCGAGAAGTGAAGAAGAATAAGGTTTGGGAGGGCGAGAAAGGAGGAGCGGATCGCCGTCTCACTGGCGGGCACGTGCCCTGGCCAGGGCGGACGAGGGGGCCGAGACGCGCCCTCGACTGCAAAACGCGGGGCAGCAAAAGGGGACTTTTACTTGACTTTGACTGTTTTACAGTAAAGGGGGGAGGGGGGAGGGAGACGGAGAACAATGAACGGCCAGTCTTGGCAGGTGCATCCGATCTGGTTGAGTCCGTCCTTGACCGGCACAAAGAACTGGAAGTATCCCCTCGTCCGTCCGGGAAGCACAATTAGCGCATTTCAATTAGTGTATTATATTAACCAATTGATTAGCGGAC